TACTCCAGACACACTAAACTTAATATTTTCTTAAACTACACCAGTGGGAACACGCTCCTCCCACTCTAAGTTTTCCTAGGTCCAAATAAGCCCCGCCTTTCCAAGCCTATAGCCAATGAGTTCAAAGTTCAAATACAAGAGCGCCTCCCACGCCCTTGCGCCACCTATAGCTCTGCTGTTCAACAAATCCCTTGAGTGTCATACCTTCCCGTATATCCTTAAAAAAACAAGAGTAACGCCAGTTCATAAAGGAGGTAATCCGGCAGACATAAACAATTATAGACCAATATCAAACCTACCCATACTATCAAAAATATTTGAAAAAATTATCTACAAACAGCTCTACTCCTACCTCATAAAATTCGACATTCTTAGCCCCTGTCAGTTTGGCTTCCGCTCCCAAAAGAGTACCAACGATGCAATTATTAGTCTCCTTGATATAATTTACTCAGCCCTTGACAAAAATGAGTTTCCGATTGGACTCTTCATTGACCTGAGAAAGGCCTTTGATACTGTTAATCACAATTAACTCCTACGTAAACTCCATCATTATGGAATCCGAGGCCATGCACTGAACTATATCCAATCCTATCTTAGTGATAGACACCAATGTGTAGCCATCAATAATATAACCTCTCCCACTCTACCAATAACCGTTGGAGTGCCACAGGGCAGCATCTTGGGACCTCTCCTATTTCTTATATACATCAATGATCTGCCTAATGTCTATTACATTCTGAAACCTATTTTGTTTGTTGATGATACTACCCTCATCTACTCTAACCCCAACCCACATACACTAAATAATGTTGTTAATAATGAACTAAAAAAAGTCCACTTATGGATGTCAACCAACAAACTAACACTTAACATAGAAAAGACCTACTACATCCTATTTGGAAGCAAATCTACAAATGCAATTCAGCTTCAGATAGACAATGTAAACATTAGCAATAAAAATGTTGGAAAGTTTCTCGGCCTATTCCTAGACAAGAGACTCAACTTCAGTACCCACATACAACACATAACTAAGAAAGTCTCTAAAACAGTTGGTATACCTCCAAAATCAGATATTATGTACCTAACTCTACTCTCATCTCTCTATATTATGCACTAATCTATCCCTATCTTAATTATGGTATCAGTGCATGGGGTTCAACCACTGCAAACCACCTCAAGTCCATCATCACCCAGCAAAAATCTGCTATCAGAATAATAACAAATTCTGCTTTCAGACAACACTCAGCCCCCTTGTTTAACTCCCTAAACATGCTAAACATAATCTCACTCCACAAATTCTCTTGTATCAACTACATTTACAAAACCCTGTTCTTAAACGCAAATCCCGCTCTGAAACTCTCCCTGGACAGATGTAATAGGACCTATTATCACCACACCAGAAATAAATATCTCTTTGATATCCACAGTCAAACTTATTCTGTGTAAACACTCTATGCAAATACAGGGACCCAGTCTATGGAATTCACTCCCTATTGAATTGAAAAGCTGTCCAACTTTTGCGTCATTCAAAAACAATACTAAAAAGTACCTAATTTCATCTTCATAGTTTTTTACCTTTTGCTTTAAAATTGCACTGTATCTATTGCTACCCAATCTCCCAATCTTTAAGTACCCAATCCGAACATCTTTACCATTGTGATCATTGCTGTCTTCTTATATGTGCTGTCAATCTGCTGTATGGTGTCTATTAATCTTGTTTAAATTACCAATCAAGCTGTCAATGTAATCAATCAGCAGAGCTTTAATATACCAATGTGCTTTAATGTACTTACTAATCTCTCTCATCTCATTTTTTTCTTGCAATGTATTTGTTATCATTTTATTAATTCTGCTAGAATTTACCTACTTAAAATTATCTGTTAGATTAAGGACCTGCCCGAAACGCTGCGCGTACTAGTGGCTTTACAAGAGTGTAAATACCATGCTTTGTATTCTCACAAACCCAGTGTACCTTCTTGTATATAAATAAATAAATAAATTAATTAATTAATAAATAAATAGGAAATGACATTGCAGACGAAGCTGCAAAACTTGCAACTAAGAGAAGAAATGTAGACATTTACATACCACAGAGTCTATCACAGATTAAGAAAGTAATTAGAAACAGAGCAATGCAAAAGATGTACATTGACCGCAACACAGCAGTTGCAACATCATAAGCTGCGGGTTGGTACAAGAATTCAATCAACTACGAACCACTTAGTTTGGTGAAAGGGAGCAGTAGAGCAACAGAAGTACACTTACATCGCATCAGGCTTGGATACCCATGTGCATGGGAAATAAGCTTACAGGTTCCGGAAGATGAGAGGAAATGTCAACTCTGTGGAGAAATGCCCGACAGACCACTGGAACATTATCTAACAGAGTGCACAGTTACAAACCCATTAAGATTTCAACTTAGATTCAACAGAGCAGAAGAAGTTGTTAAATACATATGGCAAAATCTTACTGAAGCGACCATACGAGTCATAAATACTCATACTCCGCCCAAGTAAAACAGAAACAAGCAACACTTAGTGGGCCAGCCAGAGGCTTAGGGCCCGCCCAGGAATATCCCTGCAAAAAAACAAAAACTGGCAACAAAAATCATTCCAGAGTTAAGTCAACTCGCTTATCAGGAATGGCTGAAGGCCACAGGGCTAACAACACTGCAAATCAGGTATAACAGGGCATATTTCATCTCCCAATGGTGAACATTCCAACTGTAAACTATGTTAGCAAGAGCTAAAACATACTCTCTAACTCTATATCTGTGAGTGCCCTGTTATGAGTGACTTCAGACCAAATGGTATATGGGGGGGGGCCTCGATAAAAGCCAAACGTGTATGAATACACTCTGGCTTCCTGTCCACCGACACAGTGAATTATATAACATTTTGCTACAATGTGTATACGTATATATATATGTACATGTATGTATGAGGGTGTGTACATGTGTATACAACATTGATAATTTTGTAACTAGCGTCAAACATTGTTATTTGCTTAGCTAAACGAACTAGAGGGTTCAGTTCCTAAACCGATTATGTGCCTCTGTAATCCTTTACACCACCGCCCACGGGATGGGTATGGGGTGCATAATAAAGAAAGAAATTGAATTGTACCTTTTCATCTTACCTGATATGTTAGATTAAGGACCAGTCCGAAACGCTATGCGTGTTAGTGGCTTTGCAATTCAATTTCTTTTTCATTATGCACCCCATACCCATCCCGTGGGCGGTAGTGTAAAGGGTTACAGAGGCACATACTCGGTTCAGGAACTGAACCCTCTAGTTCGTTTACCTAAGCAAATTACAATCTTTTGACGAAAGTTACTAAATTATTATTAATTTTATATATACATGTACACATACTCATTCATACATGTACATACAAGAATTATATTTACATTATATTATAATTTCATGTTCCCCGAAAAGCAAAGCGAGATTCTTGCTGTAACATGAGTTTACAAACAGGTAGAGGGAAGGAAAAAGACGATGAACCACATTGAGTACTGCATCCCCTCTAACCAGATTGAAAGCGTCTGGTTTTAGGACACACGCTATATTCCACACACACACACCAGGACACACTATATTCCACAAATATATATACTGTATGTATGTATGTATGTATGTATGTATGTATGTATGTATGTATGTATGTATGTATGTATATATATATATATATATATATATATATATATATATATATATATATATATATATATATATATATATATATATATATATATATATATATATATATATATATATATATATATATATATATATATATATATATATATATACACACACACACACACACACACACACACACACACACACACACACACACACACACACACACACACACACACACACACACACACACACTTTCTTGCACCTTACGACACTGGAAGACAGAAGAGTAAGGGGGGACATGATCACAACCTACAAAATCCTCAGGGGAATCGACCGGGTAAACAAGGATGAACTATTCAACACTGGTGGGACGCGAACAAGGGGACACAGGTGGAAGCTGAGTACCCAAATGAGCCACAGAGACGTTAAAAAGAACTTTTTCAGTGTCAGAGTAGTTAGTAAATGGAATGCATTAGGAAGTGATGTGGTGGAGGCTGACTCCATACACAGTTTCAAATGTAGATATGATAGAGCCCAATAGGCTCAGGAATCTGTACACCAGTTGATTGACGGTTGAGAGGCGGGACCAAAGAGCCAGAGCTCAACCCCCGCAAGCACAATTAGGTGAGTACAATTAGGTGAGTACACACACACACATACATACACGTAGTTAGTAAACAGTTGATTGACAGTTGAGAGGCGGGCCGAAAGAGCAAAGCTCAACCCCCGCAAAAACACAACTAGTAAACACAACTAGTAAACACAAACACATACACGTGTAAGGCTTATATCGAGGGCCCCCTCCCCAAGGGTCGAATTACTGACCCTCCCCAGGATGCAACCTCACAATAAGTTAACTCCTGGGGAGCCTATTTACTGCTAGGTGAACAAAGACATAAGGTGATAGGAAATGTGCCTCTCAAACTCAGAATTCCTGACTATAAGCCAAGAATAAACCCAAGTGTACTACAGAGTCCCTACCATTCCCAATTTTGAAACAGGTTCATGGTGAGCTGCTCTTCCTATGAATGTATAAATACTATAGAATGTAAAAATACCAATCTTATGTAATCTCACAATCCCATTGTATCTTCTTGTGAATAAAAAAATATTATTATAATTATTATTATATAATTCAGGTAAATCATTATATGGCCATACATGAAACTTAAAAGATTACGAGCATATTCCAACCTTCTCATTTTTTAATTGTTTTTTGTTTCCATCGATTGTAATTTATAAAATATATTTTTCCTCAGCAGAATAAATAATTTTCAAAAAATTCAAAATACAATTATTGCACATGGTAAGATTTTGTTGGGACTGAAAAAGTGGTTTAAGAACATAAACATTGGAGGGGGTCGGTTAGGGCCCCAGTACAACAACAACCACTACTACAGTCGACGCTGTTGCTGCAGCTGTTGCTGGGGGCGCTGACGGTGTGGAGGCTCCCCACTCTCTGTGTTGGCAGCATTACTCTTAACCCGTATTTTAAATGGAACAATGGAAGCGAGGTTCAGGAGATACGACGAGGTTGTGCTCGAGAAGCTGCGCGTGATTCACCTGGATGATGAGAAAGTTGTGGGAGTTTTGTATACTGTGGCAGAGCTCAAGGATTTAAGAGATAATCTTTTCCATTATAACTTCTGGTTTTCGACTCGCAATGTCGAGAAACATTGTAAGGGCATACTATGACATTTCTTTATGTTGGTGTCATTAGGTGTTATGTCAAAGATGATGGGTAACTTTTAAAAGACAGTGGCTAGTATGCACATGGTGAAAATCATCAGTGGGATCATATGTTCATTAACGTGCTATAGCACTGCGTAATATAAAAAGTTTGGTTATATTATTGTATGTTATATATTTTTCATAGGAAGAGCAGCTCACCATGAACTTGTTTCAAAATTGGGAATGGTAGGGACTCTGTAGTACACTTGGGTTCATTCTTGGCTTATAGTCAGGAATTCTGAGTTCGAGAGGCACATTTCCTATCACCTTATGCCTTTGTTCACCTAGCAGTAAATAGGCCCCCCAGGAGTTAACTTATTGTGAGGTTGCATCCTGGGGAGGGTCAATAATTCGACCCTTGGGGGGGGGGGGGGGGCCCTCGATATAAGCCTTACACGTGTATATGTGTGTGTGTGTGTGTGTGTGTGTATATATATATATATATATATATATATATATATATATATATATATATATATATATATATATATATATATATATATATATATATATATATATATATATATATATATATATATATATATATAGAATAACCACATATGAAAAATAGAAAATGCTTAACGCGTTTTCGGCTAATTTGCCTTCATCAGAGCAAAGTAGAATGAGGATAAGATTGCTGATCAGACCTTTATATCCGCCTGGGCAGATCACCTGACCACCAAAAATAAGTGGAGGAAAGGAATTATTAGAAAGAAGGTAACTGCAGAAGGCCTATCTCTTTCCTCGCGTTTAAAACAGCATTCATATGCTATTCGTACAGCCCAGCAATCCAGTGCATTGTATTTACATTCCAGTTTATGTAATCATTCTATCGACTTCACAGGGGCAAAATGTATTGTTAAAAGTAAGGATTTTGTTGAACGAAACGTGATCGAGTCTGCTCTGATCAAACATTGTAACAACAGCCTTAATGTGAGCCCCGGTATGTACAAGTTGGATCCCTATTTAAGCCTCAATATAGCACGTCAAAACAATATAGCAATCATTTAACACGTATGGCACTTGGAGATATTAATAGGAGCTGCCTTGTATGGGCCAATAGGCCTTCTGCAGTTACCTTCTTTCTAATAATTCCTTTCCTCCACTTATTTTTGGTGGTCAGGTGATCTGCCCAGGCGGATATAAAGGTCTGATCAGCAATCTTATCCTCATTCTACTTTGCTCTGATGAAGGCGAATTAGCCAAAAACGCGTTAAGCATTTTCTATTTTTCATATGTGGTTATTCTGCATACTTGGATCAGTGTTTTTGTGATCATTGTTGCATATACATATACATATATACAGTATATATATTTGTGGAATATAGTGTGTGTGGAATATAGCGTGTGTCCTAAAACCAGACGCTTTCAATCTGGTTAGAGGGGATGCAGTACTCAATGTGGTTCATCGTCTTTTTCCTCCCCTCTACCCGTTTGTAAACTCATGTTACAGCAAGAATCTCACTTTGCTTTTCGGGGAACATGAAATTGAATCACAAGAAGGTGTCCAACAGGGTGACCCCCTTGCTCCTTTTCTTTTCTGCCTAGTCATCAAGGAAGTCACCGATAACTTGTCCAGTGAGCTCAACATTTGGTTTTTTGGATGATGGTACTCTAGCTGGCTCACCAGACTCACTCTTGGATGACATAAGAATAATTCAGGAGCAAGGAGCAAGTCTAGGCCTCACCCTGAACTCTTCCAAGTGCAAAATAACCTCCACCAACCAACACTTAATAGAGCAAATAAAGGTTGTTTTGCCTAACATTCACATAGCCAACCCTGAGGACAGCACACTTCTAGGTGCTCCTCTTGGAGGGAATGACATCAACGAGGTCCTTGGTAAGAATATTACTGATCTGAAGAGGATGAACGAGAGGATTGAAGATATCGATGCTCATGATGCACTTTACCTCATCACCAGATGCTTGTCCCTCCCCAGGCTGACCTACTTTCTTAGATGTTCGCCATCTTTCAATAATATTAAATTAAAAGAGTATGACAGCTTGCTGAAATCAATGCTAGAAAAGCCCTCAACCTTTCTCTCAGCGACTCAGTGAAAACAGGCCTCCCTTCCTGTCAGACTCGGGGGCCTCGGCGTGCGCACAGTAACACAAATTGCGGCACTGGCATTCCTGTCCTCTTCAGTGGCGTCTGATAACTTGGTGAAGGAAATCCTACCTGAGCACCTAGTTCAACGGGCAGGGATACATGATCCCAGCTTTACATACTGCAACACCAAATGGGTCTCGCAGGACCAGCACCCCATTCACTGCTTTCTGAAGCCTAAAAGCAATCCAGCTGGGATCTCCCCATTGCCGATCAAGAAGCTGCAATATTACTAGAAGCTGTGACAACACCACATGACACTGCCCGACTTAGAGCTGTAGCAGCTCCCCATGCAGGGGACTTCCTATTAGCAACCCCAATGTCAGCAACTGGCACTCGTCTCACACCGCAGGCCCTCCGAATTGCTGTGGCTCTCTGCCTCGCTGTCCCAATCCACACCGAATACAGGTGTATTTGCGGCGAGGCAGTGACCGACAGGTATGGACGGCATGGCCGTCTCTGCCAAAGGACAGGAGGATGGCATGCAAGACACTGCGAGTTAATGACATTATCAAGGGAAGCCTTACTACAGCCGGTTGTCCAGCAGAGAGAGAGAAACCCGTTACCTAATGCCCCACAACTCTGATGAGCCTGTCGGTCACCCAGACGGGATCACAGTGAATCCCTGGAAGAATGGTAGACAGTTGGTGTGGGACTACACTTGCGTTTCAACCTTAGCCAACACCTATGTTAACTATATATATGCTATATAGGCATATATATATATATATAATATATATATATATATATATATAATATAATAAATAAATAAAAAAAAAAAAAAAAAAAAAAAAAAAAAAAAAAAAATAATAATATATATATAATATATATATATATATATATATATATATATATATATATATATATATATATATATATATATATATATATATATATATATATATATATATATATATATATATATATATATATATATATATATATATATATATATATATATATATATATATATATACACAGTACTGTATATGTATATCCATCTCGACAAAAATTAATGTCCCCGACAAAATTAATTATACAGAAGCAGTTTGCACAAAGTTTATATTCTGTTGTTATATATTTATATTTATATACCACTATGTTTACTAGGTTGGGTTAAATTTTGTTTTTGCCAAACTGTCGCATGTTTGAGGTAACCTTGGTTAATTATTATACTGTAATGACATTTTATGAAATACATATTCCTTACAATACTATAACCTATACAATAATATAAACTGAAGGTAGTCTATACCATTGTATATCATATTTTCATTACTGGTGTGATAGCCTGATTATATTCATTAAAGATGTGTAAGTACATATTTCTTGTGTTGATAAAACAAGTCAACAAAGAGAGTGGGAGTAAAATTCAAAATGGCTTCATATATTTCAGAAGTTCTTGAAAATATTTGGTATAAATTAGTTGTCTAGGCACAAAAAGGTTTTGAGCATGAAATATATGAAGCTGTTTTATCATTTTACTCCCACTTTCTTGTTACTTATTTAGTTTGTTGACACAAAAGGAATAAGTAGTCTGCTCATCTTTTACAAGTACAATAGTGTTCAACCCTGACCCCCCAAAATTTACCTGAACCTACCTGACGGCCACTGACACTAGTGACCTTGACGAGGATAGGAAACCGGCAGCTTGTCGAAGATTTCCCTATTTGCCTTGATAATCCTTTCCTGTTGGATTTTGATATTCAACAGAGTCTTTTCAGTTACGGCTTCAGCGGGTAGCTGGTTCCATGGGTTTATAACCCTGTGGGTGAAAAAGCATCTCTTGTTCTCAGTCCTACATTGTGGCTTGTCGAGCTTGAAACCATTGCTCCTTGTTTGTGTTACATTTGACCTTTTGAAGAAATTTTCCAGATCAACAGTCCAAATTGCTCTTCAATGTTTCAATGAGATCTGCCTGTCATGCCTGGTTTGCAGTGTTGTCGGCCCTGTGGCCCTCAACCATTCCTGATATAAGAGATGACTTGGCTCTGGAATGATTTTTATTGCCCTGTGTTGCACTTTCTCCAGAGCAGCTATGTTTTTCTGAAGATGGGTCTCCATGCTTGGATACAGTAATCCAAATGGGGTCACACCAAATTTATACAATAGAATCACTACCTTCCTTTCCTTAAAGTCAAAGATATGTTTGATTATTCCAAGGGATTGGTTAAATTGAACTTACCATACCTGCAACGAATGTTAGATATACACAGGGTATAAAATAAGGTTATAATGAGAAGAAAGCACTAAGACAATATGGCACTTGTTAGTAATAACAGGACAAGGAGCTGGAATATAAGGATTTAGTTCCCAACCACTTTAGACTATTTGGGATCCAACACTTGCTGCGCCAACCAGTCCAAGTAGATGGACATTACATAGGGTTTATTACATTACATTACATAGGGACATTTCCTGCAGTTTATATAAAAGTAACCTAAGAATTTAAGTAAGAGTGTACACAAGAACTGAGCAGTCATTGTATGTTGCCTGTTTGTTGCCTATTTATTTGTATGTATTTATTAATGCAAGATATTGTACACTGAGTTGAGAAATTACATACATTGGGGTTTGAGTGTAACATTCTTGCAAAGCCACTAACATGCTTAGAGTTTCAGGTAGGCCCTTAATAAAATAAATGATAATGGAAACAGAATTTGAGTTCAACATAATATAGTAACTACATTTGATGGTCCCGGTAGTACAGTCGGGTTTATTCTTGACTCACAATCAAGAATTCTGGATTCTAATCCTGGGCAGTCCAGAAATGGTTATGCGCATTTCCTTTCATATCATGCCCCTGTCCACCTAGCAGTAAATAGGTACCCAGGAGTTAGCTTGTTGTGGGGTTGTATCCTGGGGGAGGGTTGGTAATTTGATCCGGGGGGGACCTTAATATAAGCTTAACATATACTGTATGTATAAACCTGGCTGTCTATCCCAAGACACAATGAATTAGTATTATTACATTACACATTGGTAGAATAGATTATACTGATGATGTTGAATGTCTTGTTGAATGAAGTATAGGTTGAACAATTATTTAATTCACTAGGAAGTGAGTTCCATACACTGGGTCCTTTTATTTGCATGGAATGTTTGCACAATTTTATTTTGACTCTAGGATTATTTATTTATTATTGGTTTGGTGCTCATGGGTTCTATTACATCTTTCATAGAAGAGTTTCAAATCAGGATTAGAATCAAGGAATAAGGTTTTGTAAGTAAATAGCACAAATGTGTAGAGTGTAGAGGTGGTAGTGAGAGGAAGGGGATGGATGGGAGAATGAGGCTTGGAGGAGAGACCACTATAATAAACTCTAGTTTATTATAGTGATAGTGTTACATACTTTCAGATGAAAAGAAGGACAGCATTCACTGGGTTCTTCCCAAGCTTCAGGGTGCACCTCCCCAGGGTGTGTGCCTGAATGACAACGCACCCTTTGTTATAAACAAGGTAGTCAATAAGGATTGTCGTCGAGGAAGAGCTTATTGGAAGGTATGGATTTGTGCATATGCTGTACAATATTGTATTATTGTCTTTAAAATTACTGAGGCACGTAAGTTATCTTTTAATGTAGATTTATTGTCCACAGCTGTCAGAGAGAGACTTTTTAAGTACTGTTTATCAAGCTGTGATAAAAATTAATCTCACTTTTGTAATCATATCTATGACAGTTTTATTATACAAGTTAGATATAGTCATAAACAGTTAGTACTGCACAATATAGTACAAAACCATTACAGTGGTGTGGCTTTAAATAAATTATATGTAACATCTTTTAACTGAAACAGTGGCATGCACAGAACATTTGATGGGCTGTGACTAAGGTGAAATGAAATACAGGTAACTAAGTTCTTCTTTATAGTTATCTTTTTCTGGGGAAGCCCATTGTGGCTCCCTGAAGCTATCTTGCCGAGTTGGCCCCTATCTACTGGATCGCTGAAGTTCAGTTTGGCCTACTGGGGACCAGAGACAGAACCTGGTCCCCTCACAAAGGCATGGGCAGTAGCTGACACTCACCTCACCTGGAAAGACTCAACAGATCACTGTTGGGTCTAAGAGACCAAAGCCTTATAACCCTTGAAGTGAATTTCCTTCAACAATGTAAACAAATGATCAAAAATCTCTCAAAACAAGCATGCATTCACCAAACCACACACACTAGAAGGTGAAGGGACGACGACGTTTCGGTCCATCCTGGACCATTTTCAAGTCGGGGGAGCTGGTCGGCCAAGCGGACAGCACACTGGACTTGTGATCCTGGGTTCGATCCCGGGCGCTGACGAGAAACAATGGGTAGAGTTTCTTTCACCCTATGCCCCTGTTACCTAGCAGTAAAATAGGTACCTGGGTGTTAGTCAGCTGTCACGGGCTGCTTCCTGGGGGTGGAGGCCTGGTCGAGGACCGGGCCGCGGGGACACTATAAAAAAAAAAGCCCCGAAATCATCTCAAGATAACCTCAAGAAGTCGATTGTGATGAGGGAGGGAGATTAAGGGCATAAATAGGCATGAGAGTGGTGAGGAGCAAGGCAAAAGGTACGTCTTGTCCTCTCCAATACTTTGGCGAAACTGGCCGTACACTTTGACTGACTTAAAGAACACAAAAGAAGTGTTAAGTCTGCAGACACAAACAATGCTCTCTTCTGTCATGTTAGGGATTCTAATCATCCGATTGATTGGTCTTCCTCCAAAATAATCTTTCCTGCCTCTACACAGACACCGTTTTGTTGAATCAGCTCTTATACACAACATACCCAACATGAACTTGAGTCCTAGATTTGTTGCTGTTGACTCTTCCCTTTCACAGTATATACTCAAATGCTCTAATCTTTCTAACAGATGTGACCTAACATAAACTTACCTTTCCATTTATCATTCTTTCTCTTTCCTTTCTCTTTCCTTTTTCTTTTCTGTCCATTGTTTTCTCTTACATTCCCTTGCTATCCTCTTCTTATTCCTATTCCCTTCTCATTGGGTGGTTACAAATAGGAGCTGCCTCATATGGGCCAATGGGCCTTCTGCAGTTCATATTCCTACTACTGTCCCCTCTACTACACCTTACCTTTCGTACCTTTTGCCTTGTTCCTCACCTCTCTCTTGCCTATTTATTGCCTTCATCTCCTTCCCTCATCTCAATTGACTTGAGAATGGTCCAGGATGGACCAAAATGTCGTCGTCCCTTCACCTTCTAGTGTGTGGTCTGGTCAACATATTTCAGCCACGTTTTTGTGACTCGTCATCTGCACAAGCATGCGTTCATTCGCCCCACCCTTCCCCACTTGTTTGGTGAGGACCACTTGTTTGAGAAGAGCCACTTGTTTGGAGGGCCACTTGTTTAGGGTGGGAAGGGGGCCTGGGGCTCAAGCTGTCCACTGGTTCAAGCCATCAGTTCATCTGCTGATGCAGTTTATGCTACACATAAGTAGGGCCCCTGGGTCGTCAATAAGCTATAGTTGGCTCTTGTGCTTTTCAGCTAAGTACTTCTTTGGACTTTGTCCTGTATAGTTTCTGCATGCAGTTAGGCCTGTCAGAACCATCCTTATAAAGGTTTCCTTCCTCTAAGGTCCCTCTGTCGGTAGCTTGTGAAGATCTCTTCTAGTATCTCTTGCGTGTCCCAGAGTATACCTCTTGGGTGAACCCTACCTCCTTTGAGTTTGGGTCTTCTTCTGCCTTTTGGTTGCATTATGAGGTCCTGAAGTTGTCCTGGATAGCAGGCAATTCTCAGTATTTTCTCATGGCTTGGTGTGGCTCTTGTCTTTCTTGCACACTTGAGTGGTGTGAGGTAGTGATTGTGTTTCCAGGTGTTTTTGGGTGTCCCTTCTTTTGTGCCATTCAGTTACTGCCTGCATGCCCCTGCTCTTTTTCCATGATGCAGCTCCATGCCCACATTCTTTTGCTGTTGGTAGCCCTTGCAAAGGAGGACTCTCGGGCTTGCTTGCATTTGACTTCGGTTATGTGGTATCTGCCCCCTCATGGAGCTCACTCTTGAGTGGCTCTGTGAGGCTGTTGAAATGCTCAACTTTGGTCCTGGTGCGAGTGCTTTAGTGTCCACTGTGGCTTTGTTGGCAGCTTTGCCAAAGCTGTAAGTCCCCGTGCGCTGGGAGGTGGCAGCCACATTCTAAGCTGCCTGACTTGCATATCAGCAGGCTTTCTTGACCCTGTCTTTAGAATTGGCTTGGGTCCCCTGGTTTTCTTGTCCACCTCCTCCCCGCCTTTTTTTTTTTTGCCTCCTCTTACCAGAGGATATTATTTGTCAGTTTTATCTTCTGCTGCATCTTGTAAGCCAATTACAGACTTGCTTTGTTCTCATGGGTTCTGGTATCATCTCATTCTTAGAGGCAGTCAGGTAGGGTTGGGACACTGCTGTTGGGCCGAGGTAGGCCCATGGTGGACTTGGATTCTGGGTCTTGTGCATTTCCCGTGGACAGTTCATCCTCTGCTGGTTGGCACTGTGCTCGCATTTCACTGAGTGCTCCTGCTTTTTATGGTTTATGCCAGTCCTTTTGCAATTCACCCCTTTAACAAAGTGGTGGGGGGTAGCTCGTCTTATTTGTCAGCTCCTGGACCCGTGATTCAACCTATCCTCGGGAAGGAGATCCTCACAAGGGAGTGAATTGGGAACTACATATAGTGCTATTATCTACCCCTCTATCCATGGTTAGGTTTAAAATTACTTTAGATTAAGATTTGGTTAGGTTAGGTTTCATTACATTTGGTTACATTAATATGCTGTAGTATTAATGATAATGTGAAATATGGAATTCAAAAACTGTTTCAGTGTGCCCGAGAATTCATTTTAAAAAAACAAACTCTTCAGAGAAAACAGTTTCAGCTTGCACTTTCTATATTTTACCAACAATTTATAATACAATATTGTTATAACTTGAGAATAATCTCTGTTTTTGACAGACTCATTTGCCAGTTTACATGTAGACTATTACTGGAACTGTAATATGATTTCACTCATCACAAATATCTAGGTAACTATCCAAATAGTTTTAAAGAGGGGTGTGGTTTCTCATGGTACTAGATTTGCTGTAAGGATGGGCTGTGTGATTTTTGTGGGCTTTTCAGGTCAGTTCAAGTGACCTTCAGTGAAAACCAGTCCCCCCAAGGTACCATGCTTGCTCTGGTACTTTTTCTCATCATCATAGCAGACACAGACAAGGATACAAACTATAGGGCCATATCATCCATTGCAGATGACAGTAGGATGCTGGGTACTGGCTTCGTTTGCCCTTTGTTGGCTGATGCATTGCCAGCTTCCTCATTGGACCCTTCAGGTATCAGTTCCATATTGCATGCCTTTTCCCATTGCTCAACAATTTTATGGATTCCTCAGCTCTGTGTTGGGCACAGAGTGGACCGTTGACACTGCCACCTTCCTGTAACTTTGCCAAACATTTGTGTGCCCCAGTGTGGACCTCTTTGAATTGGTATTTTAATTGTTACCTTCCTCTTTATGCAGCTCTGTTCCCCAACCCCATGGCCCTCACTGTGGATGCCTTTTGGCTGAACTAGTTGTAGTGGGGATTTTTTGTACCTTTGTCCAAGATGCTGTACATCTGGCTTTTGCACAGCATCCTAGACAGGTTAGAGTCCTACCAGGGAAAGATAGTCCTTCTGGCTCCTTGGTTCCAGGTGTTGCTTGCTCGGTTTCTAAACCTGGGCATTTCTCTGCACATCTGCTTCTTTCAGAAGATCGGCCCAGTGGTGGTTCAATCTTCCACTGGTTCAATCTTCTCAACTCTTTGCATCTGGTATTTTTTACACATCTTTATTGCCATCTCTAAGGTGAGCAGGTGGCTACTTTGATGGTGGACCCCGTGATTATCCTCTTGGCAGCAGCATAAGGTTTCTTGATGCTCTTTTCTCCATTTCCATTCTCTTCGATTGTTGCTCTTCGGTTTCTGAAGACAGTAGTGTTCGCTAACTTTCTGGGAGCCTTTCCTGGTGAGGTGGTGAAGTGTCACCACTCCCTGTGCCTTTGTGAGGGAGTTCTTTATTTGTGCTTTGGTTTGATCACCGTTGTTCTTTAGTTACATTTCCAATTTAACAGAATGCCAATGGGGCTAATTTAGTGATATAAAGCATGAACTTTTGGTGTTTAACAGAACACATTGGAAGATTTGACCAAATATACAGTTGCTTTAAGTACTATTATTTAAGGAGAATGGGCCAAAATGCAGACCTGCATCCACCCCTGAGAATGCAGGGCCACCTGCACACTGAATAAAGTTCAGTTGCCAAGAACAAAACAATTAAACTTAGAGTTAGCCCCGTGGTGCAGTGGTAAAGCACTCACCAGGTGCTTCGCAGGTGCTTTGGCTTGGGTGCTAATCCTTAACTGTAGCCTCTGTTCACCCAGCAGTGAATGGTACCTGGTTGTTAAATGATTTGACGAGTTGTATTCTGGGGAAAAATAGGATTAAGGATCTGCCCGAAATGTTATGTGCGCTAGTGGCTTTACATTAAAGTAAGAACTCTTGTGCTGTATATATATATATATGTGTGTGTATATATATATGTATATATATGTGCATATATATATGTGTGTGTGTGTGTGTGTATGTATATATATATAAAATAAATAAATAAATAAATAAAAATAAATAAATAAAAATAAATAAATAAAATAAAAGGTATCCTCCTGTCTGTCAAAAAAACATGGCCACAGTCAGAAAATATATGAAATGATGTGATGCCACTTGGTGATGGTGACAGGTTTGACCAGGCTAGCAAATGAGCTATTGGAAAGCTTCATATGGTGCTCACTTTTGATGCAAAGTGTGGATGCAGTAGTACCTCCTGAATACCATAGGTAGCCCTGCAGGCGCATGTGAGAAGATCCTCACAGGAATGGTGCCTAAATGTTATAGTGGATCCTCTTAAAATTCAATAGCTCAGAAAGATGGTGTCTTTTGAATCCTTCTTCATTTGGTTTAGTTTTTAATGACTGTGTTTCTTAGAAATATCAAATTTCCAGAGGAAGAATGAAAAGATAAATGAAGAGGTAATAGACAACCCTGACCCAGCAGACCCACCAAAGAAGAAGAGGAAACCATACCGTACCATCAAGAGTGATTGTCCTGCAAAGATGAGCATCAGAACAGTCAAGGTAAGACAATACTTAAAAAAAATTACGAACTGTCATATTGAAGTCTCAAATTTTGAGGGACTTTTCACTCTTTCTAGGGGTAGCGGTAACCTCTTGTGGCTCCCTGAAGCCATCTCATTGAGATGGCTCCCAACTATTAGATTGCATCGGCTGTGGAATTTGTCCTGCCTACTGGAGATCAGAACCAGAATCCGGCCTGGAGAGTAGGGGATACACTTTCACCTCGCTGGGAAAGGCATCCAGAAAGTCAATAAAGCAATACAGACAACTGCTGGGTTTAAAATAAAAGTGTCGAATGAATGCCCCTCAACAATGTAAACAAACAGTAGTCTCTCTCTTGAAACAAGCATGCACACATTCGTCCCACTCATTTGGGAAAGGAGGTGGGATGGGGTGGGCCTCACCCTGAACACCCTGAACACTGGTTAGAGCAATTGGCTCTGTTGTTGTTGCAATGTGGATAACACATCTTCAGCTTTTAATGCCTTTTTCTGGGGAGGAGCCCCCTTCGGCTCCCCGGAGCTATCTGGGCTGATATGAACGTATTAGACCCTGGCATCAGTCAAAGCAGATGGAGTTCTAGGCCTACCAGGGACCATGAGCCAGAACTTGGCCCCCCTCAGAGAGGCACGAGAAGCGATGGCTTATCGAAACCCCCGTGTGGTTGGAAACATTCTATGTCTGTTATCGACCGAGTCAGGCACCCAGAAAGGTAGGCGCCCCAAAACAAACTATCTGGTTAAAAATAGCTAGTGAAAGTCGAACTATTGGACAGAACTCCCTCAAACGAAACGAGCAAACGATCATGACATCACAACCGTCACTGTGTCGCTATCTGCACTCCCTGGGAGGGGAAAGGGAGCTCCAGACCCCTGCTCCAGCTATCCAAACCCCTAGTTCTGTGGCTGATGTGAGACATGGCAGTCATGCAACTCTGACTCCAGACTTGTTTCAGTGCTGTGCCTTGTGGTGTGGTCCTGTCCATTGGTGGTGTGCAAGCCACTATTTTCACCAGTACTGAGGCTGCATGCGCCTAGGGTTCTCTTCCCTAGGTGCCCTGTAAGTACTGCCCTTGTGGCTTAGGGGTTCTCTTCCACAAGTTGCTCGAGACCTAACTCCGCCGTGGTCTTTTGCTGCTCGGTGATTGCCCACCCGTGGAGTCAGCTGGGGTGTTTCATGCACTCCTGTTTGCCTCTGGGCAAATCTTCGTCACTAGTAGGGCTGCAAGGGACTGTGCAGCTAGTTTTCACCATACAACAGCAGCCGGCTCTGTTCCACCTACGATGTTGTACTTGTGCGAGGTTTGTCTTTGTTTTGTTTTCTGCTTGGTGGAGGGTTTGCCATTGCTTCTAGTGGACTCTTATCTTATTGTATTTTTGGTGGTCCTCTGCTAGGTCTCTGTGTGTGTACACATCATGAAGGTTCAGCACTTAGCAGTTTGATTGGTAATTTGGGGTGCCGGTTAGCGTTACCTTGCCTAGGCTTCCTTTAGCAGAGCATCTGAGAGACCCTGGAAAATCCCATTGGGGCTCAGTGGTCCGATGGATGCAACCCCTGGATCCCATCTCGCTTCGTGCGAGTTTGAAGGTTGCTCTGTCCCCTTGTCTCAGGGTGACAATCACCGGTTGTGCCTCTGTCATGCTGCCTGTTGGGTCGGTGACACCTTTTACCCAGAGTCCTGCAAGTGGTGGTGCTTGCATGTATTCCAGTTCACCCAATCTACTGATCTTCATATTTGGATGCAGGCAGCTTTGGTGTTGTGTGTGCATTTTAGGTTGCTGCAGCGTGCTAGGTTGGTTGCTCACCCAGATGTCCTGAGGCTGCCCCGTTTTGGATATAGGAACCCCGAACTTCGGGGGGGGATTTAGTCGCCTCAACTCTGGTTTAGTCTGGTGCGCTGTTCTCGGCGGTGCAGGTTGTCTGCTGCCCTGTTGAAGCTGTTTGCACCAATCCTGCAGGAGGCGGTGTCTCTGTTCTTTGCCTCTCATCTTGCATGCCGGCAGGCAGTGCTCACTCAATCTGTGGAATCCGCTTGAGCCCTGGCTTTTAGGTTTTCTATGCCTTTTTGTGGTGCAGTGTCTATGCCAGTCTGCAGTGGTGCAGTATCTGTAAGTGGTTTCTTCAAGTTGTCGCCCCCATGTCCGACTTGTTGGTTGTTGTGGGTGGGGGGTGGGGTGGGCTGTGGGGAGTCTTCCTGGAAGGGTCGTGTCAGGGCTCGGGGTTCCTCCTGTCGGGGTAGGCCAGTGTTGCCAGTTTCGGAGCCAGCGCAACCTTTAGAACTGACGACGACTGGTCGGCACGGTGATGGCTCTGCTCGTAGGTCGGCTTCGCATAAGGGGCATCAACCCATTCACGGTTTATCGCATAAACGAAGCAATTGGGGAAAGGGGGTCTTGTGCTGTTCGCCCATGCCTGGTCCCATAAGTTGTGGACGTTTCAGGTCATTTCTTGCAGCCTGCGGTGGCGTTTTGTGGCTTCTCCCCCTTCTGGGGGTTTGGGGCTGGCGGGGCAGGCCACCTCTCCTGAAATATATAAATATATATTTATTCAGGAAAATATATAAATTCAGGAAAACTTGGCTTATTAGGCAAAACAGGCCTTGCATAGTAGGCCAAGTACTGTATTCTGGCTACTAGGTACAACATACATATATATTTTTTATTTATTTATTTATAACATCTAATTAACTCAATTGTTTGGGTTTTTAAGTATATGGCAGTGATCACAAGATCATTTGTTTGTGGCCATGTTGCTTATGTTTACTGGTGTTTGTCATGTATGTTTGGGGGAGCTACCCGACACTTGCCACAAGTGACACTGATTTCAGGAGAGGTCATTATGGGGAACTCAGACATTTCTTTAAGGAATTTGACTGGAAAGACTTGCTGTTAGGACATGAAGTAAATAAGATGTATGTCAAGTTTTGTGAAATATATGATAAAGGAACAAAAAAATTATACCAAAGCAGAGATGCAGAACTAGGAAACAGGATTGGTTTTACAGAAATTGCGAGAGGGCCAGAGACCAAAAGATACAAAAATGGAATCAATATAGGAAGAGGCCAAACCCCCAAACATACCAGTGATACAAAGACACGAGAAACAACTACACGGCAGTGATGAGAGAGACAGAAAGAAATTTTGAAAAAGGGATTACGGATAAATGTAAAACAGAACCAGGTTTATTCTATAAATTCATAAATAACAAATTGCAGGTAAAGGATAATATTCAGAGGTTGAAAATGGGAAATAGATTCACGGAAAATGAAAATGAAAATATATGTGAAACATTTAACGAAAAGTTCCAAAGTGTGTTTGTACAAAATGAAATCTTCAGGGAACCAGACACAATAAGAATTCCAGAGAACTACATAGAGCACATAGAGGTGTCTAGAGACGAAGTGGAAAAAATGCTCACGAAGCTAAGTAAGAACAAAGCAGTTGGTCCAGATGACATTTTACCGTGGGTTCTGAGAGAATGTGCACCTGAGCTCAGCATTCCACTTCAACTGATTTTTTCAGGCATCCCTGTGTACAGGAGTTGTAGCTGATGTGTGGAAAAAGGCTAACAGTTCCAATCTACAAAAGTGGTAGTAGGGAAGACCTCCTCAATTGTATTATTGACAAGTGTAATAGTCAAAATATTGGAAAAAATAATTAAAACTAAATGGGTAGAACACCTGGAGAAAAATGATATAATATCAGACAGACTATGGTTTTCGATTTGGAAGATCCTACTGTAACACATTTACTCAGTTTCTATGATTGAGCCACAAAGATTTTACAGGAAAGAGAAAAAGAGACCTAAAAAAAGCTTTTGACAGAGTTCCACATAAGAGGCTGTTCTAGAAACTGGAACATTTTGGAGGGGTGACAGGTAAGCTTCTAACATGGATGAAAAATTTCCTAACTGATAAAAAAATGAGGGCCGTAATCAGAGGTAATTTATCGGATTGGAGGAATGTCACAAGTGGAGTACCACAAAAATCAGATCTTGCACCGGTAATGTTCACTGTCTGCATAAATGATCTACCAGATGGAATACAGAATTATATGAACATGTTTGCTGATGATGCAAAGATAATAGGGAAGATAAGAAACCTAGATGATTGTCATGCCCTTCAAAAAGACCTGGACAAAATAAGTATATGGAGCACCACTTGGCAAATGGCATTTAGTGTGAATAAATGCCATGTTATGGAATGTGGAATTGGAGAACATAGACCCCCACTCAACCTATAAATTATGTGAAAAATATTTAAAGAATTCTGACAAAGAAAGGAATCTAGGGGTTATCTTGAGATGATTTCGGGGCTTTAGTGTCCCCGCGGCCCGGTCCTCGACCAGGCCTCCACCCCCAGGAAGCAGCCCTTGACAGCTGACTAACACCCAGGTACCTATTTTACTGCTAGGTAACAGGGGCATAGGGTGAAAGAAACTCTGCCCATTGTTTCTCGCCGGCGCCTGGGATCGAACCCGGGACCACAGGATCACAAGTCCAGCTTGCTGTCCGCTCGGCCGACCGGCTCCCCTGGGTGGGGTGGTTCTAGATAGAAAACTGTCACCTGAGGACCACATTAAGAACATTGTGCGAGGAGCCTATGCTACACTTTCTAACTTCAGAATTGCTTTTAAATACATGGATGGCGAAATACTAAAGAAATTGTGCACGACTTTTGTTAAATCAAAGCTGGAATATGCAGCAGTTGTGTGGTGCCCATATCTTAAAAAGCACATCAACAAACTGGAAAAGATGCAAAGACATGCCACTAAGTGGCTCCCAGAACTGAAGGACAAGAGCTACGAGGAGAGGTTAGAGGCATTAAATATGCAAAAACTAGAAGATAGAAGAAAAAGAGGCGATATGATCACTACATACAAAATTCTAACAGAATCGATAAAATTGATAGGAATAATTCCTGAGACCTAGAACCTCAAGAACAAGAGGTCATAAGATTTAAACTAACGAAACAAAGCTGCCGGAGAAATATAAGAAAATTCAATTTTGTAAACAGAGTGGTAGATGGTTGGAACAAGTTAGGTGAGAAGGTGGTGATGGCCAAAACGGTCAGTAATTTCAAAGCGTTATATGACAGAGTGCTGGGAAGACGGGACACCACGAGTGTAGCTCTCATCCTGTAACTACACTTGTGTAATTACCCAAGGGTAATTACCTAAATGTGCTATGTTTTGTGAGTATGGCAAGCTCCTGTTATGTTACTAGTCATATACTGGTGTACTTGTGTAGTATTACCACATTCAGTATGTAAATCCACCCACTTAACATAACTAACCTACTCATAGAAAACATAGATATTTGTGAGCTTCTCCTTTTCATGGTGTTATACCACTTATTTTGTACATTAGGGACCATAATGTACAAAATGAAATACATTAGTTGAGAGGACAGGTTGCATATTCATCAAGTAGCAAAGTTCCTGTTAAGTATTCAAAAGATTACTCTGGGATGAAATGACCAATGTTTTATCAGGATGCATGTTCTCATTGATAGATTATTGAATACTGTATATAAAGACAAAATGGTTTTGTAAAGTAGAAGAAACAATAAAGTTGGTAATATTGGTTTGGTTTTCTTTTTAAGGCGTATCCAGATTTTGCAGTTGCAGCTGAAACAAGCAAAAAGATTAAAGGTAAGTTTGCCAGAATGTTAAAACAAGCCATTTTAAATGATGAGGTGGAGGGAGAGGAGCGCTACGTTGTCACCATCAGCCGAGCACACCACCATCAAAACCACCAAAATGAGATGGCCGAGGAGAGAGTACTCCCATTGCATCCAGATGTAGTGGAATATATTACCAAATTAGTGACTGATGACAATATCACATCTCCTAAAGTTATCAAATCATTAGTGACTCAGTTTTCACGTGAAAATTTCCGGCTTGGTGTCATGTCAAATGGAGATAGATGTTTTTTTCCTGTTCTTAAAGATATAAGAACTATTTTAAGACGTATTATTTGTAATGTGCAATCGAGCAAGTTTAGTTCAGTCACACTGGAAGATAATGTGTTGACTCAGGCACATGAGCCTGAACAGAAATTTCTTGTTGGAAGTGATTCAAGAATTTTGGATGATATTGTAGATTATAATGTGGATGAAAAACACTTTTTTGGTATGTCGGGTGGTTATCTTACCTTGCATTTAATCCAGGAGGCTTCTGATGATGGAAATGTTGCAACACATGTGATTTCTGCTCAGGACAGTATTAAACGTGAATTAGAAAATGTTACAGAAATTCAGACAGTTCCTAACCTATCTGAAGACACCGATACAGTTAGCTCTGACCGTTTCAAACTGTTAACGGCACTCGAACAAACAGTGCAGCAGGTTACTGAGGTCACCAACCCACAGGCTCTAAGAGAGGCCTTGAGATGCGTGAGGCAAGCGTCAATAGTCTTGGAGTCATCACTAAACAAACAATAAACATTTGATGTTATTCTTTTAAGATAAATTATGAAACTTTATTAAATACCATATTTCAAGTGTATTAATTTCAATGTTGGATGTTGCATCAATGCTTATAAATATTTGTTTTATCTTTCAAAAGTTTATAATATTTTGTAAAGACAAGTAAAAATTTTGAGATGTTAGTGCCATGAACAACTAAATAGAAGATATCTTGCATTTACACTTGACAAAATGTTACATGGAACATTCGAGCGTGTGTCTTGCTTTTCGACCGTCCCTCGCAGTCACTTGTCTCTCGATAGACTTCTTGGTGAATCGGATACTTTTGAATGTTCGTTCGCCTTATGCGTTTCAGTCCTCGTATCGGCATCCTTGAGGATATTTAGCGCCCTCTGATTATTCCGCACATTTGATGGTGCTACATATCCTTCTCGGTTTGGTGCCTTCTTTTGATAATTACTTACTTACATGGAACATCTTGTGAAGTGTAAAAGGAAGATTTTATGAAGAACAATGTCAAAAAAGGAACATTTTGAAATTGTTCACTAATAGCTGTTACTGTATGCAATTATCAGAATGAGAAATGTTTGCCATTTATATGACAAGGTAGAGAGTATACCTTTAAAATAAATGTACATCTTCAGTGTTGGATGAAAAAAAAGGAGTTTTTCAAGTAGTGGAGTTTCTATAAAATGAAACCTTTGATAGGGTGGAAAAAGCTTGCTCATGAAAACCATGATTATCCTGATTGGAGGGACTTTATAATTGGGGCAGTTTTAATAAATGGGATCAACTTTGCCAAAAATGCTGATTTTGTTGTAGAAACGGAAAAATATAAAATGCAGTCCTTATCATGTTTTAATTTATATTCAAAATGCATTATTTATTACAGTACTTGTTTTGTCTGTGAATGTCTAAGAAACCCATAAAGCATATGGTATGTACCATGAAAACAGCAAAACCTTGATATAACAGAAACCTTTTGAAGATTAGAAGAAGTTTGGTGCACTTAGTCCATTTTGTCAAGGTTCCACTGTAATCCTGTAGCACATTTTTTACCACTTAAATTCTTCAATGCGCATTGTGATGTTTAGCAGCTTTAAGACCTTGTTATTGCAAATACAGTATAGATGGTGTTGCAAATAATGGTATGCAAAAGCTCAATATTTTGGTCAGGTATTACCTCCAATTTGCTCACTCCTTTCTTTCCTAATGAGAAACATAAACTCTGGTGCTTTTGTTAGCAGTTTAAATATTAATAACAGTAGTGTGGAATGAGGTGTTTGGAAAATGCAATTTTACACTTTGCCTAATGATGTATGTTTGTAAATGAAAATTAAGGAGATATGTATTTCCTTATAAAAGAACCAGATATGATGTATAAGAGCAATAATGTCTAATATGGGTTTTAAATATTGTGTTGTTACTGTGTTAAACATCATTTATATATTATATGAAGACAATACTCAGCTTTGAATGTAATGAAATGCCTCTTTCTGGTAGAGCCCCAGTGGCCCCCTGTAGCTATCTTGCTGAGATTGCTCCAATCTAGCACTCATATCAGTTGCATGAGTTCATCTGGCCTACCAGGGACCAGAGCTGAAACCTGGCCCCTTCACATGAGGTGCAGGAAGCAAATGACATTCCGCCATTTCACTGGGAAAGCATCCAGAAGGTCGGTGATGCTTTACAAACAACTGCAGGTTCGCAAGACTCGAAAACCACTAAAATGTCAAATAAATCCCCAAAACAAGATAAACAAAATAAAACACAAAACTAGCTAGAACCAGAAAGTTCTGAATGCTGCCACCAGGCAGCCAGGCACTTATGCAGCTATGAGATCAGTTCAGGAGCAGATAAACCCTGCCACAAATCAATGAACAGAGAAGGGAGGAAGGAACACGAGGAGCCACCGGGGCTCTTCCAGAACAAGGCATTTCATTACATTCAACACTGGGTTTCTGAGGTGGCTCCATGTAGCTAAAAAGAGGCTCAGTCCCTCTTTTGTAGCACAAAAGAGGGACTTACTACAGAGAGGAGGAGAGGCAGCAAGCACTAAGTTGAAGTAGAGACCAATGACCGGGAAAACACAGGACCAAAGAGGACCAGGGACTACCTGGCCGCTATAACCCTTTTAGCCCTCAAAACCCCCAAGCCATAATATCTGCCCAAGACATATTAGAGAAGACCACATGTGTACAGCATATTTGCGAACATCATGGGGCTCAAGGATAGACTGCAGGGGTTGGCTAGCCTTGATGATACTGTGGACAACCTGAAAAACAGGAGTGTTGGAATAGGGGACCAAGGAGACTGGATTAACCGAAAGAGTGTCCGCCGAAGCCGAGGCAGTGGCACAAAGGTAGTGACATATTCCTGTCGCCGAACACAACAAATGATGCACCCCTGGCTGTATCAACCAATCATCGATAACCAAAGGACCCCATCAGAAGCCCTCTGACTTGTTCTTTGCCAAAAAAGAAGGAACGGTTGCAAATTAAAAAAAATGCCCACTAGGCACAAGAAAGCAGAGCCCCCCTCAGGAGAAGAGTTTGAAGCTTACAAAACCAATGATCAGAGGCAAGAGCCAGCAAAGACACCACTTTAAAAAAAGGAATCCTAGACTGAAGGGGCAGACATGAACGAAGAGACAGGAGAGAAATTCTAGGACTGTTCAAGGAACAAGATGGCTCAGAAGCATGAGCTGGCCAGAGGTAAAAAAAGCTTGAGAAAACTTGCAGAACAGAACTGCTAGTTTAATATTAAGAATCGAATTGATATTAATAGTCTCCGTGGTGTAGTGGTAAGACACTCACCTGGCGTTCCGCGAGCGCTATGTCATGGGTTCGTATCCTGGCCGGGGAGGATTTACTGGGCGCAAATCCTTAACTGTAGCCCCTGTTTAACGCAACAGTAAAATGTGTACTTGGATGAAAAAACGATTCTTCGCGGCAGGGGATCGTATTCCAGGGACCTGCCTGAAACGCTACGCGTACTAGTGGCTGTACAAGATTGTAACAACTCTTGTATATATCTCAAAAAAAAAAAAAAAAAAAAATTGCCAAAAACAGCGATTCAACCAGTTCTGACAATAAGAGGTGATAGTATTGGGTATGAGATACCGCTCAAAAAATCACCATGAAAGAAAAGATTACGCCACTCAAACCCAAATCAAAATTGAAGACAGATGGCAAAGAGACAAAACGAGGTGAAACAAGTGCCAAGCTACTTCATACTGCTGCCCTGAAGACAAATGCAGATGGGAAAGTAATAACCCTACCCCCCCACAAGCCATCAAAATGGCGATATACCTTGATCAGAAAGTTGAGATGCAAAAAGATGTGAAGGAGGTTGAACTAGCAAGGAAAGTCGCTGGGCTGATGCTCTGAAAGAGGCAGAGCTGTGGAAAAATGCCCGGATTCAGACACCGAGCTAGAAGAGCAACCAAGGCTGAACCAACCACCAAGGAGCCAGAAGGCCCTGAGCCCTGAGAATGACTCCAGTATGGAAAGATGTGAAAGGTACTGTGGGACTGGAAGGTGCCATGAGAACCGAAACTTGAAATGTCCAAAGAGGAAGCCAGTGAACCAACAATTAGTGGAGGGTAGCTGGGGCCTTAACCTGATGGTCATGGCAGCAGCAAAATGGATGGAGCCAGAGGAACTGGTAGAAAGTCCTGAGTAGGCTCAAGGGGCCTATCCTAGGCCCTGCAGTCATAGGATAACCAGTACTTAGCTTAGAAGCTCTGGGACTTACTGCAAGATGATGTGACAAAGGAATACTACTGCATTGCTCTTGGCTACACATCAGCAGATGAATTGAACTGATCTGATAGCTGATGAACTGAATGTCGGGTCGCCTGGTGGCGTCATTCGGTCCTCCCAGGTTCTAGCCTGTTTCTTTTATTTTCTTTTGTTTGGGTAATTATTTGGCCTTTTGGTGGTTTTTGAGTCCCAGCAGTTGTCTGTAAAGCTTTGCTGACTTTCTGGATGCTTTCCCAGTGAAATGGTAGTGTCATTTGCTTCCTGCACCTCATGTGAAGAAGCCAGGTTTCAACTCTGGTCCCTGGTAGAGCAAATGAACTAGTGCAACTTTTGTGACTGGTAGATTGGAGCAATCTCGGTAAGATAGCTACAGGGAGCCACCAAGGGTCTTCCTCTGAAAAGTACATTTTATGATACCAGATGTGTTCTTGTGATTCAGTAAATTTAAAATTAAAAAATTTACAGTATTTGTAAAAAAAAAATCATTTGACCAGTTGTATATAAATGAATAAATATTCTTTGATAAAAGTTCAGTTTAACAGATTAAAAAATACTAATTTTTAAATATATTTATTATCATTAATGGTAACCTAAATGCACTGGAGAGCATCTCTAGGCTGTGTAAACTGGCATGTTTACACAATCCCATGGCTTGGTCTTCCAAAATAATCTATCCTGCTTCTAATCTCCATAGAGTATGTCTTATTGAATTGACTATTTGTAGGACATGATCCTTAGTCCTACTTTGTTAATGTTGATTCTTGCCTTTCTCAGTACTGTACATAGTTAAATGCTCTAATCATCTTAGCGAGTGTGATCTGACTTGCCTAACTTTCTGTGTTCTATCTCTTTGTGTGTAATTTGATTTATCTTTTTTCATCCTTCATATATTTACTTTTTGCATTTACTCTCAACCACCACTATATTTATTTTGCTTAGTATCTCCTTTCATCTGGGAAGCTGCATTTGCCGTTTTTCATGCTATTTTCTGTGGGGAGCCCCTGTCGGCTCCCTGGAGCTATCGGGCTAATATGCAATTTTTAGACCAGGGCAATAGTCAATGGAGTTCTGCCTACCGGGGACCACTAGCCAGAACGTGGCCCCCCTCAGAGAGGCAAAGGGAGCAATGGCCCTGGGGAAACCCCTTGTATGGTTGGGGGTTAACTTCATCTGGCATTGACCTGGGTTAGGCATCCAGAAAGGTAGGCTTAACAAAACAGACCCCACATGCTGGAAAGGGGGGGGGGTGAGCCCTGGACCCACCGCACCAGCTACTCAACCTCAGTTTGCTGGCTGTTGCAATCCAGGGCGGTCGTCATCTCTGGTCTCAGTGTCTAAGTGTTTTCCATCATGGTGTCCTCTACTGTTCCGTGGTGGGTGGCCAGGTGGTGTACCGGGGCTGCATGCATCCTTCCCTAAGTGACCTGTGAGTACTACTATTGCATATCAGGTTTCTCTTAGTCCCTCTTTTACTTATCCTTGGTTATGTAGCTCCAGGGAGCCAACAGGGCTCCCCACAGAAAATCGGCGTTGAATGTAATGAAACACCATTTTGCCGCAACTCCCAGCAATTGAACATCCCGCACAACTCTCCTGAGACACTCACTGCTTGAGCGAGCATGTGGTGATGACATCATCAGCATTTTCTAGTCATGGTAAGTTGATTTTATTTTGTATTTTTCCTGTAGTGAGGGAATATTAGAATTGTTTGTTTATTTTTTTTTTATGCACACATAAGTGTTGAACCACATAAACAGGTGTGCAGCCCAAGGGTTAACTGGAGGAAAAGAAAATATGGGAGAATCAGTGGAATCTGGAAATAAAATGTAAAGAAATATCCATACCATATATGGATAACACAAGTTGAATATACTCGAGTCATTATCAAAGCCATCTTTGTCCATAACATCAAAAAGACATGATGCAGAACTTTAATATCAAAATATATAAAACCACAAAGTACAAATGGTTAGGTTTGATATATTTAGTGTCAAAAGAATTCAGTTTGGTAAATGTGACGTGCATGTAGTCAGCTCGTGTTACTGGGACCACTGCACTTAGTTACAAATTCTCTTGAAAGCTGATACCTGCTTGATGGGGTTCTAGGAGTTCTTCTACTCCCCAAGCCCGGCTTGAGGCCAGGCTTGACTTGTGTGACTGAGGCCAGGCTTGTGACTTGCAAAAATGAACTTGAGACAAGTTAATTTTTCCTTCTTTTTAGTATGGAGGTGAAATGCCAGCACTACATTGGGACATTGAGTTTCTCATTCATGAATTATTGTAATTATGACAAAGTAGTACTTTTAAAGAAAAAACATTTTAAAATTGTTATGCTTTATTCAATTCATACAAAATAAACTGCCATACTTGGTCAAAACTGTGATACAAGATATGAAAAAAATCTATTAAGAGGATTTATGAATCTTAAATATTCCTTAAAAAAAACAAAAAACATAAAGCATACTTCACACACCCAAATTGTCTGGAGTTCATTCCATATAATGTTATCATCATCTCTGAATTGCTACTGCACAAAAATGTGATGGATTCCAAGCAAGGGAATACTCAAGATTGATTGGGACATTAAATATGTTACCGATGGACAGCAATGTTTTTGATGCAATGATATATGTACAAGTGACAGACAGAAGTTGCTTTTGATTATACAAATGTGGGTGCTGGAAAACAAGTTTACTGAGAATTTTTCCTTTTTTATTCAGTGTGTCGCCTTCTTCTTGCAGCCACTGTGGGACAGTATTCTGGCTTACATTCTTGTGAGATTCTTTAAGTGTATCTAACATTGCCTTGGCCATTGTATAGCTCAGCTGTTTGGGTTCTTTATACAAGTTCATTGTATGTGATTGAAAGAGAGATGATTTAGAATTTGGTAAAGATTTATTTAATGACAAAAAATCATCATTGTACTGGCCAGAACAAAGTCTCCAAATAACTCGAAAAGTTGACCAGTCACTGGTATGAATGCATTTCCTGACAATATACTTAGCAAATTCCAGTAAAGCAAGATTTGGATGAAGCAGATCCTGCGAGAGAAGTTGCCAGCTGCAACACTCATTTGATAAACCTTTCTCCAAGATGTTCATTGTACTCGTATGATAATTAGTATTTGAAAGTGAAAGCACAATATGACATGCTGAATCTCTTATGTCTGAATCCTCATCTTGTAGTAGCTCAGTGCATGCAACAATTATGTGTTCTTTATTTGCTGTGCAAATATCTTTCAGAGAGTAAAGCAATGTCTTTAATGAAATCTTTAGTGCAATACTTGCAGCTAACCGATAATCCTCAGTGGAAGTTGGGGCAGAGTACAAACTGATGATGTCAGAAAAGGCAAATAATAGGGCCATCTTCATTTTGCTTCCAGGCCACAAATCATCATTTAATTTTTTAAATAAATGAGCAACGATAACCAGAGCTAGCGACGTAGCTTTAGCACCATATCTTCCCTTGAGCAATATCAAAAGGTTTTCCACACACTTTTCAGACGGACCAAAATTAAGGCTAGCATTTTCATCTAATATGACACACAACATCTTCATCACTCCTAACAAACTTCTTCGTGTTGAAGTTCTTTGTTCCAGCCTTTGCCATAGTAATTTTTCAAATTTGCATATTGAAGAACTATTTGTTTGAATTTTCAAATTAACTACTAGTTGCTCGATCTTTTCCTCCAAATCATGTTCAGATAATATCTTTTCAAGTACATCATGAAAATTTTGTTCGGTGATCATCATTGTAAAATTATGCAAATATTCTGGTGCACCTGGCTGAAATGAATCTGAAGGCTTTGGGTTAGTTGTGATATTCACCTGCAGGAGACTAAGGATATTTACAGCAAGGTCAGCAATAATGGAACATTTATTATTTGGTTCCAGGAGCCAACCCAGTGAAGCAACAACACTGTTTTTCAGTTGCTGATCACTTGCAAGCTTAGGATATGTTTGTAGAAAGCTTTTCAGTGTAAATAGGTTACCATGAATTCGATTTGTATTGGTTAACTCTGGTATTTTTAATATATTTAGAATGTCGTTAATGCAACAGTGAGCCTGCTCAATGGGAGTAAGTGCCACAATTGCCAGGGATGCAAGTCTGCGGATAGTATATACAGGTGAACCCAAGAGCCTGTTCGTAACCTCACAAAATTTTCCAAGTGTGTCGTTAAGCTCTTTATTCTGCTGTAATCCAGTCCCAGGTGAAAGTCTTGCCAATAAACTCAATACTGGGACTAGGCTAGATGACATTTTTATAGAAATTCGTTCTTTTGAATGTACAATTTTCTCTTTTATGTCTTTATCACATGTAAGTCTCTTGCATGAACTTGTAAGTAGCTGAAGAAGTGACTCTGCAAGGTTTGGGTGTCGAAACAGAAACTCCGGAGCTGTGAGACTGTTCAGGGTAGATGACTCGTCACGCACTTTCTTCTGACCCACCATTCTAGGCACTACTGCTCCATACAACTGTAGAGCTGCATTTCTGAAAATGTAAATGATTAAAGCATTAATTCGTCTCATATTTTACAACCCAGGTTACTCCCTCAAGAGGAAATTTTACCAGTTTACTCAATTTCAATATATAGTAGAATTGCTGAAGATAGCATTTGTTTTAATTAACTTTAGTCACTCGCATAATTACACATTTACTCCAAATAATTATTTTTGCAAAGGTAAATTGCCATCTTGTTCCTGTGAGCTAATTACTAGTTATAAGAAGTATTCTTAAACGTAGTTAAGAACAATATCTTCATTAACAATATCTACAACTCGAACAATATAACAGATTTTAGCACAGAACACAGCAGACTTTAAAAGAGGAATTAAAAATATGCCCAGGCACTTGGCTCTATAAATATGGAACTCCGGGAATCAGGATATAAAGTGCAAAATACCATTACCACGAGGGAGGGAAGGGGGGCCAAGAACACACCTGTACAGAGCAACAATCTTTCAAGCCATTACCCGAGACCGAGAAGAAAAGCACGCGTCATCCTGTGACGTATCTGAACCCTCTAGGGCAAGATGAATAAATCTCTTAGGTGAAAGCAGAGCAACTTTTAGGATCCCAGCAGAGATGCATTCTCAACTGCACCAGGCAAGTGAGGGGGGGAGGGGCGACTGGGATCCTGGATGACCTGGGCTGCCATGTGGTAGTGATCAGAGGCATCAAGGTTAGTGTTATTCACCTGCAGCTATGAAGGCTTCCTTTGTTTGCCTCAGAATTGATTTCTTGTTCACACTGTAGTGTGTATTGTCTTGCCTATCTTTGTTGGGATTTTCTTAGGGACCAGATATTGACCAAAAAAGCTAAGTTTCCCTCACCTCATAGAGTGAGATTCTGATCCTGGTCCCCAGTATGGGTCTCAGAGGACCTGGTGCTCTTTTCAAACTTGGCTACACCGGAGCACACACTATGGAAAGCTACCGAGGTAGTCTCCCTGAAAATACACTAAAAACAAGAACAACAAAATAAGGTAAGAACAATAAGGTGAATATCTAAATATCTAAACTACTGAACTGGTTGTATCTAAAATAAACTACTGAGAATAGTTACATTACCAAAGATATACATATACATAAATCAATAAGGCAACCTTATAACATGTCTCCTCCCTTACTCTGTAATGAACGATAAAACAGCTTTTATCAAATGTAGGTAACCCCCTAGTTATACCTTATTTGAAGCAAGTGTTGTCAAAGAGAAGAATCATCAATAGAAAAAACGGCTGTCTTTAACTTTGCTACAGTAGCACTTTGTTCGACAACCAAAAATACAGTACAAAAGCAGATATCAAGAGAAGAAATTGATGAGTATACATACCATATAAGAAAATACTGCAACCAAACAAAAAACTGACAAAGTGAGAACATAACAGAGAAAGAAGTCATTTAAATACCAAAATCTGTTCTTACCAAACCCATTGCACATTCTTGTATATAAATAACAAAATAAAACAATAGCTTAAATTTTGATAGGAAGGAACACACAATGAAATTTACTCATTTGCAGCTCAAACAAAGATACTGTAAGAAGCACGATGGGAATACGACGGCTTACCTGAGAGCCCACGAGTCGTGGGTGAAGGCTTGTAGACAGGTAGCAGTAATGGGAGGCATGTGGTGGAGGAGGTGATGGGCCAGCGGAGCATGGATGACCAGAGAGTGGAGTACATGCAGAGCCAAAACTGGAGGGGAGTCTGTTGTACTTTTCTCCTCGTACTATAAATGAAAAGCAATCTTGCCATGAGAATAAATACACAGTAATTACAGAGAGCTTGCATGATAAACTAGTTGATTAAGTATTTCCTATATCCAATTGATGTACAGCACTTAAATAGGAGACAAAAAGAGTAATATTTAAGCAAGCTCAAATGTAGTCAAAGACTAAGATGCTGTACTAGTGCTAATAATTATCTTCTGAAAATATAGTAAAACATTTGTTAGTATCGCAATGTATCGCATATTAGCCCGATAGCTCCAGGGAGCCGAAGGGGCTCCCCCCACAAAAAAGTTAATAATAATTGTATGACCTCATAACCATAATATATTTTGGTGATGTCTGACACAAATTGGTAAAATACAGTTGGCATTTACCTAAAACTGCACATTTGATGTAAACAGTATTCAGTTCTGATGGTCATATTTCCCAATTTCCAATAAAATGTGGTACACACTTGTATTCTTTATAAGAAATGGGGTCACATTGAAAAATAGTTTACCAATATTTTAACCCAGTGTAACAAGTGAAAAGTGGTGATATGACTAACAACCTACCTCTGTCTTAGCAATATTAACAAGGTTAATTATGGTGTCATTAACGAGTGCTGCATTAGTGCGTGGAGCCGCACCACATGCAGCTTGTATCATCATGGCCATCCCTGCTGCACGACGTGTTATGGAGGTACGAGCACCAGACTTCAGTTGATCTAAGATTTCTTGAACCTATAAACAAAACTTTATATTAATTTTTGCATTTGTATCTAATTCTCTATGATTCCATTATTTACATTTGAATTATTCATGTTTTTTCTCATCTAGAAATAAACTGCTTCATTTTAGTAATCTTGTATTTGTTCTGTTTGAAAAGCACACCAATGACAGTTATTTTATAAGTAATTTAAAATTCTTATAATTTTCTTGGACAAATTAAAATCACTGTAGCTAAATCGCCACAAACATGAACAGCACCTGTTTATATACAAGTTGCCCAATTTTTGAGTCGGTAGTGAGTAGAACGTGGCAAAGTTGGCTGTAAGCAGTTCTCGCACCCTCCATTGCTCCTTTGTGTCTAGTGCCTGTTAATACACGAACCACAACAGCACGCAACAATTGTTCAATTTGGTCTTCCCTAACAGAGTTCAGCCAGCGGGACACACACATGCTGGACACTGTACAGCATGTCTGAAAAACAAACCTGGTAAGAAACTTAATTTGTCAGTCACTTATAGTGTTAAAAATGTGTTTCTGGGCATTATATGATTGAAACCTTTACCTGCATGGTCTGTCACCAGTAACAAAGATAGTTTAATAACATAATTTTATAAGAGTATCAAAGAATGCAATCATGCAGACTAAAATAATTATATTTTTCACAATATGATGAATCTCCAGTAGGTCTTACATGGGAATAAAACAAGTATACATTTCCAGCACTGTACTTGCATACAAAATGTGACAAAATTCTCTGAACAAAAGACAAGTCTCGTTAGTAAATTTGCCTATGAGCTACTCGAGAGATTTCTAACTAAATAGTGAATATAACTCAAGTTACAATCTATTTAACTCTGATGCAATCTGTATTCATGTCTGACTGTTTGCTCTACATTACTTCCATGTTTAACTAGCATTGTGACAATGGGTGATATAAAGGCTTAAATAACAGAGGTCGCCTAACGAGACGAATTGTTGGCGATCGGGGCGTTCGTTACCCAAAATGGTCGCCATTTGAGGCGGTCGTCACTCGAGGTCCTACTGTACTCAATGCAGGTGAGGGAAGACCCGACCCTTGGGAAGGTGGAACGACTGACCAACTCCACTACAAGCTGTATGAAATGACCTGAAAAGCTCCAAAAATTTGGGACCAGGAGCTGGCAAACTAGGCAAGCTGCCCCCCCCTCCCCCCACTGCCAATGTATCCCCCATACAGGATTCCCAGGGCTTGAAGGGTAAACTAAGCAGGACATACAAGCACATGAGCCACTAGTGTGCTCCACCAGCCAACACTTTCTCACTAAAGACAGAGGGGGGTAATGAGACCCCTGACACACCCAAGGCAAGGCCCACTCCAAGCAGGAAGGCCCTCTTAAGAGTGAACTCTCAAACACACCAGAAAAGATGTCCATATTCAGAGAAAGAGCGAGAGCAAATGGTCATTGAGGGGTGCAAAAGATAGGGCCCCAGGAACACCTGCAACACAGTCGACACTCAATGCCACTGAAGTGTGTTGGTATGACAATAGCTGCGTCAAGCTCCAATGAAAACAAAAGATTGTCTACTAGCCAGAAAGACTCATAAAGCATAAAAAAGGGAGAGAAAGACCCAAATTGAAAAGAGGAAGGGTCCAACAAGGAGGCATAATCAGGGTCTTGAAGGAAGGACCCAAGAAGGAATATCCAGAAGGGCTATCCCAATGGGCTCAAAGGTACAGGGGAGCCAAATCCTGGGGAAAAAGACTCGTACCCAAATTATACTCATACACGGAGGGAGGACACAATAACCTCTCCCTGAAAAAGGAGACCCTTCTTGGACGGAACAAAACAATCACTTGGAGTCTTAAGGAACCCAAGGGTTCAGACTCCCATGGGTTCTTTTCGTATCACTATCATATTTCATGATACTGGGGAAGTATCAAACTTCTCTACCCACCCACCCCCAAGCTGCAAAGAGGCCCCAGGGCAAAGCTGGGGTCCACTGGGGAAAAGTAGAGTCCAGGGGAAAAAGCTTCAAAAGAGGGGTGGTGGGAAGCTGGCTGGAAGGAAAACCCTAAATCTTTGGTGGAACTAGCCAGCTCAACTGCCTCCATGCCTAAAACAGAAGGGGGCAACCCCTGAAGCTGGTAACCCACATTCTGAGTTTAACTACACTCCGACCTGGAATCCCAAGGCATTTCAGGGGCCAGAATTGGGAGAAAGGGAGGATCAGCAGAAGGGAAAGGAAGAGAAGGGGAACCTTTGAAACCAAGATGGCATTCACCAGCACCTTCAATTCTGGATCCCTAAGTCCCAGTTGGGGCACCTCTAGGGCATCGAACTGGGCACATGACCCAGACTGCTGTAAAAAAAAAAAAAAAACTGTAACATGGAAGCTGCTTAATATGCCCTAACCTCATCAGAAGCACCAGAAGAAAGAGACACATAGGGAGAACAAACCTCCACAGGATTCAGGGTCGAAGGTGTCACTGACCCAACAGGCAGCATGGCGGAGGCAGCATAAGTGATCTTTGTCTCATGGCATGGATAACAAGCAACCCTGAAACTCACAAGGCGAGAGCAGATTTGGTGGGATCATCAAACCCCCAGAGGAATTACTGATGCCTGAATTGTAAACCAAGCAGGACACCCAAGCACTGGGGATGCTACATAGACCTAAAAGCAAGCCAACACAGCCTTGGGGTACACAGCTGTGAAGGCCAACCTCAGCTCACTGAAGGGAAGCTCATGAAGCACTAGTGTGCTCAGCCAGCCAAAGTTGATCCCAACCCAGGTTAAGACGTCGATCCCAACATCTGGCGAAGTCACCAGACCCCCACGTCACCCCATGTGAGGGCCACCACAAGCAAGGAGGACCACTCAGGGAGTGACCCAGAAGCACTCCAGAGAAGACATCTCTGGCATTGCAAGGGCAGTGCTAGGGAGTACACATGAATGGTAACCCTGAGCACATACAGCTCCAAGTACTATTTGTCAGGCTCATGCTTCACTGCAGTGTGCAAGAAAAGCCAGCAAGGGTAAAGACCCTAAATCACTTAGCTCAACAGTAGAGCCCGCACGAAAGAAAGACAATTTGGGAATGATTACACCAGTCAGTGACCCTGACTGCTTCAGAGTAAGAACTAACAGTTCAGACCCCTGGAAGCAGTGAGTCTTTTTGCCACGCCCCCTCAAACAAGTGGCGAAGGTGAGATGAAGGAGCTCATACTAGTTTCGAGAGATTTGATCATTTGTTTACATAGTTGGGAAGTTCATTAGGCAGGTTGTAAGGCTTCAGTCTATTTTGAACATGGCTGTGGTTTGTTTCGACTCGCTGACTTTCTGGATGCCTTCCCCAGTGAGGTGGTGTAATGTCACCACCAGAGGAGGCCAGGCTCTAGTTCTGGTTTCCAGTAGGCCTAAGAACTCCAAGGCTGATGAGACCTGGTAGAAGAGAACCATCTCAGTGTATAGCTTCAAGGAGCTACAAGAGGCTCCCTCCAGAAATGTGCAGGAGTAATGGAGAGATCTTTGATATGCCACTGGTTTCTTGTCTCTGTTGAGGCTACTAAAGATGATGTGTCTGGTAAATTTATGTCTGTGCCTTCTGTCAGAAAATAGGGTACAAAAGAACAACTAACCTTTAAAGTTTGCCAGCAACATGCTACAATTAATAAATGGTCCTCGCAGAGAGAACCGTCTTCATCGTCATCATCCACACTATTTTCTGGTATGTCTTCATGCCTATCATGAGAAGAACTTGCTTCTCTTTCTGATGGCCCCTCCAGATTTCCTCCACACTCTTGGATGATCAACTCCACAGCTGCTCCCATCTCGGCAAATGATGGAGCAATGGCTGGGATTTTTATTTATTGTTAGTTTTGATAAAATATTTAATTACCAAACATATAAATACAGCACAGTACATTTGTAATATTTGATCAATATAAATACAAGTTATCTCAAACACATTAAGCTTCATCAGATTTGTGTCACTGGTTATATAACAATTTACATGTTAAAACAAATTATTCAATGACAGAATTTGTTTTAGTTCTGATAGCAGATATTTGCTGAGTGTTGATGGGCTTGAGGTAATTTGCAGTGGTTAAACCTCATGCACAGATACCATATGTAAGATAGGAATAGATTAGCACATAGTATAATGAGAGGAGAGGAGAGCAGAGTGGGGGATCACAATATCTGATTTTAGAGAGTATACCGACTGTTTGAGACTTTTTTGGCTGTGTGTTGTATGTGGGTACTGAAGTTGAGTCTCTTGTCTATGTATAGGATAAGGAACTTTATCTCATTTTTATTGCTAATGTTAACATTGTTTATCTTAAGTTGAATCTGATTTGAAGATTTACTACAAAATAAAATGCAGTAGGTCTTTTCTATGTTTAGTGTGAATTTGTTTAACATCCATTATCTTGAGATTATCTTGAGATGATTTCGGGGCTTTAGTGTCCCCGCGGCCCGGTCCTCGACCAGGCCTCCACCCCCAGGAAGCAGCCCGTGACAGCTGACTAACTCCCAGGTACCTATTTACTGCTAGGTAACAGGGGCATTCTGGGTGAAAGAAACTTTGCCCATTTGTTTCTGCCTCGTGCAGGAATCAAACCCGCGCCACAGAATTACGAGTCCTGCGCGCTATCCACCAGGCTACGAGGCCCTGTGAGTGAAATTATTTTATTTCATTATTTACAATATTTATTATTTAGTGAGTAGGGGTTGGGGTCAGAATAGATGAAGGTAGTATCGTCAGCGTCAGAATTCTCTAAAGGAATATATGCTTATAATGCCAAAAAGCCCGGTGTGCAACCTGAAATTGACCGAGTGTACTCATGAGCGTTACACATAAAATGTGTATACTCTGTTCAGTTTTCTCACCTGAATTTTAATGCTATGTAGTTCATTCTGGTATCAAATTGTTGATACTCTAAAGGCGTGCATTTTAAAACTAGTTGCATAATGATTGGGTAAAAACTGGAATTTTAACAAATATTTTAATTTTGGACAACACATGCGTCCCCGCCAGACATCCGCAGAGTTATTTGTGGACATCAAATCCGTCTCCGGGAGGACGAAAGTGTTAAGTATGAGAATTACTTAGAGGAAGCAAAACATTAAAAATAGAAAATACAAAAGATATACTGTACAGTATAAATATACATACTGTACAATAATAAAATGGTGTCATTTTGAAGCATCAAAGGATAACACAAATATATTTGTAGTATGAAGATATTTGGTAAATAACTTACCTGAGCCATTTGGTGATGCACATGCTAATTTGGACAACATGAATTCCACTATTTGCACCATTAGGTTGGTTAATCTTTCTACAAAGTGTTGCATTTCTTTTGATGGCAGAGCTTCAGCTTGTGTTCCTTCGCATAAGCATCGACCTAAAGCCTTAAAATATTAAATAAAAGTATTAATAATCTGTTAATATCATTATAGTTATCAATTGTTGTACAAATGAGAATAAAAAACAACACTGAATGTAATGAAATGTCTCTTTCTGGAATAGTCCCAGTGGCTCTCTGAAGCTTTCTTGCTGAGATTCTATATACTAAAGGGTCATGTCAGTTTTGGAAATTCTGTTTGGCCTACTGGGAACCAAAGCCAGAACCTGGCCCCTCGCAGAGACACAGGGAGTGAGTGACCATCCATCACCCCACTGGAAGAAGTCTCCAGAAAGTCAGTGAAGCTTTACAGACAACTAGAGGCCTCCAACCCATCCTCAGACCAAGTCCATTCTATCCAGCGGTCGACCCCAAAGGTGTGTTCATCAATTTTAACATTCTGTTCATTCAAAACAGAACTTTTCTCAAATATAAATGAATATTATTATATATTAGCATATTGTGCATATTTAGGCACTAGTTAGGTTAGGTGTTTAGATTCTGTTGCCAATTATTTGTATTTGTAGTATGCGGGTGAAGCATTTACAGCGTTGTAGTTCGAACAAATGTCGTCAGTGAAGCACTTGTTCCGGAAGTGTTTGGACGTCATCAGTTGTGAGTCTTGTGTAAACTGTTTTTCATTCATAAATAGAGGGTTTGGTGAGTGCATGGAGTGGACTTTGGGCCTTTGTTTAAAGGACGGGCTGAGGCCTCAGAAAATGAAGCCTAGAAACTGCCAAACAACTCTACAAACAATTCAAACAGAACAAGGGATTCACTCAAACTAGCTCTGAAACTCATTAGCAGTGATTACCACCACCAGGCTTCCTGGCCCCCACACTAAAATTAACTTATCACCTCGGTTCTGGAGCTGATGAACAACCCACAATAAACTGATGAACCTGGAGGAAGGTGAGGGAATCAGGAAGCCACCAGGACTCCTCCAGAATGAGGCATTTTATTACATTCAATGCTGGGTTTCTGGAGCCCCATCTTTGGTGGCTCCACAGAGAAAATGGGACTTATCAGGAAGGAGGAGAGGCAGCAAACACTTAGGATGGAGAAGAGAATCCAGGCCAGGAGACATGGCCTAATGCAACACATGACTGACTGAGATCAGGGACATTGACTATACTGTATACCAGACCAATACAATCATGTTAAAATGCCAAAACCTGAGCTCAAATATCAATCCATGACACAGATATCTGCTTGAAGTTTTTAAATGTCTTCAGCAGAGGTAATTTTCATGCTGATTTTTTGTTTCATCTGCAAAGGATGATATAAAGCTGTGACTTGTATTTTTGTCTATATCTGATATGAGAATAAGGAAAAGCAGTGGAGCAAGGACTGTACCCTCAGGTACAGAGGTTTTAAATGTGCTTGGAGGCGATTTTATATGGTTGACTGTTACTCTTTGTCTCCTGTTCGACAGAAAACTGAGTATCCAGCATCCTACTTTACCAGTTATTCCCATTGACCTCATTTTGTGTACTATCACTCCATGGTCACATTTATCGAATGCCTTTGCGAAGTCCGTGTATACCACATCTGCATTCTGTTTTTCGTCTAATGCCTCAGTGATTTTGTCATAGTGGTCAAGTAGATGTGAGAGGCACGATCTTCCCGCTCTAAATCCATGGTGGCCTGGGTTGTGAAGGTCATTGGTCTCCATGAAACTGGTGACCTGACTCCTGATCACTCAAATTGGTCTATAATTCTTTGCCAATGCTTCGCTCCCTCCCTTGTGTTGAGGGGCTATGTCTCCTGATTTAACCCTTTAACTGCACTGCCTCCAAATATAACACCCCCACAGTGCGCAGGAAATAAATTCTCTTGAATTTTTTTTTTTTTTTTTTTAAAGTGTCAAAAACCCTTCCATCAGTATGGGTATATAAAAAAAATTTGAAATTGTACTTACTTTGGCTGCTATGGGGTCCGTAAGTTGGCGCGTGACGTCATCATTCCCCGTTCGCCCGTGACGTATGCTCCCAGGGCCAGTAGGGTGCCCGGGGCGGGGCACGCGAGTTGCCGCCAATATATTTTTCTTCATTTTTTGCGTACAGTTCCAAATACATTTTATTTGTTTTTATGTGCTAATCCTATGTATAATGAACAAATACACTATATTATGGCAGTAAAACATCCGTACTGTCCGAAGACACTGTGTTAAGTGCATGACACTTGTGTACACATATGTTGCACATATTTACCATGTATCATGCTAATTTATGTATATATACAATCTATTTACAGACTATACATGTCACACACTATATACATTCACCATCAACACATTCAGAACACCGTGACTGTGAGCTGTCACACCCAGCCAGCCCTCCCTCACTCCTCCAACATTGTATTCACCAACATTGCTCCTCCCATCATACAGTTATTCACACCAATGTTTCATGTTCATTTATGTATATTTACAACATATGTACACATTATACACTGTCACACACTATATACATTCACCATCAACACATTCAGAACACCGCGAGTGTGAGCAGCCACACCCAGCCAGCCCTCCGTCACTCCAACATCTTACTCGCCAACATTGCTCCTCCCACCATACTGTTATTGTTTTTATTACACTATTTACACATGTTATATATACCTATCTACATTTTTATTTATGCAAGTAAGCTGGTATTTTTATTTATGCAAGTAAGCTGGCATTTTTATTTATGCAAGTAACTATGCAAGTAAGCTGGTATTGTGTCCAAACAGTACAGTGGCCACCATACACTGCATGAGAAATCACACATCAGACAGCAGATGACGCTACAATTACGATGTCACCTCCCTCACCAAAATAGCTCCTCTCAACATACTCCTGTTGCTGTTATTACACTATATACACACACTCTTTGTATATACCCATGTACATGTGTGTTCCTCATAGCGAACCACGACGCTAGTATGGTGTGCAAAACAAGAGTGGCTGCCACACATAGTGAGGCTACCTCAATTCTTTCCCTTCCTCCTTCCCTCGCCAAAATTCCTCCTTCCACAATACTACGCACAACACTAATTATAACCACAATCCTGGTCACTGATTCCTGTAAATGAATAACTGACCACAAGTTTATTTTGAAAAGGAGCCTAAGAAGTCGTTTGAAGATTCCTAGATGGACGAAATAGTGCTGTGGTGCTGTGGCTAGCGCTGTGAACATCGTGAACAGCATTGAATCACTGATATTTGAACATTGTACCCAGTCATTATCACACTCAGGCTCTTCTATAATACTATCATGGCTAAATAATACAGGTTATATATATATTTTGACATTATTAGGCGATGCTGTGGTTTCACGCTGAACAGGAGTGCTGTGCGCTCATGCTGCGAGCGCCAGCCTTGGTTGCTCACTCACTACTGAGGCTCTCACACCTGGGAATGTGGACCACGATTTTTTTTAAAGATGGCGTCTGTTTACAAGAGCCCTGAGGAAGCTGATGTGAAACCCATGTAGCCACGGGAGTTTTGAATGGAACGTGAAAAATACAAATACCCGGAAGCGCGTAGCGCACCACAGACATGGACCTGCAGGCGCGTTGCGCAGTTAAAGGGTTAAGTGCATCTGGTATCTCCCTCGCGTCCAAGCTTTTCCTGCACACTATACAGTGCCTATGCTACTGGCACCTTGCATTTCTTTATAAATATTGAATTTCATAAATCTGGACCCAGAGCTGAGTGCATGGCATGCTTTCAATTTCTCTTTCAAACTTTGCCACACTCGTGTTGATAACAGTTATATTTACAGGGGGTTTGAATTCGACGAAGTGATGGATTCGTTGCAACAGGCGATGCCTTAAGGGGGCTTTTATGCAATGCATTATTTAGTATTATAAATCAAGAATATTTCATTGCTATATACAGTACTACTAAACTGTATAATAATGAATCATACTATCTGTATACTGTATACCTTAGAAAAGGCACACTGTATATAGTACTGTATACAGAATTTTGCTTGAATCATCTCGAGGCGCCATTTATAATTATAACTGCCTTGCGTGTGATGGTTACAAAGGATGTCAGTAACTGTAAACAAATATTGCTATGCCCACCATGCTGGATACCAACCTGAAGGAGGGGAGGCAGTGAGGGAGGGAGGCACTGAGGTAGAGAGGCAGGGAGGGATAGAAGAAGTGAGGGAGGGAGGGGAGGCAGTGATTGATGGAGGGAGGCATTGAAGGAGAGGCAGGAAGAGATAGAAGAAGTGAGGGAGGGAGGGATAAAGGCAGTGAGGGTGAGAGGCAGTGAAGGAGGGAGGCATTGTTGGAGGGAGTCTGTAATGGAGAGTGGGAAAAATCACTGATCAAGCGATGGTTGCCAAACCCTCCCGTCCATATGTTATTACAAATTTTAATTTTAGCTGTACAATATTTATGCCAAGATATGTTAATTTTCATGAATAACTATACATTATTAATCATTAACATGTTTTATTGCCTTCTGTTTATTACTTAAACAAATACAGCTTTATTTGTGAATTATGCACAGTTGGCATCTGCGAGCAGGGGCAGACAGACTGTGTGGGATCTAGTGGGGAGTGGGAGGGGTCTTGGTTGCAGTGGAGGGACGGGCTTCCTCTGATACGCCTAACCTCGACCCCATTAGCCAAAAAAAATTAAAGTACATTACAATATCAGTAAATTATGACTAGATTTTACTCTTAAGTCTAAACATTTATATATTACAACACAAGAACTAAATCTGAATTATTTTTAACTTACCATCAGAGGACCATGGATGGGAGTGCATCTAGCAGCTTTTAGAAGATTCTTCTGAGCTTCCTTGAACTGTCTTTCTATATAGCAGAACAAGAAGTCAATCATGCTCTCCGACTCAAAGCTCGATTCCATATTCTGAATTGATATAAAAATTAATGACATAAATACAGTGGAACCTCGATTAACGAATTTAATCGGTTCCGGCACCGAGCTCGTCATGTGAAACGCTCGTCTTTCAAAATGAATTTCCCCATTTAAAAAATGGAAATAAAATTAATCCGTTCCACCACTGAAAAACATCAATATGATATTCAATTTTTTAAATAATGGAGCAGGCACGACATACACAGAACGATCCTTTATGACATTTGTCTTGTTTCAATTTTTTTCATTTTTTTTTTTAGAAAATGTAGCAGCCTACCTGATATTCACTGAACGAACCTTTTTGACATTTGTTCTTTTTCAAATGATTTTGATTAAAAACAAAAATCAATGCTTTGCAACATTACAGCAGTCACCCTTTACATTCCAGCATCATTAGCATCTTTAAAACAAAAACAACAGTTATTTGCATCGCCGGAGGTGTCCGAGAATTTGTGAGAACCAGCGGGAATGTTAGGAAGCACCATGTGCTTTTCTCGTTAATGATGCGAAAGTTCGTCAATCGAGACAAATTTTCGCCGAGTGGCGTGCTTGTTATTCAAAATGCTCGTAGATTGAGGCGCTCTTCACTCAAGGTTCCACTGTACTTAATTATCTGGAAGATAGTTAAAATAATGAAGCACTCTTTAACTTAAATATATTATTACAGTACAGTACATTTATTTAGAAACTTTCATACTGCAGCCCAATTTTGTTTCTTAGTAAATACACTATTATTGAACTAAGCTTAATTTCTTATCCGGCTGTAACTATTGTAGATACTGTATTTCATACTTTTTTCAGTGTTATCTTAATTTTCCCCATCTACAGTACCCATTTTCTACATTTGCTAATCTATGTACCCTACCTTTGCCAATCAGCACATTTGCTATTCTATACATAACTTCTGTCAATCTACACATCTCTTTTGGTTAATAGAATCAGCCAATTCTTGAATTCAAATATTTTTACTATGTCTCTTTATGAATGAACATGTGGGTCTCATAATACAATTGTCTTAATTTTTGACTTGCAATCAGAGCTCCTGGGTTCGATTCCTTAGTAGGGTAGAAATGGTTGGGCACTTTTTCCTTCACCTAATGCTTTTCTTCACTAAGCAATAAATAGGTACCTGGGAGGTAAGCAATGGTTGTGGGGCTGCACTGAAGAAAAGTCAGTAGTTTGACCTAGGGGAACCACAATACAAACCTAAAGTGTAGTGTATGTATGTATGTATGGTTTTGGGGGTTCTTCCACTCCCCGAGCCTGGCCTGAGGCCAGGCTAGTATGTATATGTATGCACATTCTATTAACTATATGAAGAAGGTACAAAATATATATACCAAAACAGAGATGTAGAACCAGAAAACAGGATTGGTTCAATAGAAATTGTGAGAGGGCCAGAGAGGGAAAGATGAGGAAATGGGTACATTATAGGAAAAGGCCTAACCCTCAAACAAACTAAGCACAACAGGGTTTGTTTTGGGACGCCTACCTTTCTGGGTGCCTATCCCGGTCGATGGCAGACAGAATGCTCCAAACCACAATAGGGTTTCTATAGGCCATTGCTCCTCATGCCTCTCTGAGGGGGCCAGGTTCTGGCTCGTGGTCCCCGGTAGGCAAGAACTCCTAGCACTTTGACTGATGCCAGAAAGTTATACATTTCCATTCAGCCTGGATAGCTCCGGGGAGCCAATGGGGCTCCCCCCAGAAAAGTACTTCCCTAAATTAAACTGAATTATCAGTTATTAAATGAATGAAATAAAACTCCTGATTATCAATGAAAACATTCGGGGAGACACGTCCCTGGTGCGGGAAAGGAGGGACTCGCCATATTGGAACCAGAGCTGAGAGACGTGTCACCATATGTGAGCCCCATATTTTTTAGAACAGTGATGTTCCATACATTTAACTATATAAATTCTACAAATTACACACTACTGAATAATATTACAGCAAAAATATAGATATAAAACCATGCACAGACACTGAAATTATTATGTAAAAATGTATTTGGGGCAGCCCCTGCCACACTCAGCTGTCGGCTACCAGGCTGACCTTGGATTCTTGTTCTGTATATATAAACTCTCAACACACAACCTTTGTGGTTCATTATTGGTCACAAAAATGTAGATAGTTATATCTACATGAAGACATGTGTATGTAGTGTAATAACAGCAAAAACTTTGATTGATCTCAGAATATAATATACAGTGGTACCTCTGCTTACGAATGCCCCCCTTTACAAACTTTTCGGGTTACGAGCCTGATTTCTTCGTGAAATCCGAATCGGGTTACGAACTTTGCCTCGGGAAACGAAGTGTTGATTAGACACAGACATTCCCCCATGCACTCAAGCTCTATCAATAAGCTGTTCTACCTCTTCACCCTTACTTCATTACACATAGAAGTAACGAAGGGGGAATTGAGTAAAACCCTGGTTTGTGTCTCGGAGTGGTTGCAGGATCCAAGTAAGTTCAGTAGAACTTCTGGTTGCAATTCTTTTACCATGTCGTAGCTCAGTCGTTTAAGGCAACGTCTGGGATCCTCTCGGACGTAGGTTCGAACCCTCGTCACGGCCCTTGTGGATTTGTTCATGAAGTGTTGATACGCGAATGGCCGACCTAGCGCGTCGTGATACAGCGACCATGCCTCAGTTTACCAGAGCCTCCTGCCTAGTGACATTCACGCCTAAATTCTTTGTAAAGAATTTAATTTTTATTGGATTTTTGGGTATTTGAACATAAAAATTATTATTATATATCTCGCCATGGGTCACAAGAAAGCCAGTGATAAGATTCAATTCTTAAAATGTGGCTTGAGTGTTTTTCAGAACTAGGCTTTGAGAGGTTTGAGCCTGAACCTGAAGTGCTTATTGTTGAGGAAATTGTTACTCTGGGCCAGAAATTAGGCTTGAGTTGGATGGTGCGAAGTGGAGGAGTTGGTGGAAGAACACAGCAAAGAATTGACCATGGAAGAACTCTTAGCCCTTCACAAGGAACAGCAACAAGAGGCAGCTGAGGAAATGTCTTCAGGGGAGGATGAGGCAGTACAGAATGTCCCTTCCTCAACAATTAGGAAGTGGTGTAGACTGCGGGAAGAAATGCAGACTTTCGTTGAAACGACTCACCCAGAGCAAGCTGTAGTAGGCTGTTGCATTAACCTTTTCAATGACAATGTGATACCTCACTACAGACAAGTGTTACAATGAAATGAAAACAATCCTCAATGGATTGATTTTAGTGAGAAAATCAAGCAGTGAGCCACAAGCAAGTCCTAGTGGTATGCAGGCAAAACATGCAAGAGAGTGTACCCCAGAGAAGTCATCACTGCCTGATGTTATAATGGAAAGGGACTCCCCCTTCCAAACACTAACAGCTCTTCTCCTCCCCCCCACCTCCTCACTGTCTTCCATAGGCCAACAAAAGTCATCAATAAAGGTAAATAAAAACTTGTCCATACTTTAGTACTAGAGATTTGGGTGAATTAGGTATAAAATTTACTTTGAAGTTAATTTCTTGAGGAGTGTGGAATGGATTAATTCAATTTACATTATTTCTTATGAGAAAATTTGCTTCGGTTTACGAATTTTCGGCTTACGAACTGTCTCTGGGAATGGATTAAATTCGTAAGCTGAAGTACCACTGTTCATATCCCCATATATGAGCTCCATAATTTTGAGAATAGCAATGTTCCACACATTGAACTATATAAATTCCACAAATTACACACTTTTGAATACTATTACAACAAAAAACCAGAGAAGAAATAAATGAGAGACATTGAAATAATTATGAAAAATTATATTCGCAGCAAATGCCGCCCCACGGGGTGGCAGGGTCATGTCCCCGAGAACCTACTTAAATTAATCAGCTCTAATAAATTGCTCAACCTCTCGGCTCCATCATAGCTAAAATATGTCACATACAGTATTTTATTTTAGTTTCCTGTGATCAGAGACTGCATTTTAACAATATAAGAAGAGAAAATATTTTTTTTTTAATAATTTATTTTCTGCACACCACGGGGGTGTCATATTTTAATGCAGTACAGTGGTTAACACTTTAACTGTGCAACCCGTCATATGACGTGTTGAGTAACTTACCCAAAATTGCACATCACGTCATATGACGTGTTGGAGTACTACGCAAGATTTAAATGGCTCGCAGATACACGGGTTCACCTCACCTTCATCAGGACTCTTGTAAACAGACGCCATTTAAAAAAAAATCGGGGCAACTTTCCCGGGTGTTAGGGCCTCAGTACTGAGTGAGCCATCAAGGCTGGTGCGTGCAGCATGAGCTCACAGCACTGCTGTTCAGCTTGTGACCACATCATCACCTAAAATTGTAAAAATATATATGTACATGCTATTATTTAGCGATGATAGTATTACAAAAGACCCCTGACTGTGATAAAAATGTCCAGGATTCTGATAATAGCAGGATTGTTGTGATAATTAGTGCTGTAGTGGGAGGAGTAATCTTGGTGGGGGAGGGAGATAGTGTTGATTGCTGACTGTGTTACCACCTTTTACTGTCTGTACTCGCTATACCAGCTTAGTTGTTTGCTACGGTGAACAAAACATACAGATAATTATATATAACATCTGTATATAGTGAATAAAAGCAAAAAACAGTATGGTAGGAAGAGATGGTTGGCGAGTCAGGTGAGGTGAGGGAAGGAGGAAGTCGCAGCCAGTGGCGGGCTAGCTGGTGTGTGGTGGTCACTCCTTGCAGCTGTTTGACTCAGCATACCAACTTAGTAGTTCCTTATGGTGAACACAAATGTAGATACCTATAAATAATGTGTATATATAGTGTAATGACAACAAAAGGAGTGTTGAGAGAAGCCATTTTGGTGAGGGACGTGGCGACATCTGCATGACTTGTCGTACTGGATAAGGATGGCTACTATGCTCCTTGGGCACTATACCGCCTTAGTTGAACAGTTATGGTGAACAAAACATGTAGATACTTTATATATAATGTGTGTGTGTGTGTGTGTGTGTATAGGGTAATAACACCACAAACAGTATACTTGAAGGAGGAATGTTAGTGCGTCTGGCCTTGAACCAGTGAAGATGGGAGGGAAGGAGGGAGCATGAGTTGTGTGTGGCCACCTGTTACTGTCTGCCATCACCATACAAGATTAGTGGTTTGCTATGGGGAACACAAATGTAGATACTTATATACAGTATAACATCTGTATATAGCGAATAAAAGCAAAAACAGTATGGTGGGAGGAGGAATTTGGCGAGTGAAGAGTTTTGAGGGAGGAAGTAGTAGCAAGTGGTTGGCTGGCCACACCTTGTTGCTTTTTTGACTCGCATTATCAGCTTAGTGGTTCGTTATGGTGAACAAAACATGCAGATAATTATATATAACCTGTGTATATAGTGTAATAACTGACAAAGTATTTGTTCACTGTTTTATGAACATAATTGAATCAATCAACCAAGGGAGCCGGTCGGCTGAGCGGACAGCACGCTGGACTTGTGATCCTGTGGTCCTGGGTTCGATCCCAGGCGCCGGCGAGAAACAATGGGCAGAGTTTCTTTCACCCTATGCCCCTGTTACCTAGCAGTAAAATAGATACCTGGGTGTTAGTCAGCTGTCACGGGCTGCTTCCTGGGGGTGGAGGCCTGGTTGAGGATTGGGCCGCGGGGACACTAAGCCCCGAAATCATCTCAAGATAACCTCAAGATAACCAAGATAATAATATGCACACCATAATTTTGAATACAGCGATGATTCACACATTTTATTATATAAATATATCACACTACACACTATTGAATAATAATACAGCAAAAAAAAGAAGAAAAAATAAAAAAACAATTAAATAATTAGGTAATTATATCTTTGTGGTAACCCCCCGCCTGACAGCTTCGGCGAAGCAGAGCTTTCCCGACGCTTGCTGAGTCAGCGTCTCTTTTTTGCCAGACTTCCTCGACCTATTGCGACCAAAGTATGCCACTTACGATATTTTTTATTATTTTTCCCATGATCAGGGAACACAAATTAACAGGTTAAGAAGAAATTTTTTTGTTATTTTTTTTTATGAGCCTGTGGGTGACAAAGGCCAAATAGCCCTTAGCAACACATGAGTTAAGGTGTAAAAAAGTGCAGAATGAGAAGGATTTGTGAATTAAATGTTGTTTAATTCTCCAGGTTATGACAAAATAGAGAGCAGAAGAAGTGAACAGTGACCAGACAATTCAAGCTTGTATGTACATTAAGATACTAGATAGCCAAAACAATATGGTAAGTCTGGCACATGGTATAACAGAATATGATTTCAGAGACCAACCTCCTATGTGTGAGGTGTGTGCAGGATAATCTTTTCCATTCATTCCCTTTATAAATGTAGTACCAAAGGTCTTTTACAAATGCAAACTCCTTGCCAAATATAATTTCATACTAGAATTTTGTTCCTACAAACTTGCCCATTATTTAATGTTTCATATGATGCCATTACAGTGGAACCTCGAGTGATCAGCGGCCCCAATTATGAGCATTTCAAGTAACGAGCAAGCCACTCGCAGAAAATGTGTCTCAACTGACGAGCTTTCGCTTGATTAACGAGCGTTCCGACTGGTTCTCGGACACCTCCGACAAGAGTTTTGTTATTTCGCAAGACGAGTTTCCACATGACGAACTCGGTATCGGAATGCATTAACCCTTGCACTGCTCACCTATTTTCGGCAAAAACGTCTTGGTGCAATTGTCAAGGACATATTTTTGTTATTTTTACAAATGTTCAGGTAAATTTAATGTCAAAATGTTTCCAAAGTCAACTATTTCCATTTCAAAACACAAATAGTAATGAAAACATTAAAAAACATTAAAATATAGCCAAATTAAAAAACAAAAAGCACAACTCTCTGAGCGCCTAAAGGCGCTTTGCGCAGTGCAGTGGTTAAACTTGTTAATCGAGGCGCCACTGTATATCATTTTACATTATATATCATATTTTGTGGTAAACCACAACAGTGAAAAATTATTACCTTCAGCATACTGGAGATATCATGGTTACTATTGTAACAAGATGACGACATGATCTTAAGCAAGACTGCTCCACTCTCACAATCACTGACTTTGGCAGAGTTGCAAAGCGTCAACCCATGTCGCAGCCACTCTTCTGCCGTGATACAGCTTATGTTCATTGATGACTCCAAAATTTCTAAAGTGTTCTCTACTTCTTCTCTAATGTCATCCATCTCATCCAAGCAGGAAAAGTAGAGCATCTCTTGAGTCCAAGATAAGGTTAGGTTTGTAACTGGTTGGTTTTCTCTCTCATTTTCAAGACAAGCCACAGATTTTGAGGTTAAGTTTATGTAAGCACATACTGGCATGTACCTCTTAGCCAGTGAGTAGGAAAAAGAACTTTTCTTTTCATAAAATGTTAAGAGCGTTTCTTTGTATAGTTGCAGGGAGAGTATTCTTCGCTGGTAATTCCCATCCGGTGTCAAGTTATAGTGGAAAAACTTTATAAACCATACCAAAAGCTCTATATTAATTTTAAGGACAGGAGAAGCTTTAAAGTTTTTCATAAACTCTGGGGAACAATCACTTGAAGTCTGAATTTTAAAAGACAACTTTTTAAGCTCAGCTGCAGAGGCATCACGTAATCTAATTACTAAAGCCTTGTAACATTTGATTATACCTTGCCTAAATGGGGTTGAATCAATATTCATATTAAACTTGAAAAATGTTTTAATACAAATTGATTCTTCAAGTGAAACAGGTTGCGAAGCCTTCTGTGTGTGGCAGAGAAGAGACAAGGCTTCTCCTCGTACAGTCTCGTTTATGTGATTAAGTGCTGACTGGATGTACAACATAACTGGGAGAACGGTTATTTCATTAAATTCATTCTCATTATTATGAACCAGGTCTTCGTTAGTACTTTTTTGTGTCTGGAAGGTGATTAGCCTCTGACTTTGTACAGTACTATGGTCTTTTAAACCAAAAATACCAAAGGAGCGTGCAACTCTTAAAATTGCCATTCTTGCAACCCACCCAGCTGTAGTATCTTGGCAGCTACTAAGCAGATTTAAATATATACTAGGATAATGATGTAGAGTAGGTGGTAGCCATAATGACACCATGTGCTGCTGGGTCAATCTGGAATCACAAGAGATATTCTGAAATCATTCTCCACAATGACAGAAAACAGAAATCAAGTATTGAATGTAATGAAGCACCCACATTCTGTATGGCCTACTTAGTAGCTTCCTGGAACGTAAGTGCTGGTACTGCTAAGTCTTCAGACTGTACCAGGCCTCTATGACTTGTGTAGGTCTACTGGGAACCAGGACCAGAATCTAGTTTGCTCAACAAGGTGAGTAGAGTATAGAGATCAAACATCAGCCCAAAATCTGAAGAAAGCAGTGCAGAAAGCCCAGGCAAAACAAAACCCTGCTTAAAAGAAAGAAATTCAATGAGGAAAACAAGTTGAGTGAGTTGGTTAGAGTGAACAAGACTTACCCTAACTAACCTCACCATCTCTAGCTAACAGCCAGTCACATTCCACCTCATGCATTAACCACCAGTATGAAACCCCAAATCTCAGAGGAATGAAGGAATTAACAGGCCATGAATGGGGCACTATCGAGAGAACACAGAAAGGAGTACTTCATGACATTCAATGTTCAATGTCTGCATTGGCCACTTCAGTAGCTCCCAGGGGACTCACTAAGGAGGACAGCTTTGCTGAAAGAGAACGCATAATTAAAGATAGAATAGGGCTAACCCGTGGGAGAAGTAAGACCAAAAGGTACAGAAAGAGGGGTTCTGAGCCTGGAAAAAGGGAAGCATACAAAATTGTGAATAAAACAGCAAAAATGGTCCAGCTGCATAAGGTAGGATAAAGAAGACATCAGAGCAGACAGTTTGAGACACTGCATACCCAACAAGAAACAAAGAACCCCATTAGGTAAAACAAAGCCAGGAATCCCCAGGAACAAAATTTAGATTTTTTTTAAAGAAACAAGAGGGTCACAGACCCATAGAAAAGTACCAAAGGATACACCAGGCTAATATAAAGAACCTACCAACTCCAAACGGACCTGGCTCAAACACCACAGTGTCGGAGGGCTGCATAAAATGGGTAAATAAATACGCCAAACCCCTACACAGGAGGTGAACCACCAAAGACCCTCTTAAGGTCACTGGCAGAAAAGAATACACCACTGCTGAACCTGGCAAAGAAGGCAACCCACCCCTACAACAATGGAATGTGCAAAAGTGCCAAATGGACCCAAACAAAAGCTTGTGACCATCTTGTGAACCAGGAGACATCAATAAATCAAAGATGAGAATGGTTGGCTGAAGGGTGCACCAGGAGGCCAAGGAAACTAAAAGAAAAAGGACAGGAGGTTCCATATCCACAGGGCCAAACACACAACTATACAAATTTGTACACCACCCATCATAGTACAGGGCTCCCAACCTGGGTGGAAGAAGTGTCACAGACATACACATGTCTGAATAAAATGAGGCATTACCCATGAGAACTCTGGGCTCACAGCCTGAGGACGAACCCAGAACACCCAGATCTGAGCTGGAGTATTGAGCCAGAGGTACAAAATCATAGGGCCGAGGCACTGAACTAAAAGGTGTGAGCCACACCGTCAAACTATCAGCAGCACAGCCCAGAGTCCTAAGGTATAAAATCCAAAGGACCAGGGCACACAGCTCAAAGTGTGTACAGCATGAAAGGTACAGGACATACAGCTTTAAAGGTCTTGGGAACACAGCCCAATAAGCCTGAAGCTGGAGAGGTTGCAGGCAGATTACCATCCAATAAGGTATAAAATAAGGAAGGCCATTGAAAAATGGAGGGAATACTAACAAACCTGAAAGAGGGTTGTAGAGAGCCCTGAAGGCTGCTCCAAGAAAGAAATCAGAACTGCCACCAAACACCACACAATGAACATGAGCATTATGACAGCCAAGCCACAGAAAGCCTTGCAAGTCCCACCATAGGCCAACAGTAAAGGAGATTACAGGACTCGAGCACCGGAGTGAAAACCTAAGTGCCCTATAGGCACTAAATATACCCAGGATCCAAAGTGAACTGGGTGGGGAAAATAACAGACAATCTCAACTGGGACAACTAAGGATCCAAAGTTCCTTAGATAGGCCACTCCTCTGGAGTACCCTAAGCCCCCAGAATCTGCCCCCACCCAAACAACAGGGTACAGTTGAGGAGATTCATTCTGAGCAAGGGCAGCAGAGGAAAAAGTGGAGAGCAAGCAAAAGAAGCAGTTGTAATCCCAAAAGGCATTTCCAACCCACAGCTTCTTCATAAGGGGTAAGCAAATGGGCTGAAACCAGCAAAGTCCTCACCCAGGATATGGCAGAGCTGGAAGGCCAGAAAATCCTGGGAAAATAACTGCACACCCTGAGAGTACAGTGCAAGGTTGAGGGAATCATCACAGATGAAGAACAGTAATGGAATTTAAAAAGAAATGCTGCAAAGAAAGGGAGACAGACAGGACAGTCAGGGTCTGAAGAGGGCTGGAGGAGACTACATGATGCAGATAATGAGGAAAATTAACTTCCTTGATAAACTACTTCTGGACAAACCACCTGATTGAAGTGACCAGCAGAAACACCAGGTTATTTATTCAACATGGTGCCAAATTTCCTTCAATTTCCTTTCCTAATGTTTTTTTTGCTACACTTATGCCTTCTGGTGGGTTTTGCCTAGTTTCTTGGTCAACCCCAATCAGATCTCTTATTTCCCTCACCTCACAGAGTGAGGAGGATTTTGGTCTTGGCTATTGGTAAGAGATAAAAGAGTCATGGAGGCCTGTTGTGTTTGGCTAAGGCTTGGTGGTACCAGAGTTAAGCTCAGGTAACTACTGAGAGGTCCCCCCCCCTTAGAAATATAATGGAACACCAATCAGTGCAAGTAAAACAGATCAACATTTAGTTTCATAAAAGTATAAACAAGGAGAACTTTCTATTCTATCTCAAGACTTGTTTAAGTAAAAGTATCTAACCTGTTACCATGCAGAGCTTCACATACAATGGTGAAGAAATACTGAGACCAAATAGATGAAGACAGCTGCCTAAGGATTATCTTGTAAACAGCAGCACCAGCAGGAGCAAGATGGTTTACACTTAATGATGTTGCTAAACCTGCTGGCAATGTTGGGTGAAGCAAAAGTGTCTGAAAGAAAATGCAATGGTTTATTGATTGATATTATATATACTGTACATGCTAAATTTTTAATTGGTTAGTGCTTTATTTTTTATGTACCATATATGCTGGCTTACAAGTCGATCTGGTGCATAGGTTGACCCCCTAAACGTTTGAGTTGCAATTCAGATTTAGGCATATATTCACTGGATAAGACTACGCCCCAAAATGAGGGAGCACCATTTACCCTGCCCTACTGTATGCAAAGAAAAAACTACAGTATCTCATAAATATAAGGTAGCTTAACTAATATTTACTGCTAAGATTAAGGGGCTAGAATTAGTTCTTTCAAGCAACCATGTCAACCTCTTGACTCTGATAAACTATTGGCCAAGTTTCTTTTGTTGGTAGCACTCATAGGCTACAAAAACATGCATTATGTAGCGGAAACACAATGATATTAAAAAATTATAACAGATATACAGGTAATATAGAATGGCAATATCAAATGCCAATATTGCTGAAACAACTTCCATAAACTCCTACCGGTATGTTGTACCATGCAGTAGTATAAACAAAAATATACCAAGATAGGAAAACCCCCTCCCCCCCCCTGTAACAACAAGCCCCACAGTGAGGGTACCAACACCCAAGCAGGGTCAAATGGGCCCCATGGCCCCCAAGTCACCTCCTCCCCAGCCCCAGGATCCTCCATGTCAGGACCCAGGGCGGAGCTGTCCTCCAAAACTCTCTGCCTCTAGAGAAAAGGCAGAGTCCACCGGAAAAGCAGGGAAGAAGGGAGTCCGCTGCCACAACCCAGAAGTCCTGGCAGGAGGAATAGGCTTGAATGCCCCCACTGCCGATCTGGTTCAATAAACAGTCTTCACTCATTTTACCAGTTCCTGGTCCCACAAGCCCAGCATTGACAACTCTGCCCTCCTACCAGCGATGACAACTCTGCGCTCCTACCAGCGATGACGACTCTGCGCTCCTACCAGCAATGACAACTCTGCGCTCCTACCAGCGATGACAACTCTGCGCTCCTACCAGCGATGACAACTCTGCGCTCCTACCAGCGATGACAACTCTGCGCTCCTACCAGCGATGACAACTCTGCGCTTCAAAGAAGATTACTGATCATCAGTAAATACATCGAGCACAGTCAGCTAGCTTGTCTCCACACTCAGGTAGGTAACTATGTATAAGTATTTGCAAATGTAGCCCAAGACCACGGCACAAACAAAATAAGGGCCTTAATGATAAAACAAACCATCTAATTTATGCATAAGATTTGCATCCATACTGCAAGATAACATGCTTAGTTGGGTCAAGACAAAGTTTGAAATGGGATGGAAGTGGTCTTGTGGTAAAATATTGCCGTTTAGTGGCAGTTGCTGGTAGCAACCACATGGTCGTCTGGTAGTTTGCTATGGTGGAGATTGGTGATCGCTATATTGCCAAATTGCATCTGGAAGCAAGCTTTCAGATCTTATGATATGCATTCACTTGTATCTACATACTGGCTGGGTTGAGTATTCTCTGGTGCCTCTCTGGCACCATTATGATTCAGCACTGACAGTTTGAAAGGTTCACAGATGTGTGTGTGTGAAATGTCGACCTGCCATATTGCTGCTGATCCTATCCGGGAACTTGTATGATCTTGCCTTTAGGAATGACCTGATGGTATAACTCTCAAAGAGTAGAGGAAAAAAAAAACTCACCTCCTGAGCGCCAACATAAGAGATAGCGAGGGCAAGAGGTGGGTAGGTGCTCTTGGAGCTCCATGCAGCAAATGACACCACAGCTCCCAAGATATCAGTTGCTAGTACTTTTGCCTGGCCTGGTAGTCTATCCTCATGCAACTCCAGCAGCTCAGTCATGCAGGTATACACAATATCACTGACACCTGCTCTTTTTCAAAAATAGAAAAAAATCCATCTTTAATGTTATATACCTTAAAATTTCAAGTGGAAATAATCAGTATCATTTAAATGTTAGTACTAATTAGGTATGTATCACAAATGATGACTGATAGTTTGTGAAAGTAACCAAAAATATATTTGTCTTATCTTTCCATACCTTTAGCAGGATTCTCCCAGTTAGAATTCAGTAGGTGAAATACAGTATTCTGTCTTGAGGATTGTATACTAAATATCCATTTCTCTGATGGATGAATATTTTTAATGTATTCTTGATGCAATCCAGTAGCCTCTTGTTCTAGTACACCAGCTAAGCTTTCTTGCATCTTGTCACCCAACTTCCTCAAAGATGACAGCCACATATGTAACACCTAATGAAAACCAACTTTGCTTAATAATAATAATAATAAAATAATAATAATAATAATAATAATAATAATAATAATAACAATAATAATAATAATAACAATAATAATGATGATGATGATGATGATGATGATGATGATGGAGAAAATCCACATAAGCCGTGATGAGGATTTGAACCTATGCACTGGATATTCTCAGACGCATGCTTTGGACGACTAGACCACGACAAGATAAAAGAAATGCAACCTGAGATTCTGCTGAACCCCCGAGGATTCCCAAGGCTTCCACTAAAGCTGAACCAGGATTTCATACAATTTCCTCATGCACTCTGGATATGTCATTCAGTAATTCTACATCTGACGCCCCTCTTTCAATATACAGTGGCACCTCGACTTACGATAATTTCGAGTTACGATATAAATTTGATCGGAAAATGCGACTCGCCTTACGATAGTGTCATCAACTAACAATATTTGTTGATGTGCGTTCGGGTCGACCGAGCACATGGTTCCCTGTCGCGTGGGCCGACCTGCCTCAGTTTACTAGAGCCGCTCGCTTAGTGACGATTATGCTTATAAGAAATTCTATTTTTTTGGTGATTTTTTGCTTTTTGAACATAAAACTGATTATTATATATCACACCATGGGTCCCAAGAAAGTCAGTGGTAACGTTCAACATGTGAAAACACATGTGAGGATAACCATAGAGGCAGTACAGAATATCCCTTCCTCAAAAATTAAGAAAAGTGTGCAGCATGGGAAGAACTGTAAGCTTTTGCCGAAACAACTCGCCCAAATCAAGCTACAGTAGGCCGTTGCCTTAACCTCTTCAATGACACTGTGATGCGTCACTACAGACAAACGTTAAAACGAAGGGAAAAACAAGTGTCGCTATATAAATTTTTAGTGAGACAAACTAGCAGTGAACCACAACCAGATCCTAGTGGTATGCAGGCAAAACATAGGAGAGTGTGTACCCCAGAGAAATCATAACTGCCTGATGTTATAATGGAAAGGGGACTCCCCTTCCAAACAGTAACACCTCTCCTCCTCCCCCTCATCACCATCTTCCATATGCCATCAAGAGTCCTCCCTAAAGGTAAGATAAACATATGTACTGTATTGTAGTGAGAGAAAAAAATAACATTCAGTATAAAATGTATTTTTAAGTTAATATTTTTGGGAGTGTGGAACGGATTAATTCAATTCCCTTTATTTCTTATGGGAAAAATCATTTCGTCTTACGATATTTCGACTTACGATATGTCTCTGGGAACAGATTACCATCGTAAATCGAGGCCCCACTGTACATAGAAATCACAGTAACGTGATTCAGTGGTTCACTGAACCCTGGTTCAGCTTCAGTGGAAACCTCGGGAATCCTCGTGGGTTCAGCAGGACCCCAGCTTGCAATTCTTTTACCATGTTGTGGCCTAGTCACTAGCATCAAAAAACAAAACTGCTGACCAGAGAGAGGGAGGGTGCCAGGGAGCCTCCAGGGCTCAACCAGAAAATGGCATTTCATTACATTCAATGCTGGTTTTCTGTGGGGAGCCCTCTTGGCTCCCTTTAGCTACATAACCAGAGATAAGTAAAAAGAGGGACTTACCCAGGAGGCGGCTGCACCGCAAAGGTCAACTCTAGGACAAGACAACTGCCTGCAACCTGCGACCCAAAGCCACACATGAACAACTGGGACCAGAAACATTTACCAAATAATGGGTGGCCAGGACCCTGTTCGATCTCCAAAAACCCTGTGCCCAAATGTCAGCCCAGGACAAGTTGCCATACACGGCAGTCAAAACAACATACCGTACTTACGAATGTCATGGGAAAGAGGGTAGACCGCAGGCTGGCAAGACCTAATAATCCTGCGGACAACCTGAGAGACCCGAGCCCTGGAATAGGAAAAGAAGTCGTTTCAGCCTAAAGCACGTCCACGGCCCCAGAGGCCAAGGCGCACAGGTAATGGCACAGAGCCGCAACCGGACGTAAAACATGATGCACCCCCAGCCAGACCAACCAAGCATCAATAAACCATGGACCCCTCTAGAAGCCCGCCATTTCATTCTTCGCCAGAAAAGTAGGAGATGGCTGCAACCGAACAAAATGTCCACCAGGACTAAAAGAGCAGAAACCTCTGCGCCGGAGGAGAGCACGCACCTCACAGACCCTACACCCAGAGGCCAAAGCCAACAGGAATAGAGCTTTCTGGAAGCAATCTCGAACCGAAGTAGCCACCATAAACTGAGAAGAAGAGAGAAAAATGAGAGAGCACCCTGTCCAAGGACCAGGACGGCTCAGGCGGTGCATGAGCAGACCGGGGGTGAATTCAACAAAGCACGAGAAAGCTTATGGAATGCAAGCTGGAGTGGCTATGCCAGCGCTGCACGATACGAGGCTACAGTATTCAGCATAAGATGGTCCTGAAAGAGCCAAGAAAGAATGGACGAGACAACCCAAACAGAAATAGAAGTAAACTATGAAAAGAGGAAATGCCGAAAAGACCGCCAGACACCTCATACTGTTGCCGAGACGAAGACCACAGGTGGGACACCATAAGAAAAGCCACCTGATCACCATGAAAGTGCAGATACACCCGAGTCAAAAAGACCAAACACGACGGGTAGAGGTGCAGATCGAACCAGCCAGGCAACAGACTGGCCCAATCTGCTGGAAGAGGCAGAGTCGCGGAAAACATCCCGGGATCGGATACCGAGCAAGCAACGCCTGAAACAAAGGCTGGGCTGGCCAGAGCTACGAGGAAGACTCTCCCATGAAAAGACTCCAACCGAGCTGGAACCAAAGGCAACAGCTGTACCGGGGGAAAAGAGGTATAGGAAACCCCACCTTGACCAGTCATGCCGAAGAGTGTCCAACGCGACTGCCCCGCAGTCGGGGAAGAGCACCACATAACTTCAGAACTACCCTGACGCGAAGAGTGCCACCTCCGGGGGCCCGTGTGACCGGCAGAGCAAACTGAAGGAGTTGGTGATGACCGTCCATTCCGTGGACAGGCAAAGTAAATGGGACTGGCCTTCCACCAGGATGTTTGACACACCCCGGATGTGAACTGCGCGGAGAGCTAAACCCCGAGAAACCAGCAGACGAGTCACTCGAAAAGACCACCCCCAAAGAGCCAAGGATCGATGGGAACCCCCACAGTTCAGACAATGAATCACTGGAGCACAGTCCGACGAGAGTGAAGGCCAGACCGCCGCAAACTTCTGCATCGCACTGTGAACCCTGCGGATGGACGGAACCCACCGCCCCAGGCTGGCCTAGTGAGCACCAGTCATAAAACCCCAGCCGAGAAATGAGGCGTCCGGGAACACAATGAGTGAGGGCTCAGGGAGGTGCCCAGGCACCGAACCCCGAAAGCTCCGAAGAGGAAGCCAGCAACGCAGCGACCGACACAAGGCCCACTGGGTTCGAACCCAGTGGTCTTGAGAGAAGCAGACGGGAAGCCTCTGAAGGAACTAGAACAGGCGCCGAAGCCCGACCTGACAGGTATACCAGCACAGCGAAGTGCAGACTCCCTCACGTGCTCAAGCAACTGCCAAGTGACCTGGGACCCAAGGAACAGCGGAAGGTGAGAGTGCAGCCGCCACAATGCTGCAGGAGGGAGGGACATGGAAGCAGTCTGATAGACCCATGTGAAGCCCAGCCAGGTTCGCCGATACCTCTTGCGGCCATCGCACAGGAGGTAAGCCGCAATGGCTTCCCGCACCACATGAGGCGGAATGCGGGAGGCCGAAACCCTCCGGAAGGAAGGGACCGAAGTACCCAAGGGAACTTGGAACCGAATCCAGGGAGGGGTCGACGCCATATCAAACTCGTACAAGGATGGGGGGATAGAAAAACCCCACTCCCTGCAACAATAAGCCCTGCTTAGCGGGTAACCAAAACTCAAGTGGGGTCAAACGAAGCCCAAGCACCCCAAGTCATCCCCTCCCCCGCCCCGGGAACCTCCACACCAGGACACGGAGCCGAGCCATCCTTCAAACCCTCCGCCTCAAAAGAAAAGGCAGCCGCCGGAAAAACAGGAACGAAGGGAGCCCACTGGTCAGACCCAGAAGCACCAGCTGGAGGAACAGACTCGAATGCCTCCGTTGCCACACCGGATGGTGGCATCCCCTGAAACTGCCCGAGTCTCACCACCAACTAAAGCCTGCCTGGACTCCAAAACCCTCAGATGCTTCGAAGGTGAGGTAGGGGGAAAGGGAGGAGGAACAGGACGAACAATAGCAAGGGAAGGACTAGGGGGCATGGACAAAACCAAAGTCGAGGCGACTAACACCCCCAAGTCTGTTTCTCTATAACCAAAACGGGGCAGCCTTGGGGCATCCAAGTGAGCAACCATCCTAGCGTGCTGCAGCAACCTTAAACGCGCATGCAACACCAAAGCTTCCTGCACCCGAATATCATGATCAGTGGATTGGGTGAACTGAAGTTCACCACTCGCAGGACTCCGGGATGGTGTCACTGACTCTGGAGTCTGTGACACCTGACCGACCCGACCAACCAGGAGGCTTGGTTGATGATCAGGCCGCGGGGACGCTAAGCCCCGGAAACACCTCAAGGAAACCCAACAGGCAGCATGACGGAGGCAGAACAGGTGATTGTCACCCCTGAGACAAGGGGGACAGAGCAACCCTCAAATTCACACGAAGCGAGATGGGATCCAGAGGACACCTAACCTAACCTAACCTAACCTACGCATCCATCAGACCAGTGAGCCTCAGTAGGGGTTTCCAGGGCCCTTAAGATGCTCTGCTAAGGGAAGCCCAGGCAAGGTACTGCTAACTAGCGCCCCAAACTACCAAGTGAACTTACTAAATGCTGAACCCCTGGGACATGTACACAAACACTGAGACCAAGCAGAGGACCACCAAGAATACAGAATGCTAAAGGTCAACAACACCACGGGGCAGACCCTCCACCAGGCAGAAAAAAAGAAAACAAAAACCCTGCACGAGTATAACGACACCATGCGGAATAGAGCCGGCCGCTATATTATGGTAAAAACAAGCTGCACAGTACCGGGCGCCCCTACCAGTGACGAAGCTACCTTCTACCCGGAGGCAAACAGGAGCGCATGAAACACCCCAGCTGACTCCAAGGTCGGGCAATCGCGGAGCACCAAAAGACCATGGCGGAAGTATGTTGCAAATGACGTGTGGAAGATAACTCCAAGCCACAAGGGCAGTACTTACAGAACAGAACACCTAGTAAAGAGAACCCTAGGCACATGCAGCCCGAGTACTGGTGAAAATACTTCTGTGGTGTTGTGAGACAGGACAGGACCACAGCACTGGAACAAATCTGGAGCCAGAGTCGCATGACTGCCAGATCTCACATCAGCCACAGAACTAGGGGTGTGGATAACCAGTGATGGGGCCTGGAGGGTTCCACTTCCCCCTCCCAGGAAAGGGGAGCTATACAGACAGTGGCACAGTGACATTTGTGACATCATGCTCGTTTGCTCGTTTTTCGTTTGGGGGAGTTCTGTCCAACAGTTTGGCTTTTTTTCAGCAATATTTTAACCAGATAGGGTTTGTTTTGGGGCGCTTACCTTTCTCGGTACCTGACCCGGTCGATGGCAGACATAGAATGCTTCCAACCACATGGGGTTTCTATAAGCCAGTGCTCCTCGTGCCTCTCTGAGGGGGGCCAGGTTCAGGCTCGTGGTCCCCTGTAGGCCTAAGAACTCCATTCGCTTTGACCGATGCCAGGGTCTAATACATTCATATAAGCCTGGATAGCTCCGGGGAGCCTCCACGTCTCACCCAGAAAATGGTGTTTTATTACATTCAACACTGGTTTTCTGCGGGTCCAACAATCCATTTTTTAATCATTTGTCCAAATTGATGCTTACAGTACAGTACAGTAAGTATCCACTCGATTTAACAGCCTATATGGGGTTGTACTCTGGTCGTTATTTCCGGGGCTCCAGTATTTCCGAAGTTAAGATGTCGGTAATTTTTCAAGTAACATTCAGGTAAGATATATTTTACTTAACTAAAATGAAATAAAGTTCATTGTGTAATTGCTTTCCAAGTTAGTTCCTGTGTTAGTGCCCATTCTATCACAGGTTACAATTAAAAATTCCTTCATATGACAAGTTGGATCACACAAGTGGACCACACAACAAGTAAACCATATTAACCAAACACCTCCCTCCCTCACTGCCACTCTTCCCTCACCCCCACTACCACCACCCTCCCTCCCTCATTGCTTCTATCCCTCCCTGCCTCTCCCCCCTCAATGCCACCCTTTATCACTGCCTCTACCCCTCAATGCCTGCCTCTATTACTGCCATCCCTCCCTCAATGCCTCCCTCCATCACTGCCTCTCCCCCTCAATGCCTCCCTCCATCACTGCCTCCCTCCCTTAATGCCTTCCATCCTTTCCTCAATGTCTTCCATCCCTCCCTCACTGCCTTCCTCATAACACGAGAACAGCAGGCTATGAGGAGGGAGGTACTAATAGGGTCGAGGGAGCTACTAAAGCGATCGAGGCTAGGCGTAGACCCGGACATGTCTGTCAGTGTCTGCTCGCAGATGCCAACTGTGCATAATTCATAAATAAAACTATATTTGTTTAATTATGAAACAAGAAACAATAAAACATGTTAATGATTAATAATGTATATTAATACACAAAAATTAACATATTTTGGCATAAATATTTTACAGCTAAGATTAAAATTTTGAATACAGTATGGGTGAGAGGTTTGGCAACCATCACCTGGTCAGCAGTCCTATCCTTCCCTCCGCCTCCTTTACTGCCTCTCTAACCACCACCACAAACACTCTCCCTGCCTCTCGCACCACCACCCCTAACACCCTCCCTCCCTCACCCCCAACACCCTCCCTCCCTCACCCCCAACACCCTCCCTCCCTCACCCCCAACACCCTCCCTCCCTCACCCCCAACACCCTCCCTCCCTCACCCCCAACACCCTCCCTCCCTCACCCACAACACTCTCCTTGCCTCTCTCACCACCACCCCCCCAACACTCTCCCTGCCTCCCTCCCTCACCCCCAACACTCTCCCTGCCTCCCTCACCACCACCCCCAACACTCTCCCTGCCTCCCTCACCACCACCCCCAACACTCTCCCTGCCTCCCTCACCACCACCCCCAACACTCTCCCTGCCTCTCCCCCACAGTGCCTCCCTCCATCAATCACTGTCTCCCATCCCTTCCTCAATGCTTTCGAGGTCGGTGGCCTGTTGCCATGTGAGGGCCCGCCGATACCAAAACAAACCCAATACTGACCTACAGTTATATCGACCGCCAGACCAGTATATGAGGCTCCAGATACCGGTCTACCAAACCGGTCGTTATTACCGGCAGATCGGTATAAAAGAGGCTGTTAAATTGAGTGGATACTATGTTGGAGGCGATGCTGTTGTAATCAGTTGAAGAAGTTACCAAATGAACAAACTTGAAATTTTTAAACTTACTGGTTTGTTCATTGGTTACAAATACATTTTCCTTCTTTGGAGAAAGGTTATTAAATATGTTTGAAGTAGAAATTTGCATTTCTTACCTGAAAAGCCTGAAATGTGTAACTTGTTGCACCTCTGCAGAGACTTCTGATGAGAAAGTATATGTCATACAAGAAAATGTTTTCATCTTCTCTGCCATCATATTCATTTTGCTTCTGAACTTGCGTGAGAGGCAGTACAACACACCGAGCTGATTCTGGTCTGAGATCACAATGATGATTCTTATGATTTTCCTGTATTAATGCTTTTCTTACAGTGTTCACTTCATCCCAGTTAACACCTTCGTATATCCATTGCACTCCCGAATTGAAAAGCCCATGAAGAATCAACACAATTGCACGTGATGGCTGAACACATTTCATACTCCGGAGATTCATACTTTCATGATGAAACTTTAGCAGCTCTCCAATTGAATATTTATCATCTTTTTTAATTTCATTCATTTGTATTTTATTAACAGTCGACAGTACATTGAAAAATTCCAATTTCTCGTTGTGTCGTTTCAGATACACGAGGATGATGTTTAGTGATGTTGCAGTGATCAAAGCACAATCAGACGGCAACTTATCACTTGTCATAGCTAATAACAGAGATAAATACATTTTTTCTAGGAGCCGTGTTATTTCTGGTCTCTCAAGCAACAGGAAATTTTGAGGAAAAATGTACTGCAAAATACCATAGAGTGCCTAAAAAGAAATAAAAAATAGTTTAGGTATAATATTTGATTAAAATAAAGAAGACATATTATGCAGTCTCAACAAAAATGTCTAATAAAATGTTTGTAATTATTTTCTTAAAATGGTTAAATATGCATTTCTAGAAATGCTTGTGGAGTGATATGAATGGTGGGATAGTATTGGGAAAAAAGTTAGAAAGTAATAATAATAAAATAATATTTGGAAATAATAGTCAAGTGTAATAACAAGTGTAATAATATAATAGAAAATAATAGTAAAGTGCAAGATAAATATGGGAGAATAATGGCAACAGGAGATGGGGATGATAAGGATCACCAAGATAGGAATAATATCTAATGAAGTAGTATAAAAAAAACCAGTATTGAAAGTAATGAAATACCCTTTTCCGATGAGTCTTCAGTGGCTCCCTGTTGCATAACCACCTGGATGGCTCCACACATCAAATTGCACCAGGCCCTTACAAGTCATTAAAAAGCCTACCAGAACCTAGAGCCAAAACCTAGCTCCCTCACAGAGCAGAGAATACTAGTGCACTAACCAAGAAAATAATCACTAGACAGGTAGAGCAAGACAAAACAGACAGCAGCAAGATACAAGGAAACCATAGGAAAAATTAGACGCACAATACTTATAGTATAACCGCTAATTCCACCTCCCCACTGCCAGGTGGTAGCACCAAGAGCTAACCTTTCAGTCATGAGTCAAACAGACACAAACTGACACACCTAAAAGGGAAAGGAAGGGTTGAGGGAGCCTCTGAGGACCCACCAGAAAAGACATTTCATTACATTCAACACTGGTTTTCTGGGGGGAGCCCCTGTGGCTCCCTGGAGCTACTTCACCAAAAACAACAGAATAAAAAGGGGACTTACCCGGGAGGCAGTTGGTGCTCCACTCCTCAACTCGAAGTCGAGACAATGGGCCGCAACCGCCAACCCAAAGCAACACAGGTCCAACTGGGTCCAGGAACGTTCACAGAGGAACAGTCCTCCGTTCCGGAATGGAGGACCTTGTTCGACTGCCAAAAACCCTATGCCCGAATGTCAGCCCAAGACATATTGCCAAAGACGGCAGCAAGAGCAGCAAACTTACGAACATCATGGGCATGTTGATAGACCGCAGGCTGGCTGGATTTAATGACCCTGCAGATGACCTGAGAGGCCCGAACCTGCAAACAGAGAAGAAGGGAAACCGGATCAACCCAAAGTGCGTCCCCGGACACAGAAGCCGTGGCGCGCAGATAACGGCGGAGGACCACAACCGGACACAACACATGAACCCCCAGCCTGACAAACCAAGCATCAACAACCCAAGGACCCCTCCGGAAGGCAGCAGTCTCATTCTCCACCAGAAAAGAGGTAGACGGCTGTAGACGAACATACCTATGACCACAACCAAAAGAGCAAAAACCTCTGCGCCGGAGAAGAGCATGAAGCTCCGCCACACAACCCCCAGAGCCAAATGCCAACAGAAAAAGAGCCTTAGCAGAACAATCCTGAACCGAAGGGGTCACAACAAACCAAGGAGAACGAGACTGCTTGCGAAACGGTGCAGAAGTAACATCAATACCGAAAGCAAGCTGCAGCGGCTCCGCCAGAGCCGCACGATATGAGGCGACAGTATTAGGCATAAGATGATGGTCCTGGAACAACCAAGAGAGAAAGGACAACACCACCCGAACTGAAAGCGAAGAGCAATGACGAAGGGACAAAAAGAACCGGAAGGACCACCAGGAAACTTCTTACTACCACTGAGAGGAAGCCCGCAGGTGGGAAACCAGCAAGGAAGCCACCTGATCACCATAGAGATGGTGATAAACACAAGTAAAAAATACCAAACACGAAGACTCGCGGAGAAGAGCGAATCAGTCTCATACAGGACCGGGCCGATCTCCTGAAAGAGGCGGAGCCACAAAAACCTCCAGGTTTGGACACCGGGCAAGCAACGCCTGAAACCACGGCTGGGCCGACCACCATGGGGCCAAGAGGACTACTCGCCCCTGGTAAATCTCCAAGTGAGCCAGGGCCTGGAGCAACAGCTGAACCGAGGGAAAGAGGTACTGGAACCCCCACCTCGACCAGTTCTGCCGAAAAGCATCGATCCCGACTGCAAGGTAGTCGGGGAAGAGCGCCACATATACTGAAAGACGCCTCGACCACACCGACGCGAAAAGGTCCACCTCCTGGCACCCGAACGTCTGGTAGAGCCAACTGAATGATTCAGCGTCGACCGTCCATTCCGCAGATAGGGGAACAAACCAGGGCAGGCCATCCGCCAGGACGTTGGACACCCCCGGACGTGAACCGCCAGGAGAGCCAAACCCTGAGAACTCCGCAGACAAGTTACCCGAAGCAACCAACCCCAAAGAGTCAAGGACCACATCGAATTTCCTCGGTTCAGGCAATGAACCACCGGGGAGCAGTTCGAATGGAGCCAGATCGTCGATCTGCGGGCAACCCAAACCTTCTAAAGCGCAAACCACGCCGCCACAAACTCCCGCACCGTGCTGTGGATCCAACGGAAGGACGAAACCCCCCTCCCCAACCGGCCTGGTGAGCACTGGTCACAAAGCCCCAGCTGAGAGACGACGTGTCAGTGAACACATCGAGCAAGGGCTCGGGAAGGCGCCAAGGCACAGAACCCCGAAAAACCCAAAGAGGAAGCCGGCGACGCAGCAGCCGACACAAGACCCCTGGGGGACGAACCCAGCGATCGCGAGAGAGGCAGAAGAGACATCCCCGAAGGAACCAGAACAGCCGACGAAACCAAACCCGACCCAGCGGGTAGACCAACATCGCACAGTTCAGGCTCCTGCACAGACCCTCGAGCAAATGCCTGGTGACCCGGGAGCCTCCCAGAAACAAGAACAGGCAGGACCGCATCTGAAGGAGAGACGACGGGGGAAGAGACAAGGAAGCGGTCCGATAGTCCCACACAGGACCCAGCCTGGGAGAGAACCTGATGGGACTTCCTCCAGTTCACCAGGAACCCAAACCCGGTGAGCTGGGAAAGCACCAAATCCCTGGCGAGCAGACACACGGACCGACTGGGAGCCCAAACCAGCCAGTCGTCGAGGTAAGCCAACACCCGAACACCTAACAGACGCAGACAGGCCACAACGACCCGGTATGGCGCGTGAACACGCGAGATGCCAGATTCAACCCGAATGGAAGACAACGAAAGCGGTAACTCTGACACCCCGCACCAAACCAAGCCAGTCCTGGAACACCAGATGAATAGGGACATGCCAATACGCGTCCTTGAGGTCCAGGGACACCATCCAAGCGCCCGGCTCCAACAGAAGCCGGACCTGGGACAGAGTGGTCATCCGAAACGAGAGGCAAGAAGCCCAAGGGTTCAGACGGGTCAAGTCCAGAATGAACTGCAGGTCCGCACAGTCCCGTTTCGGAACTGGGAACAGGCAGGAAACCCACCTGAAATACATCGTTGTTTCGACCACGCCCAAGCGCACCCACTCCAAGATGACCTGACCGAGCACAGGAGAGAAAGCCTGCCCCATCAGCCCCGAACTCCCCAAAGGAGGAGGAGCCACCCAATGCCACCGCAGGCCGAGAGAAACGACCCAAAAAGTCCACAAATCGTGAGACCAGGCGTGAGCGAACAGAGCAAGCCTCCCCCCCATCGCCCCATTAATGGGGCAAACCGCGAAAGGGTCGCTGCCCCTTACAAGAACCCGACCTGCGTGCAGAGCGAATACCACGCTGACCAGGCACAGGCGGGACCGCAGGCGGGACCGCAGGCGGCACCGGCACCGAACCCGACACCTGTGCTTGGGATCATAAAGGAAGATAACCCTGTTACCTTCAGTCTTGGTGGCCTGGTGTTTGGTTAATGTTCCTGGGTTTCATCATTACTTTGATGTCTTTACTCTCAGCCAGCTGTCTCGCCTCTGCCATAGTACCTGCCACTGCTACTCCTCCCTAGTGAATCCCTTGCTTCTTCTCCATGGTTAGCATCTGGGAGCCACACGAGACTCCTCCAGAAACTCGGTGTTGAATGTAATGAAATGCCTCCTTTTGGATCAGCCACAGTGGTTCTCTCTCTCCCTTCCAGGTCATCGGTTGGTGGTTGGGGCTTTTACATCTGTTCCAGAACTGACTGAGTGGGTTGGGCCTCTGGGCTTCACTGGTGGTAGTGGTTTGGTGCTAACAAATTCAAGCTACAGTAATTTCGAGTGACAATTGCTTGCTAACAACAAAGTGTACAGAGTTCATTTAAAAAATTTTGATTCGTCTGTTCTTTTGAAACCAGCAGTAGTCCGTATTGGTGCATTAATATTTTGGATGCTTTTCCGGTGGGGTGGCAGAGTGCCATGCACTCATTGCTTCTATGAAGGAAAGACAGGTTCTGGCTCTGGTCCTCAAAAGGCCAAACAGAACTCCGTGCCTGAGGTAACCTAGTACCATAGTTCGAGCAATCTCGGCAAAATAGCTTCAGGGAGCCAGAAGGGTTCATCCAGAAAGAGGCAATTCATTACATTCAAGTTTGTATTTTTTTTACCCAGATTTTTTAGTTTTACATTTGTATTTGTATGGTGTTCAATAACTTATTAATTAGTTTTATAACTTTTATGTCTTGATAACAAGGAAACTGCACATTTACTTGGTTTTCTTGAACTTACTTTAACAGCAACATGAAACTGAGACCGTTTGTTAAATTCTTCAATGTGGCTGATGTGGATCCTCTCGGTACATGCAAGAAGAATCTCCCCCAAACAGACACCCAAGCTATTGCGTAGAGTTGGGCAGCCGTTACACAACAGGGTCACTAATATGCAAGGAATAGAGATGTACTTGTATAGTATTTTTAGTTAATGGCTTCGATATTGAACTTAAAACTAAGGCATTGATTATAGATGAAATGCTCTTTTCTGAGCGTGTCAATCAGTTGCTCACCTTAGGCAATATCTCACTTCTCACAGGACACTAGACTCCAACTTAAGAGTGTGACTTTCCAATGCAATTAGAAAGTAAGGGAAATCCTGGGGAATTCTTAATCTAGCCCAGAATGACCATGAGCAGATACATCATGCATTTAAAAATCTAATCAAAGCAATACAGTGGAACCTTGGTTTTCGAATGCCCGATTTAAATTTATTTGGTTCTCGAGGTCAATTTCTTAGAAAAATTTGACTCGATACTCGAAGTTTGCTTCGGTGCTCGAGTTTGTCGATACACGTATGGGCTGACTGAGCACATGGAGGGCTTCAGTTTACCAGTGTCCCACCTAGTGACGAGCGCCCTTGAATTCTTTGTGAAGAATTTAATTGTTTTTGTGCTTTTTTTATTTTTTGAGGTCTCACTACAGACAAGTGTTAAAATGTAGGGAAACACAAGTGTCTATAGACAGATTCTTAGTAAGACAAGCAAGAAGTGAGCCACAACCAGGTCCAAGTGGTATGCCCGCAGAACGTAAGAGAGAGTACCCCAGAAATGTCATCACTGCTGTTATAATGGAAGGGGGACTTCCCTTCCAAACACTAACACCTTTCCTCCTCCCGCCTTCCTCACTGTCTGCCATACACCAACAGTAGTCTTCAATAAAGACAAGGTACCTATGAGTATTATTCTGTATAAAATTTATTTTTTAGTTAATATTTTTATGGGTGTGGTACGGATTAATTCAATTTACATTATTTCTTATGAGAAAATTTGTTTCGGTTTTCAAATCGTCTCTGGGAACCAATTACATTCGAAAACTGACGTACGATTGTGCTGTACACGTATTTTAAATCAAACAAACAACTACTACTACCAAACAGCCAATAACTTGCTGCTTGCCGATGTCACCCAACACCAGACAGCAGTACTTGTAGTGAAAACAGTATACCAGCTAACTTGTCTTACTTTTATCTCAATCACCCGAAAAAGTAAAGGTACTGTACAAAAAAGGCTGGAAGGCTCCCCAGTTTTATAGCTCAGGGAGATAATTCAATGGCCCTTCCAAAAAACCAGGGTTGAATGTAATGAAACGCCATTTTCTGGGCGAGTCCCGGAGGCTCCCCGGAGCTTACTACGCTGATATGCTAATGTCAGACTTTGGCATCAGTCATGTGTATGGAGTTCTTATGGGCCTACCGGGGACCACGAGCCAGAACCTGGCCCCCCCTCTAGAGAGAGGCAAGGGGAGCAATGTACTATAGAAACCCCCCTGTGTGACTGGAAGCATTCTATGACTGCCATCGACCGGGTTAGGCACCCAGAAAGGTAGGCGTTCCAAAACAAACCCCTATTCAGGTGAAAATTGCAACCAAAAGCCGAACGAGTAGATAAAACTCCCAAAACAAAAACGAGCAAACTAGTATGACGTCACCCGTCGTCGCACCGCTGTCTGCACAGCTCCCCCCTTCCCGGGAGGGGGAAGGGGTAGCCCCAGACCCACCGCGTCGACGATCCACACCCTAGTTCTGAGGTTGGATGTCAAAACACGCGAAAAAAACGCCGACTGGGAGGGAGGGATGTCGGGAAGCCTCCAGGACTCACCCAGAAAATGGCGTTTCATTACATTCAACGCTGGTTTTCTAGGTGGAGCCTCTATGGCTCCCTGAAGCTAACTACCCACAGAGGAAAAGAATAGGGACTTACCCGGGAGGTGGTTGCTGCTCACTCCTCAACCCGAAGTCGAGACAACTGGCTGCATCTGCCGACCCAAAGCAACACAGGCCCAACTGGGCCCAGGAACGTTTACAAGGTAAAGAGCAACCAGGACCCTGTTCGACCGCCAAAATCCCTGTGCCCGAATGTCGGCCCAGGAGATATTGCCAAAGACGGCGGCAAGAGCCGTGAACTTGCGGACGTCATGGGCACGGGGATAGACCGTAGGCTGGCTAGCCTTAATAACCCTGCGGGCAAACTGGGAGACCCCGCACCTTCGAACCGGGAAGAAGGGAAACCGGATCAACCCAAAGCGTATCCATGGACACAGAAGCCGTGGGGCGCAAATAACAGCGGAGAGCTGCAACCGGACACAAAACATGATGCACCCCCGGCCTAACCAACCAAGCATCAACAACCCAAGGACCCCTCCGGAAAGCAGCAGTCTCATTCTTTGCCAGAAAAGAAGGAGAAGGCTGCAGACGAACAAACCGATCACCCTGACAGAAGAAGAGCATGAAGCTTACCTACCCGACCCCCAGAGGCCAATGCCAACAGGAAAAGAGCCTTTGAAAAACAATTTGAAACCGAAGGGGCCACAACAAAACGAGAAGAAAGAAAAGAGAGCACTCTGTCTAATGACCAGGATGACTCAGGCGGTGCATGAGCAGGCCGGAGGTGAAACAACGCCCGAGACAGCTTGCGAAACAGCACAGACGTGACATCAATACCGAAAGCAAGCTGAAGCGGCTCCGCCAGCTCGCACTCAGGTAAACCCAGGCAGGGTACTGCTAACCGGCGCCCATAACTACCAAACAAACTGTCTAAAGCTTAACCCCCAGGGATGTGTACACTCACTGGGAGCAAGTAGGGGGCACCACCAAGTATTAGGGTGAGGCCAAATACCAGTGGCAAAAAGGGCAGAACCCTCCACCAAGGCAAAAACAAAAACAAAACCCCACAAGGGGACAACGTACCCCAAGGAACAGAGGTGACAGGTGATGCTGTGATAGGTGACAACAAGCTGTGCAGCACCCTGCACCCCTTACCACTGCGAAAACTGCCTCTTACCCTAAGGTAAACTAGGGAGACAAAACACCCAAGTACCCAAAGGGCGGCTGAAAAACCGAGCAGTTAAATGGACACACAGAGACAGACCCCGAGGAACTTGTGGAAGGTAACCCCAAGCTCCAAGGGCAGTACTTACAAGGCACCTAGGGAAGGGAACCTTAGGCGCATGCAGCCTGAATACTAAGGAATAACTCCTGGCTCTCGCACCCCTGGAGTACAGTCACCACACACAAGGCACAGCGCCACAAAAAGACTGGAGCCAGAGCACACAACCGACCCAATAGCATCAGTCTCAAAAACTGGGGTGTGGATCACCGGCGCGGTGGGTCTGGGGCTACCCCTTCCCCCTCCCGGGGAGGGGGGAGCTGCGCAGACAGTGGTGCGACGACGGGTGATGTCATACTAGTTTGCTCGTTTTTATTTGTGGAGTTCTATCTACTCGTTCGGCTTTTGGTTGCAATTTTCACCAGAATAGGGGGTTTGTTTTGGGATGCCTACCTTTCTGGGTGCCTAACCCAGTCGATGGCAGACATAGATTGCTTCCAATCACACGGGGGTTTCTATAGGCCATTGCTTCCCTTGCCTCTCTAAAAGGGGGGCCAGGTTCTGGCTCGTGGTCCCCGGTAGGCCCATAAGAACTCCATACACATGACTGATGCCAAAGTCTGACATTAGCATATCAGCCTAGTACGCTCCTGGGAGCCGTAGGGGTTTCCCCCAGAAAATCATAAGGTATCCATATTGGGATTTGTTATTACCTAAGTTAATCTGGAAATTAATTTCTGCTTGTCAATAAGTTAAAATTATAAACTCTTTCTGAACAACAAAAACTGAAAACAACATTTTTAAGTTACCAGTTATTAAAGCTTTGGGTACATCTTCCAGCAATAAACTTCTGATCCTGGTGACCACTTCTGCTACCAACAATCTCTTGGCATCTGGCAACAGCGTCTCTATTTCCTGTAAAGTACTTTTTATTTGCTTTTATGAAGATATATTGCAACACATTAATTTAAGGTAACCAGACGGCATATTTCTCACTCTTATAGGGAGGGGAAGTACCAAGAAAAATAATGAGAAATACAGTAAAGAAAGTTAGATATTAAATAGTAATTTATTTTAAATTTTATTTGTGCATTTACAGTATTATATAACTCACAATCCTGCATATAGCATCACAATCACACAAGTACCACCACACTTCAGCACTCTTACACAGCAGCAACCCACCACTTCACACAACCAGGTGTTAAATGCTCCTTAAGGATTTGTATACATTACAGGTATATGAGTATATTTGTATACGTTACAGGTACAGATCGCCATGAGATGCGATCTCATGGCGATCTAACCATCTGTAGCTTAAGTTCTTCACCGATGCAGTGGGCTATGGCAGAGTTCATTGCCAACTTCCCCATGCTGGCTAGGGATTGTGGCCTTCTTGCCTGTGGCTTGTGTATATCAAGTGGGAGTTTATGGCAGTTAGGATGGTGCTTCAGCACCATCCTAACTGCATGGCTCTTCAATCCAGCTTCACTCGAATTGTACTTTATTGGGCCAATCTCTCCCTTGCCTCACAAGGCACGGGAGAGATAGAATAGCCATATTTCTGGCCTATTAGGGTTAAATTTTAAATGCAGTCCACATTCCTAGGGTGTCTTGTACACATTCTCTCCCATTACCATCTAATTTCAATGGAACTGAATTTGCAAGATGTTTGATCATCCTTAGGTGGATCTCTTCGTTCAGGTTTGGAATCATCAGTTGCCTCTATGCCGCACCCTTTCTCGATTGCATTGCACTTTTAGTAATTGCTTTTCACTTTGACTGGAATCAGTACCTCTCTTTATGCCAATTGTTGTGTTTTTGTACCAGTTGCAATGACTTTTCTATTGTGTTTCCTTGTGCAGCTTCGTCTCAAGTACTACTTTTAGCCTTTTTTCAACATTGATAACCTTGCATTAATTAGAAGCCTACTTGGCCTCTGGATTGGGTTTGTCGTCACTTCAGTTTCTTGTGGCCCTCTAGCCTGGGGATTCCTTTTTCAAGGCAACTTTCTTGTTGGGCCTGGCTTGTGGTTCCAGCCAGGTGTGCATCATGCCTTTTGTCCTCTTACAGAGGGCACTACTGTACTTGCATGCTACTCATACTTCCCAAGCTATGGCTGTTTTTCCCAATTGCATTTCTTCGGTGTCTTGTCCTACCTCAAGTTATCTAAAGGGTGGTTCAGTTCAACTAGCCCTTGTATACCCACATACACATGATATGCACAAGTATGCTTTTACAATGTTCATTGCCAATATTTCTAAAGCTAATAATTGTGCTCATGGATTCTGTCAGTCTAACCGGGTGTCGACAGTTCATTGCCCATTAGATGTTTCCTGTCCTCGCAGGAAATGTGTGGCTCTTGTGAGTACAGTATTTCTAATTGAAGAGTTCCTCTTTCCCTGAGCCCTAGGTTTCCAGTTTTCTCACCCCACATATTGGAAGTATGCACCAGGGAGCTACTGAGAACCAGCCCAGAAATCAAGTGCTGAATATAATGAGATGCCCTTTTCTAAGCAACCTCGTTCCTATTACTCTCCACACCCACCTTTCTTTGCTTTTCTTCCCCATGGTAATTGGATGCATCTTGGTGGTAGCATGTGAGTGAGAAGGCAATCAAGGTGAACCCCTGGGTGACTGACCTGGTAGTGTGCTTGGGTACTAGTGCATGGTTTGGCAATATAAGCAAACTACTGCCTTCCTCGTTTCTATCTCTGCTCTCTTTAATCAGAATACAGTACATAGTTTTACTTTGCCTGTACATTCTGGGCAGTTATACTTAGTTTTGGGATGGTCTCAGAGTTCCATGCTCCCTTTCCCTCTATGAGCACACCAGATCCTAGTTCTCATGTTCAGAAGGCCTGAACAAGTTTACAGGACTAGTAGCTTTGTGGATATCTCTATGATACCGGAGCCAAATGTACCGGGGAGATACTGAGGCTGGTCAAATTTTTTTTACATTACTTTCAATGCTTTCCAATTGATTGTGATATGAAATACAATCCTTTTCTGGCCTGGTGACCCCAAGAGTCATCATCCTTATCTTCACCTGAGTCATCATCTGGGGTTTGGGAATAACTGATATATAAAGTTCTCCTGTCTGCTCCTTATTATGAGTAGAAAATTTCCATTATACCACCACTATTTTTGTTTTACATCTTGTATTGAGCCATTTTTAATTCCATTTACCAGTACATCTCTTAACTCTTAGAGCTTTCTTACCTTGCTGATGTTACGAACAATTTTCTCATCAAGTAGCCTTATGAACAAGTTACATAAGATTTTCTGGATTGTTTCTTCCATGATGTCAAGGACTTCACTTCATCATTTGATGTTGCACAATTCTGTTGAAATATAACATACTTAGCATTTTATGAAGCAATGCAATACAGCATCACAGAAATTATCATCATTAATATCTCATTTCCCACTTAAAATGGAGTTAAGAGGCATGAGCTCAACAACAAATCTGAAAAGGGGTAAAAGATACCTCACCCATTCTATGTATCATATGAAACAAGCACAATTGTACTACAATATTGAATATTGTATGTAACTGCTCCATACAACCTGGTATAGTGTACTTACTGTAAGCTGTTGTTTAAATATTGTCAAATATCCATTCCATTCTTTCCACTGCACTTAATAGTCTCCCGAGACTGATGGATGCCTACTACTATTGACTAAGAGGCATACAGTATGTACAAAATTCAAATAGGGACTGTTGCACATGATAACAGTGAACTAAATTGTTCAATTGAAAATGCTTCTCAAAAAACCAAGCAACAAAAATTTCAGTTTGAATGTGCATTGAAATGTTTCTTTCTGGAAGGTCACTCAGTAGCTTCCTGAAGCTTGAACTAGTAGTAGCAGCTTTAGTAGCTTTTGAAGTAGCTTTAGCTTCCTGAAGCTTGAACTTATAAGCAGTAAAGCTTTGGAGAACACATAAGCTCTGTAAAACCCACAGTCATCTAATGGTGACCAGGAACAGAAGGTGGCCCTTTAATGAAACAGAGAAGAGCATAGAGACCAGAAATCCCACCAGAGAGTTAAAAGCATTACAAGCAACTGCTTAAAAACCTTGTAATCCTGACAATAAAATGGCAAACAATTGTTACAAGGCAAAATAACCTCCCAAAATGCTTGCCTGTCACCAGATGGCAGCCCAGATAACATGGGGTTACAGTCAGAAAGCCTCCCTGTTATTATTAATGAAATATTTTTTCTAATAGGGCACTGTACCTCCCTGTTCCATCCCAAAGGAAAGGATGGAACAGGGAGGTACAGTGTCCTATTAGAAAAAATGTTTCATTTCATTACTTTGAATGTTGGACATTCAAGAGATCCTCCTTTAGAGTTCCACGAAGTTAGCTCACCACAGAGCCTCATTAGAGAAAGGTGGTAACTCCAAAAAAGAAATGGTCAAAAAGGGAAACAGATTTGTTATTAAACAAATAGTGAAACTCAAACCAAACAAATCCCCAGGGTTGGACGAAGTGTTTGCCAGGGTGCTTAAAGAATGCAAAGAAGAGCTTTGTGAGCCACTGTCTACCATATTTAATAAATCACTAGAGTTAGGCAGTGTCAGAGTCGTGGAAGGTTGCTATATGATACCAATTTTTAAGAAAGGAGATAGATCATTTGCATCAAACTATCGGCCAATTAGCCTAACATCCTGTGTGGGAAAGTTACTTGAATCGATAATTGCAAATACAATTCGTGTTCATCTTGAAAAAAAAATTAATAAATGATTCACAACATGGTTTTACAAATGGACAATTAAATGTTTAACAAATTTGCTATCATTTTATTCCAGCATAATTGGGGCAGTTGAAAGTGGTAAGGATTGTGATATTGTGTACCTTGACTTAGCGAAGCTTTTGATACAGTGCCACATGAAAGACTGACTAAAAAGATAGAGGCTCATGGTATTGGGGGTGCTATATTAAGCTGGATTAGGGCATGGCTATACCAAAGGAAACAGAGAGTTAGTATAAATGAGGTTAAGTCAGAATGGGAAGATGTTGTAAATGGAGTTCCTCAAGGATCTGTCTCGGGACCTCTGTTATTTATAACATACATACATGACCATGTAATAATTTTTTTGCGACACTACTCACAGGTTGAGTATGGGGTGCATAATAAATTGGTCTCCTTCTTCGACAAAAACCGATCAAGTGTTTTTGCACACTTGCAAAAACCGATTATTTACAAATTGTACACTCAATGGACAAATTCACAAGGGTTGTGATGGGGTTCAGTGAACCTTTTGGGTCCATTAATTAAGCTAAGCCATTTACGCTATTTAATGGCTTTAGATTCAGGATTAATGGATTTAATGGATTTAGATTCAGGTTTGAGCAGCAATATTTGCAAATTTGCCAAAGATATAAAAATCGGGAGGGAAATAAACACGAAAAAGACTCACTATTACTTCAAGACGATCTAAATAGGATCTCTGTTGTTAAAACAACAACAGATCTCTGTTGTTGTTGTTGTAAGATTAGGGGGCAGCGACAGCACAGTGCCATATGCGGTCCATAGAATTGGTCTACCACTGTTTCGGACACCGGCGGTTCAGTAAACAAAATCAAGTTCGTTCACTAACAAGAATGTATTTGTTCGAACCTTTTCGTATATACATATGCACTGGTTTGTGTTCGCTGCGGTTCTCGTCTTCCAAGACACTATTATTACCAAAATGAGACAATAGAAGTTGATAAGTTAAGAAGGTGAATAAATAGCGCACTGGAATAGCGTAAATAACATTATTAGCGTAATGCTAAGCCATTAAATAGCGTAAATGGCTTAGCTTAATTAATGGACCCAAAAGGTTCACTGAACCCCATCACAACCCTTGTGAATTTGTCCATTGAGTGTACAATTTGTAAATAATCGGTTTTTGCAAGTGTTGTGCAAAAACACTTGATCGGTTTTTGTCGAAGAACGAGACTAATTTATTATGCACCCCATACTCAACCTGTGAGTAGTGGCACAAAAAAATGATTACATGGTCATAAACAGTCTTAATCAGACATCAGTATATATTTTTACATTATCATTTAAAACTAACTTAAATAAAATAACAACCAGTAAACAGACTACTTGCACTGCAACTTTTATAGCATTTAAATTATATTATTTAACATTGGAGGTTGGATTTTTTAATACAAAATAAATGTCAATGTTATTTTATATTACGGGTTAATAGTAGTGTTTATGCTTATGTGTTGCGTCTACACAGTTAATTCATTCATCACCTAAAAGAGAAATGTTGAGAAAACATACTTCTTGTTGTTCAGGAACTTCCTGTGCTTAAACGCGAACACTCCTTGAGGAACTGTGAGAGTGTGAGGTGCTTATCTGTTTTTCCTCGTAACGGTCCCAAAGTTTCCACAATGTTCCTGTTTCTCTTTATTGCCCTTCCGGCGACTCGACTTAAGCTTTTGTTCTGCAACCAGTTGGTAACGCAAGGTTACCAGAGACGCCTCACGGTATAGTAGTGGAATTAAAATATATAAAGTCAAGTTGTCCCTCACTGCCCTTCGATTCAGACGCTGGTGCCATCCTTGTACGTCATTGTTGGTCATCACCAGTCGTCTGAATGGTGAGTCTGAATCAACAGCGAAAGGGCCGACGCCCCTTACGAGAAACTAGCCGACGAGCAGAGCGAACATTGTGACGACTAGACAACGCCGGCTCCGAAGGAAGCGCCGGCTCAGAAACTGGCCCCAGTGGCCCACCATGACCGGAGAAACCCCAAGCCCTGGCACAACCCTTCCGAGAAGACCGAGACCAGCCACCCTGGAGAACTAACAAGTCCGACATAGGAAGACAACTAGACGATGCAGCCTGCAGAAACTGAGCGACAGCAGCCTCTGCAAACAGCAACGGACAAAAAGGAGAAAACTGAATAACCAGGGCCCAAGCGGATTCCAAGGAAAGAGTGAACACGGCCTGCGAGGCGAAAAGTAAAGAACAGACACCGGTTCTATATAATATATGAGAGTAAAGAACAGTAAATAACTCTGCTATTCAACAAATCTCTAGAGATTTGCTGAATAGCAGAGCTATGGGTAGTGCAAGAGCAGGGGGCAGCACTCTTATATATCATATATGGTATTTCATTAATGTCCCCAGCTTTGGTTTTAAGCGATTGAATTATGGATGTAATGTCTGTCGGGCTGACTGGTAATAGGAGTAGAGAGTTAGGATGTGAGATATGTAGTAACATGTGTCTGGGTCTCTGGGATTTTTCTTGCAAGGTTAGGACCAATTGTTGAAAAGAAGCTATTGAATTCAGTTGCAATTTCTAAGTCTGTTGCAAGTGTGTAACCATTTTTGCAGAGTTTTATCTGTCTGTTATGTGATTGTTGTTTAGACCCTAAGATGTTAGAGATGGCTTTCCATGTAATTTTCATATTTCCTTTTGCTTCTTTAAATCTATTCTCATAAAAGGAAGCTTTCGCTCTTATTATATTGGTAAGCATTGATGAATGTCTCTTAACTACTTCCTTTTTAACTAGGCCAATTCTATTTTTTTCATATTCGTGTTTCATGTTAATTGCTTTAAGTATGCCACTTACGAGCCAGGGGTTGTTTAATCTTTTGGCAGTTACTTGCTTAGTGAGGAGAGGACATTGTGTATTGAACAGGCTTAGAGTTTTGGAGTCCATATGTGGTCCAGGGTTGTATCAGATGTTTGAGTAATTCGAGTGGGTTTGGTGATTGTGGGGATTAGGATACAGAAGTTCATGCTATTTAGGAAGTATGCGACTTGGGGTTATAATAGGTTATAATAGACAGGAACAAGTAAAAGAATGATCACAGTAATTAGACAAGAAGGATACAGATGTCAAGTAAAAAGTATAGATTCAGTAGACATTGACAAGAATAATATTCTGTATTGAGATAGACTAGATTAAGATTCTTTATATAATTATGGAATTAATACAGGACCAAAACTTGCTCGAAGTGGAATCACCGTTTCGGGCTATCGAGCGGCAACATGGAAAAGTGTATACTCTTTTCACTGTGCTGACCTTAATTTTCGATGTACATATTTCATTTTTGCACCAATGGATTAGCAATAGAATGTTCTAGAAGAACATATGTATAATATGTTACCAGACCGTGATTTAAACGACTACCAATAAAGAAACTACGTGGATCACTAGCCGTGAGCTCCAAACAGCGACGAGATGTTTCCATTCTTTTCAGAGTTGTCAACTCCACACTTATCCTACAGTGTTAAATTTTGTATCTTTGAGATTGCAATAAAATTATCTACACGGACATATGCATATAAATGTAGAATCATGATCGCGGCCCACCCGCAAGAGTGTGGGAAGTGGGCGAAGTGTTACCTGTTACCGCACATAGGCGATTTACAATAGTTTTACCACGAAGATACAAGACAATGCCGTTCTCCTAAATAGGCTATGTGGCTGTTAGAAAAAACGTAAATTTTATGCCAAACATGTTCATACTATCCCCAAGTCGATCGGATAAGAATTGAATTTTATAGAAATATTTGTTCGTCGGACATAAAAATATGTCTCCTGGACATTTTCAAGATAACCCCGGCGGACACGATCTTGTGTCCGCCGGGGAGTAAAGTATTAAATTAATGAAGACAAACAAAAATTACAAGGTTACTCTTAATTAATTAATACTGAAGAATCTTAAAATAATCTAATCGAATGATAGATAACTATAATTAGATTAATTATGATTCTATGATTAATATGAATTTAATAAAAATATGAAGTCAATTAATTCTAATAAATGACTAATCTTAGTCAAATGTTATTTCATGTTGTCGTATTTCGGATCTTTACGTCTGGGCTGTGATGGCATCGTTCTTCTTTGACGTTACAATATTGAGTGTTGAATGAAATAGAATTATCAGTAGAAAGCACCAAGCTTGGAATGGATCAGGATAAGGATTTTTTATATTTTTTTTAAATCCCATCCAAGCTTATGATGGGATTTATTATTTTGGTAACCAATCCGTGAATTGTTGGCGTTCATGACGGGAGAATCCGGGTTGGTGGAGTGCCAGCTGCTGCCTCCGGTGTTTACGTTGCGCAGCTGATCGGGGTCCTCGTCCTTGTGTGTGTGTCTGCCCAATAACTTCCTTTGTGCAATACAATTTGTGCTCTCGGTTTAGTGGCCGTGCAACAGGTATGGGCCTACCGGGCAGGGCTTAGCTTTGGGGTGTAGGGAAATGGTGTGAGGTTGTATTGAGGTCAGTAGCAACATTATGGAAAGTTATTTTGCAATCCTGTTGATAGTGATTATTTCTATGTAATTAATGGTATCGCTGTTGAGGTAATTTTTGTTGCTTGGATAATGGCTTTGAAAACAAACTGTTTATTGGCTGGAACTTTGTTTTAATGGTAGTTTTAAGTTGGCAGAAATGAATATAGTCTATATTAAGGTTATGCTAGAAAAGTATGAAATACATTGCTTCTTAGTGGTGTTAAATTAAGGACTTTCATTATGCACTTTTCATATTGTAATTAAGGACAGATTTCTTACCATGTTTTATACCAGTGTTTAGTGAGTGATTTACATATCTGAAAATGTAATCAATGTCAAATATCACCAATATTGGTTGATTATACAGATGTTAAAGTCATAATTCTTGAATTAACTGTTTTATCTGCAAGTGTGTTATTTTTATTTATACTATTGTTTTTCTGTTTACCCTTAAACTGCTCGTGTCACCCTCAAGAGATACATAGATGGTGCTCCTGACACCCTTGGTCGAAAAAGTTACAGCCCCGCTCCTGTGCCAGGTAAGTCCACAACGGGCTCACCATAGCCCGTGCTACTTGAAACTTTTTGTTCCAAGTAGCGAATCTTAAACAACAACAACAACACCCATGGTGGGGGGATTTAATGTGCCTCGTAATACTAAAAATTCCTAAAGATTCTTTGTGGACATCATTCAACACTGGAGAACTCTGGCAGTCTTTTGCCATATTGGGATAAAATCCTGAAAGCCTTAGCTGCCTTCCTGGACATTATTACACAAATTGGTACCATGTCAGGTGTATCATATTCCATTTACTGATACCTGTGATAGGTTTGTGATAATGAAAAATTTATTAAAAATAGTTTGTTAAAATTTGTTTTCAACATTTTTTCACCTCATTGTGGCTAAACTAAAATTATTAGAATTTGCTCAAGACATCAAAAATTGACATTTTATAATATTTAATGGATTTCTTTTTTATGAGCACATGGAAATTGACCTTAAATTGGGTGCTTAGTTTGAGGATTGAGAGAGAGAGATGATGGTGACCAGTCTGTGCTCTGATAAACTTAATCAAACCATATTAGATCCAACTTCACCTAATCTCTTTATTGGGTATGAACCTCAAACACATAACAAAGATGTGCAGTTTACCATTCAACATTAAGTTTAGGCTTACAGGTTCTGGAAGATGAGAGGAAATGTCAGCACTGTGGAGAAATGCCCGACAGACCACTGGAACATTATCTAACACAGTGCAGTTACAAATCCATTAAGATTTCAACTTAGATTCAACAGAGCAGAAGTTATTAAACACATATGGCAAAAACTTACTGAAGCGACCATACGAGTCATAAATACTCATACTCCGCCCAAGTAATACAGAAACAAGCAACACTTAGTGGGCCAGCCAGAGGCTTAGGGCTCGTGCAGGAATATCCCTGCAAAAAAAAAAAAAAAAAAAAGTGTTCCCTGCCACTCTCTTTTTCCCACAATTTGTTAAATGATATTTAATCTCGTAAAAGCATCACAATATGGTTTTATCATAAATTAATCCTGCCTAAAGAATTTGCTCATGTTTCTGGAAATGGCAACCAACTAATCAGACATAGTACTTCTTATAAATGAATTATACAGGGACCTCTGTAAAGTTTTTTATAAAGTAATACAAGCAGGACTGACAAACTATCAATAAAAACACTTTTTATTTTTTTGTTTAATCCGGACTCGGTTTCCCTTATTCTCTGTTCCAGGGCTTGGGTCTCCCAGGTCGTCCGTTTGTTTTTGCTCATCACAGAAAACCAGTGTTAAATTTAATGAAATGTTATTATCTGGGGGAGCCCTGGAGGCTCCCCGGCACCCTCCCTCCGGTCAACGTTTTTTTGCTCTCTTTTTGATGCTCAGAACTGAATGTTGTAGCAGCTGGCCCGGAAGGGGGGGTGGGGGGGTGGCTTCACAGATGATCGTTAATGGCAAAGTTAGTGAAGTTTAATTGTTTGGTTGTTTTAGTTTGGGAGTTATGCCTCCCTGTTTGGTTTTAGGTAGCAACTTTTTACCATGTGGGGTTTGTTTTGTTAAGCTTATCTTTCTGGGTGCCAAACCTCGGTCAGTGGCAGACATGAAATTCTTCCAAACAGATGGGGGTTTCCATAGGTCATTGCTTCTCGTGCCTCTCTGAGGGGGGCCAGGTTTTGGCTCATGGTCCTCAGTAGGCAAGAACTCCATCGACTGATGCCACGGTCTAATATATACATATCAGCCTGGTAAGCTCCGGGGAGCCTAGATCTAGGGCTTACCCAGAAAATGGCGTTTCATTACATTCGATGACATTCGCTGTTTTTTTATTACATGTACAGTATTTCAAAACTGATTCACTGCAATACAATTGAACCTATGCATACTTAATGTTACAAATACAGTATTCTTCTCTTTATTGCCAGATATATGATAAGACTGAGATATGGAGAGCAGCAGCGACTTCTTTTTGATGGGAGCCAACATCTAGTAGTGTCATTATGGGGCATTCGATGCTGTTCATAATATTGGCAGGTAAGGCATTTCTTTGCTAATATGCATTGTTGTAATGTTTTTTTGAAAAAGATGGCAACTAATTGGTATACAGCACATGTTAATATGTAATTCATGAATGTTATAATTAGTCCGAGCTTCCTTTTCAAGGGGCAGCCTAGGAGTCAGAAGTTTGTTTACAAGCCTATACCTCACATTTAGTTTCCTGCAGCCAAGCTGTCATTGTCATAGAGGCAAAGTGTTCGCATTTCTTTTATGAGGAGGAATTTGAGGCCTTGGTTTTAGCTACTTGCAATAACTCCAGGCCTTCCTCTGCAGTCTCCAATGATTTAGTTAGCAGTCTTCTGTTGCATAAAAGTACTGTATTGCTCATTTTACCTCCCAGCCACCACCATTGGAAAATGACCCCAGGACCCATTGTGAAGTTCACTTGAGCAGCATTTCTCACTCATTTCTCTGTTGTCCTTCCCTTGTTTGCGAGGGATTGTATATTCCTTGGGGGTATTCAGAAGCCTCTGTGGTTCAACAACACTCATTTATGCCAAATAACGTAAAACAAGCATTTAATGTAATGAAATGCCTCTTTCTGGTAGAGCTCAGGTGGTTCCCTGAAGCCACCTGAGAGTAATGTTCCATTCAAATGTTCAATGTTTCATTTTCACATTCTATTCAAAACTCCCGCGGCTACATGGGGTTCACATCGGCTTCCTCAGGGCTCTTGTAAAAAGATGCCATCTTTAAAAAAAATCATGGTCTACATTGCCGGGTGTGAGAGCCTCAGTAGTGAGTGTGCAACCAAGGCTGGCGCTCGAGCCAGCCTTGGTTGGGCACAGCCATGAGCGCACAGCTCTGCTGTTCAGCGTGTGACCACAGCATCGCCTAATAATGTCTAAATACATATATAACCTGTATATATAACCTGTATACCTGTATAGCCATGATAGTATTATAGAAGAGCCTGAGTGTGATAATAACTGGGTACAATGTTCAAATATCAGTGATTCAATGCTGTTCACGATGTTCACAGCGCTAGCCACAGCACCACAGCATTATTTCGTTCATCTAGGAATCTTCAAATGACTTCTTAGGTTCCTTTTCAAAATAAACTTGTGGTCAATTATTCATTTAAAGACATTAGTGACCAGGATTGTGGTTATAATTAGCATTGTGTGTAGTATTGTGAAAGGAGGAATTTTGGTGAGGGAGGGAGAGAATTGAGGTAGCCTCACTGTGTGGCAGCCACTCTTGTTTTGCTCACCATACTAGCTTCGTGGTTCGCTATGGGGAACACACATGTACATGGGTATATACAGTGCATGTGTATATAGTGTAATAACAGCAACAGGAGTATGTTGAGTGGAGCTATGTTGGTGAGGGAGGTGACGTCGTAATCGTAGCGTCGTCTGCTGTGTGATTTCTCATGCAGTGTATGGTGGCCACTGTACTGTTTGGACACAATACCGGTTTACTTGCATAGTTCTGGTAAATAAAACATGTAGATAAGTATATATAACATGTATAAATAGTGTAATAAAAACAATAACAGTATGGTGGGAGGAGCAATGTTGGCGAGTAAGATGTTGGAGTGAGGAAGGGCCTGTCTGGCCCTCCCTTACGTGGCTCGCCTCACACGGCTCTGCCTCTTTCTGCAGGTCGGACCAGTCTAGTAAGTGGCTGGTTCGGACTTCTCCTCAGCTCATCGTGTCTGGTCTTTTTTTACGTGGGTGTATCACCATCTCTAGGGCGATCATGTGGCTTCATTGATGGTGTCCCACCTGCGAGCTTTGTCTCGGCGACCATATGAAGTTTCTTGGTGTTTCTTTTCACCATTTTCTTGCTCTTCGTAGGTTATCTTCTCTTTTGGATCGGGTTGTCTTGTCCTTTCTTGGTTTTCAGGACCATCATTGATGCTTCTTACTGTCGCCTTGTGTTGTGCGGCACTGGCAGAGCCGCTCCAGCTTGCATTCAGGGTGGACGTCCCATCCGTCCTGTTCCGTACGCTTTCTCATGCCTTGTTTCACCTCAGGCCTGCTCTTGCGCCATCTGAGCCGTCCTGGTCCTTGGTCAGGGTGCTCTCTCCTCGGTTTGTGGTGGCCCCTTCGGTTCAAGATTGTTTTTCCAAGGCCCTGTTTTTGTTGGCATTTGCCTCTTGGGGGGGGGGGGGGAGGGTCACGGAGCTTCCTGCTCTCCATTTTAACTTGTTGCAAGTTGCTACAAGGTGAGTTTCTGGGAGAGCCCTCTGTGGTTCCCTGATGCTATTTCACTAAGTTGGTTTCCAACAACTAGGTCACATCAACTATGGAGTTCTGCTTGGCCTACTGGGGACCATGAATCAGAACCTGACCCCTTACAGAGGCACACAGATCAGGCAACAGTCCACCACATCACTGGGAAAGCATCCAGACAGCACATACAGTGTTTTATTTTTGTTATGAGAAAACAAATATCTTATTGATTTCCTGTTATATTAAATAAAGCTTTTGTTGTGTTTTTAGTTTAATTTTTTTTTATTGTTATCTCCCATGCAGAGCTATTGACATTATCAAGAGTAGAGGGCAATGTTCATGGAGTGCTTGTGAACAAGATTGCATGTCGAGGAAGAGCAGCCCACTTCAACACAACTGCAGGAACCATTACTTCTCCTCTTTACCCTGGAGCTTCCCCTATTCACATTTCGTGTTCGTGGATTCTCCACAATCCTTACCAAGACACTGTCATTCTGAGGTGAAACCTTGGATATTGTAATTTTGTAAAAGTATGACATACACTGATTATAGCAAGAAGCTTTGGAATGAGGAGAATGTATTATATAATAAATGCCAACAGGCACTATGAAAAATAAATAATATATCATTAATGTTTTTATATAAAAGTATCATTAGGTGTAGATAAAAGCTTAATGGACCCTTTGCAGTTTTCATTATTCTTGTATTCTTAATGGTGTTATGCTGCATTTTAAATGTGAATTCATATATTTTCTTTTAATACTACTGTACTTCCACAGATGACCTTTTGTTTTATTTTCTCTCAGTATTTTATGCTAAGCACTCATATTTCCTCTGGGTCATTTTTCCTGATTTCAGCCTGCCAACTCATGACTTACCTCTTCTTGTTTCCTAGACCCCTTATTTTGGGCACTAGCCTAGTTACATATAGCCTTTTGTGTTTGTCAAGGTGGGTGGGGGTGTTAATGTATATACTCGCCTTCATTTGCTAGCTTCAGCTCTTGGGTCTCGCCTTGAAGTCTCTGATTGTCCATTGCAATTAATTCCAACCATCTTTCATCTTATCATGGCAACTCTTGAAATTATGTATGGAAACAGACTTTACTACCTTATCTTATGTGTTATTACACAAACTCAGTACTCTTACAGTGAAGAACTGCTTTTCTGGGAGAGCCCTCTGTGGTTTCCTGATGCTTTCTCACTGAATAGGTTTCCAACAACTAGGTCACATCAACCATGAATCAGAACCTGACCTCTTACAGAGGCACACAGAGCAGACAACACTCCACCACCTCACTGGGAAAGCATCTAGAAAGTAAGCAAACCAATGCAGGCCACTGCTGGCTTTAAAAGAACTGAAGCCTCAAAATTGCCTGACAAACTGCCCAAACAACGTAAACAAATGACCGAATCTTTTGAAACTAGCATAAGTGTGTTAGCACTAATCATCATTAAGATTGGACACCACAAGCATAGCTCTTATCCTGTAACTACACTTGGGTAATTACTAATCCCCACTTGTAGGGGTGGAGGGTGGAGCTCCAGGTTTACCTCGGCCCTCCAAGTCAGTTCTGTCGCTAGTGTGTATTACTAAGGTCATCCACTGTAGGACTCCTGGGTCATTAACCAGTCACACAGGTCCCATTGCTTCTAAGCTAAGTGCTTAGGCCATCCTTGGACTTTGTCCTGTGGGGTAAATTGCTTGGTATTGTTCTACATTTGAGTTAGCTTTACGAGTGTGTTTTCTATCCTGTTTGTATTGTGTGGACTTTGTGCATAGGATGCTTGGAGCTGAATGTGCTCAGGTCTAGCCTTCCCTGTGTGCTTGCTCCTTAGTGCTGCCCCTGCACTGACAGAGTTATCTTATCTTGTGTGTTCAGGGGTTTGTTCATTAGAGGTTGGGTCACAAGAGTGTGGGCTTGTAATTGCCTATAGATAGAATGAAGTTCACGTTCCAGTTTGCATCTTTATCTCTTTCTCCTTAGTGGTATGTTACATGCACATATTTCTAGTGCTGCTGTGCCTATTTTCTCAAGGCACTGGTTTAAGTTTGCATGATCTAGCACCAATAGAGGTGCTGTCTTTCCCAGCACATTTCTGTGAGGGCTTTGTTTATTTGTTCCCAGTTAATCCTTTTGTTATTTAAATTGAATTTGCTGAATTCTCTTCGTGTTGGATTTGAAGCTGGCTGCATAGGTTTGTTGCCCATGCATGTCTGAACTTCAAATAAGTTGTAATATGAGTCATATGTACTTATAATCATTGTCTTATCAGTTCATCATTGTTTGTAAAAACAAGATCCAACGTGTTTTCTCTCCTTGTTGCTTCTGCTATTTGCTGGTTTAAGGCAAATCTTTCACACATCTGCAAGAGGTCATCACTGTGTGACTGTTCACTTCTACTGCTTCCTGGGATTTTCTCTGGTATAACTGCAGTTTTGCCACACTTTCCATTTTTGGTGCTATAAGTCACTAAGCAAAATGATGTTTGGGGCAGTATTCTATTTATGTAAGTTGGTCTTTAAACTGCTGAGAATTTGCATATGGTGTTGATATGAATCTGGGATTGCTAGACTCCTGTGGAATCTAGAACCAGGTATCAACCAGGTGATTTATATTCAAGGACAATCACCACATTTAGAATTTCTATTTTGAGTATCAAAATATAAATTTTAAATTTGTTCACACCTCTGCCACAGAGGCCTGGTGTGTGGAACTAAGACTTGGTAGTACAAGTGCACAAGTTTAGAGAGCTACTCGAGGCTCATCAGGAAAGGGCACTTCATTAATCATCATTTGATTTCCCACATTAAATTTTATTGTCACACAACCTTTTAATGGTCCAGAAAACACCGAAGTGCTGTCTTTTCTTCATCTTCTAATGTATGGTTTGAACATTTATCCTCTTGTCATTCACTTCCCCTCACTCAGCTTGTCCACATCATGCCTGAGGAAAATGCAATTTCTTGAATCCTTGATTCGCTTTAGGACTTGTGCCTCATCTCTGAACATATTCACGTAATTCTGTATTCCCTTTGAAAGGTCGTTGACATAAACATAATTTGTTAGAACCCATTCCTAGTGGCATCCCACTAGATACGTCTAGTCTGATTAACAGGGAAAATATATAGTGAATAGATGTCTTTCTTTTGCTTTTTCCTATTATCTTTATTTCTTCTGGGCTGATGCTTTCCAATCAAGTGAAATGGGAAATGATAATGATAATGGTGGATTGTTTTTCTTGTATCATAGATTATCTGTTTGGGTCATTTAAATTTTTGGTCATTAGCAAAAGCATCTTGTAAAATATATAATCTTAAGATTTTTTCAGCTTCAGCAAGTTTGACTTGGAACAAGATAAAAAATGTGGTAAAAAGCCACAAGATTGTTGTACACATCAATGGATAATGATAAAAACAGATGGGAGCAAGGCAGGACAAGATGAAAGTCAAGCCATCACTGGGGAGGTTAAGGAACAAAGCAGCAGAGAGAAGAGGAGTGCAGCTTCCCCAAGTAATAGAAGAAGACATGCAGGTGAAAATATTCCAGATGAGAGAAGATTAGTTGATAAGACACATGATGGTCACAATACATCAATTTTAGTAGGCAGAAAATCAGCTAGTCATCTGTGGAATGTTGTTGCATCTTTTGTTAAAGAATCGAGTAATTATTCACTAAAAATGCAAGTGAAGAGAAGTAGTGAAATTAATGTGAGTATGGATGCCCACCGAACTCTGGATGAAGCAGAAACCACAGGCCACATGTGCGGGGACTTGGCTCCATATCCTATCTCAACGAAAGCTACGAGAGTCATCATCAAGTTCTTCTCTCGTACTAAAGTTGCTTCAAATCACCTGGGATTCACACTGCAGTATCAAATAAGTAAGTAGAATAATAAAAGAGCAAATATTTGTTGGTTCTTTTAAATCTATCCCTTGTGTTTCTATCTTTAGCCGTTCATTATTATCCCATTTCTTACAAACATAGGATGGAGAGATATGAAAAACTATACAATAAATTACTAAGCTATACAGAAATAGCAATACATTAAAATAGAAATAGATATGCTGTACTGGTATTATTAACCATTGTTAGTTTGTCCTTGCAACATAAGTAGAAAATAGTTTTCTGTTTTTTAATGGTAGTTTGATGTTTTGTGTTTTATCTCTCTTCTAGGTAATACTATAACTGTGTGTGGACCAGATGAATTTGCATGTAAAGATCCACACCTCTGTGTTCCTGATTCTTGGAGATGCAATGGCCAGCTTGAGTGTCCCGACTCTTCAGATGAAGCAAACTGTGAAGGTGAGTTTGAAGTCATTTTTACAGACAAGCATTTGAATGTGGGTTTTCTTTCTTACAATGATTCAGTAAAGTCCTAATGAAAATAAGGTTATGCACATATATGATCAAGGGGAAATATAATCGTATATTGTATATAAATCTTTTTACAATGGTGTACCTGTCGAAAATCATGTGAAAATGGTTATAGTGTGTATATGGCATCTGTTGATTTGGAGAAAGATATGATAAAATAGAGGGAGAGTATTGGCTAGTACAGTTGGCTAGGGTCTCAACTCCCAGCCGGGGATCCCAGGTTTGATTCCCAAGCAGGACAGAAATGATTGAACACGTTTCCTTTTGCCTAATGCTTCAGTTCACATAGCAGAAAATAGGTATATAGGAGTTAGGTAACTGTAATGGAGTTTAATTCTGGAAAGGGTCAACAGTTCGATTTTGTGTGGGGGGGGACCTTAATACAAACCTAAAGTATTTATACACACATACTCAGGTTTCCTGTCCCCCAAAAATGAATTATTATTATTATTATTATTATTATTATTATTATTATTATTATTATTATGTAGGTAAATTTTCTTTGGGGGAGCCCCGTTGACTCCTTTGAGCTATCAGACTGATAAATGCTGTGCTGTATTAGTCTGGGGCTTCATTCACATGGAGGTCTTCCTACCGAGAAAAAAAGTCAGAACTTGGCTCCTTCAGAGAGGTGCAGGGAGCAATAGTCTATGAAAACTCCACTCTTGGAGAGTATATTCATGTCTGCCATTGACTGGGGGTTAGGTGCCCAGAAAGGTAGGCATCTCAAAACAAACCCCAACTGGTAGAAAATTGCAACCCAAGACCCAACAGAGCCCAAGAACTCTCCCGAAGAAAGAAGAATGTAACAAGTAAAATGTCATCAAACTGACACGCACAGGGAGGGGGGGATGGAAGGAGGGACTCACTCACCCAAGCTGTCCGCTTGCCCACCAGTTTGTCGACTGAAGCTGGCTGGGGCTCATATATCTACGTTAATTTTAACTCCAATAAAATAAAATTGACCTCATACTTAATGAAATGGGTAGCTTTATCATTTCATAAGAAAAAAATTAGAGAAAATATATTAATTCAGGAAAACTTTGCTTATTAGGCAAATCGGGCCTTGCATAGTAGGCTGAGAAGTGCGTTCTGGCTACTAGGTACGACATACAGGCATACCTAAGTTTAAGAGTTTAATTGGTTCCTGGAGACGCCTCGTATTCCGAAAACTCGCATTCCGAAGCTAATTTCCCCATAAGAAATAAAGGGAAATGAATTAATCCGTTCCTGACTACCCCAAAAACCCCACATCAAACTAAATTTTTATACCTAATTCATCTAAATAAACCTACAAAACTATGCTCAAGTTATTACTTACCTTGCTGTTGAATGCTGTAGGCGTATGGAAGATGGTGAGGAGGTGGGAGGAAGAGAGGAGTTACTGTTTGGAAGGGGAGTCCCCTTCCATTATCACATCAGGCAGTGAGGACTTCACTGGTATGCACACTCTGGCACATTTTGCCTGCTTACCACTAGGACTTGCTTGTTTTACTAAGAATTTGTCTAATGACACTTGTTTTTCCCTACATTTTAGCACTTGTCTGTAGTAAGAAATCACATTATCATTTAAAAGGTCAATGCAACGGCCTGCTACAGCTTTATCTGGGTGAGTTTTTTCAACAAAACTTTGCAGTTCTTCCCATACTTCACACATTTTCTTAATCAAGAAGGGACATCCTCTACTGCCTCTACTCACAGCTATTTTCTTAGGTTGAACCTTATCAATGGCTTTCTTGAGACCCATGGCAAGATATATAATGACAACTTTTATACTCAAATGGCCAAAAAACCAATAAAAAACTGTAAATCCTTGTGAAGAATTCAGGTGGGATAGTCACTGGACACGAGACACTGGTAAACTGAGTCGCGATCGCCATGCCACCACGCGCCAGTCGGCCTGTACACGTATCAACAAACTCGCGTCCCGAGGTAACCCTCGCCTTCCGAGACATATTTTTGGAGTAAATCCTGCTCGTCTTCCGAAAAACTCGCATACAGGGACACTCGCATTCCGAGGTACCACTGTGTGTATGTATGTATATATATATATATATATATATATATATATATATATATATATATATATATATATATATATATATATATGTATGTATGTATGTATGTATGTATGTATATGTCGTACCTAGTAGCCAGAACGCACTTCTCAGCCTACTATGCAAGGCCCGATTTGCCTAATAAGCCAAGTTTTCATGAAATAATTGTTTTTCGACTACCTAACCTAACCTAACCTAACTTTTTCGGCTACCTAACCTAACCTATAAAGATAGGTTAGGTTAGGTTAGGTAGGGTTAGTTAGGTTCGGTCATATATATACGTTAATTTTAACTCCAATAAAAAAAAAATTGACCTCATATATAATGAAATGGGTAGCTTTATCATTTCATAACAAAAAAATTAGAGAAAATATATTAATTCAGGAAAACTTGGCTTAATAGGCAAATCGGGCCTTGCATAGTAGGCTGAGAAGTGCGTTCTGGCTACTAGGTACGACATATATATATATATATATATATATATATATATATATATATATATATATATATATATATATATATATATATATATATATATATATAACTGAAAACTCACACCCCAGAAGTGACTCGAACCCATACTCCCAGGAGCAACGCCACTTGACCATCACGACCGGACAAAATGAGGTGATAGCCGAGGCTATTTGAACCACCCCACCGCCGGCACTCGGATGGTAATCTTGGGCATAGCATTTTACCAAATCACCTCATTCTTTGGGGCACATGTGAGGAACACAAATGCGAGCAAGCCTGAATGGTCCCCAGGACAATATGCAACTGAATATGCAGGCTTGTTCGCATTTGTGTTCCTCACGTGTGCCCCAAAGAATGAGGTGATTTGGTAAAATGCTATGCCCAAGATTACTATCCGAGTGCCGGCGGTGGGGTGGTTCAAATAGCCTCGGCTATCACCTCATTTTGTCCGGTCGTGATGGTCAAGTGGATTAAGGCGTCTTGTACATACCAGTTGCGTTGCTCCTGGGAGTATGGGTTCGAGTCACTTCTGGGGTGTGAGTTTTCAGTTGCATATGTCCTGGGGACCATTCAGGCTTGTTCGCATATATATATATATATATATATATATATATATATATATATATATATATATATATATATATATATATATATATATATATATATGTCGTACCTAGTAGCCAGAACGCACTTCTCAACCTACTATGCAAGGCCTGATTTGCCTAATAAGCCAAGTTTTCATGAATTAATTGTTTTTCGACTACCTAACCTACCTAACCTAACCTAACCTAACTTTTTCGGCTACCTAACCTAACCTAACCTATAAAGATAGGTTAGGTTAGGTTAGGTAGGGTTGGTTAGGTTCGGTCATATATCTACGTTAATTTTAACTCCAATAAAAAAAAATTGACCTCATACATAATGAAATGGGTAGCTTTATCATTTCATAAGAAAAAAATTAGAGAAAATATATTAATTCAGGAAAACTTGGCTTATTAGGCAAATCGGGCCTTGCATAGTAGGCAGAGAAGTGCGTTCTGGCTACTAGGTACGACATATATATATATATATATATATATATAAATATATATATATATATATATAAATACAGTATATATATTTTGGTAGCAGTCTTTCCTGTAGACATATATTATTAAATATGACCGAAAAAGTAAGATTAATAATTCTAACACGAATTTTCTCTATCTTTCTTACATTTCTTTTCACTGTTGATGGTAATTCAAAGATCAATTCTCCAAAATTCTCCAAAATAAAAATGAATTTTGGAGAATTGATCTTTGAATTACCATCAACAGTGAAAAGAAATGTAATACAGGCATACCTCAGAATAAGAGTTTAATCCGTTCCTGGAGACGCCTCGCCTTCCGAAAACTCGCATTCCGAAGTTAATTTCCCCATAAGAAATAAAGGGAAATGAATTAATCCGTTCCTGACTACCCCAAAAACCCCACATCAAACTAAATTTTTATACCTAATTTACCTAATTCATCTAAATAAACCTACAAAACTGTGTTCCAGTTATTACTTACCTTGCTGTCGAGTGCTGTAGGCGTATGGAAGATGGTGAGGAGGGGGGAGGAGGAGAGGAGTTACTGTTTGGAAGGGGAGTCCCCTTCCATAATCACATCACATAACCCCATGCCTTGTAACACTATGGATACCACTTCTCTTTCTAAATTTTTCAAACCAGCCCCTGCTTGCCTTAAACTCTTTCTTATCTGCATCACTCGTTGCAGGGGTATTCTTTAGAAGGTCTTCGTGCAACACCCTGGCTTTCTCACAAATAATGGCCTCCGAAACACTATCACCCCTCAACTCCTTGTCGTGTATCCAAATTAATAACAACTTTTCCACTTCTTCAAGTATTTGTGGTCTTTGTGCCGTTAATGTTCTTACTCCTTTTGCCACTTTAGCACCCATAATCTTATTTTTCTTCTTAAGTATAGTGCATATTGTTGATGTGGCTTTGTTGTACTGCCTACAAAGTTCAACAACACGTGTACCGTTCTCATGCTTCCGAATGATCTCTTGTTTCTCCTCTATTGTCATCCTCACATGAGCTTTCTGGCCTTTATCCTTACCACTGGCTTTCTTGGGACCCATGGTGAGATATATAATAACAAATTGTATAGACAAATCACCAAAAATCCAACAAAACACTGAAAATCCGCGAGAAGAATTGATGTGGGGGTAGTCACTGAGCGCGAGACAATGGTAAACTGAGGGGCGGAGGGGCGACGATCGCCGAACCACCACGCGCTAGGTCGGCCTGTACGCGTATCAACAAACTCGCGTCCCGAAGTAACCCTCGCCTTCTGAGACAAATTTTTGGAGTAAATACTGCTCGCCTTCCGAAAACCTCGCATACAGGGACAATCGCATTCCGAGGTACCACTGTATATAGTAAACAGAGTTTTACTATGCTAATATTTAAACAGCTTTTGTCTTATATACTCGCATTTGGGTGAGGTGATATGTTACAACAGTTTTGGATGAGGTGATATGTTACAACAGTTTTGGATGAGGTGAACAAACTTTCAATACAAGACAGAACACGGTTCAATGGGTATAGATGAAAGGGAAGAATGGAAGTATCTGCAAAGGGCCTATTGGCCCATATTTCCTCTCGATGCTTCTATATTGGTACAGTCTTGAATTGGGTTGAATATAGTTGTGCATTAATTGGCTGTTGATTGCTGGTGTTGACTTCTTGATGTGTAGTGCCTTGCAGATGTCAAGCCGCCTGCTTTAGATGAAATTGATTGTTTGATTGTTTCCTTGGGATTGTAGGGAGTTTCTACCTCTCTGTTCATTTTTTTGTTGTTTTACCATGTGGGGTTTGTTTTGTTATGCCTACCTTTCTGGGGTGTCTAACCCCGGTCGATGGCAGATAAGGAAAACCCCCAACCATAATGGGGTTTTCCAGGGCCATTGCTCCCTGAAACCTCTCTGAAGGGGCCAGGTTCTGGCGCTGGTACCTGGTAGGTCTGAACTCCATAGCTAATGCCCTGGTCTAACGTAACATACATTTGCCCGATAAGCTCCAGGGAGCCTCCGGGGCTCACCCAGAAAATGCCGTTTCATTACATTCAACGCTGTTTTTTTTTTGTGTTTTGACATCCAGCCTCAGAATTGACGAGTGGATAGCCGGCGTGAGGGGTATGGAGCTCCTCCTTTCCCCTCCCGGGAAGGGGGGAGCTGCGCAGACAGCGGCGCGGCGACGTGTGATGTCATGATTGTTTGCTTGTTTCTTTTAGGGGGAGTTCTATCCACTTGTTCGGCTTTTGGTAGCAATAATTTCGCCAGAATATGGGTTTTTGGGATGCTTACCTTTCTGGGTGCCTGACCAGGTTGATGGCAGACATAGAATGCTTCCAACCACACGGGGATTTCTGTAGGCCATTGCTCCCATGCCTTTCTGAGGGGGCCAGGTTCTGACTCATGCTCCCCGGTAGGCCCATAGAACTCCATACACATGACTGATGCCAAAGTCTGACATTAGCATATCAGCCTAGTAAGCTCCGGGGAGTCTCTGGGTCTCACCCAGTAAATGGCGTTTCATTACATTCAATGCTGTTTTTTTATGCCTATCATTCTGGGTGCCTAACCCCTGTCGATGGCAGATAAGGAAAATCCCCCAACCACAATGTGGTTTTCGAGGGCTATTGCTCCCTGTACCTCTCAGAGCAGGCCAGGTTCTGGTTCGTGGTCCCTGGTAGGCTGAACTCCAATTGACAGATGCCTCAGACTAATATGACACACACATCAGCCTGGTAGCTCCAGAGAGCCTCTGGGGCTCACCCAGAAAATAGTGTTTCATTACATTCAACGCTGGTTTTGTATTAAATTCTGCAAAGAACCTTTATACAGGAATTAAGGTAGTATATGTAATGGTGCAATAAGTGAGGGGTTTAATGTTATTGAAGAAGTATACCACGGTAGTTTGATGTTCCAAATGGTTTCTTCAGCGTATACTTTATTCAGAAGAGTGTGACATTTGTGCCCGATAGGAATAAATGGATCTAATTAAATCTGGTATATGCAGATGAAGAACTTGTAACATAATAACAGTGATATGTGTAGAATATTTGAAAGTTTTGTTGATATGTGTGAAACATTATTATTGAAAGTGATTGTGGATAAAAGTAAAGTAATTGTGGTGGAAAGAGAATAAATAACACTTCCACTTTACAAAGTAAGACTTTCAGTCCCAGGTCTCTGAAGGCTTCAAAATTTGAAGTAATCAGCATGATTGTCTCGAGCAGTTTCAGTTTTCTGGGATGAGCGTTTTCATTATATGCCATTTTAGTACAAAACTGGTCTAATGCCGAATTGTGAATAAAAAACTCTTGAGACACTCTACAAGTAATTCTTTTGTTTGCAGCTGGCTGTGCTGGAGTCACAGACAGTCAGCACTGTGATGGACGATGGCACTGCAGAGGAGGAGAGGATGAGTTGGGCTGTTTTGGTACGAGTTGTTTCTTGTTGAATGTATTGAATATTTTAGAATAAATGGTGACCAACTGCTCATAATTCATTGCGTTGCACTTTGATGTGTGCTGTTGTTATCTTGTAGTGTAATAGTTTTGTATTTACTAATTTCACAGACACTTTATGATATAAAGTTCATATTCCAATGTAATTCACAAACGGTATATGTAATTTTATGCTTTACAGTTTATAATCGTAAATTTAGCAATTTCATTTGGCATCTTGTAATTATAGTTAGAGGGAGTACACACACACTTCATTTCTAGGAAGGCCCTCCTCAGTAGGTACCCTAGCTACCCACCAGGCTAGCTGACATACTTAACCCTTAAACTGCGCAACGCACCTGCAGGCTCACGTCTGGTTTGCGCAACGCGCCTCCGGGTATTTGTATTTTTCACGTTCCATTCAAAACTCCCGCGGCGACATGGGGTTCACATCAGCTTCCTCAGGGCTCTTGTAAACAGACGCCATCTTTACAAAAAATCGTGGTCCACATTTCCGGGTGTGGGAGCCTCAGTAGTGTGTGAGCAACCAAGGCTGGCGCTCGCAGCATGAGCGCACAGCACTGCTGTTCAGCATGTGACCACAGCATCGCCTAATAATGTCAAAATATATATATAACTTGTATTATTTAGCTATGATAGTGTTATATTAGAGCCTGAGTGTGATAATGACTGGGTACAATGTTCAAATATCAGTGATTCAATGCTGTTCACGATGTTCACAGAGCTAGCCACAGCACCGCAGCCTTATTTCGTTCATCTAGGAATCTTCAAATGATTTCTTAGGTTCCTTTTCAAAATAAACGTGTGGTCAATTATTCATTTACAGGAATTAGTGACCAGGATTGTGATAATAGCAGGATCGTGGTTATAATTAGCGTTGTGCGTAGTATTGTGGAGGGAGGAATTTTGATGAGGGAAGGATGGCCAGAATTGAGGTAGCCTCATTGTGTGTGTGTGGCTGCCACTCTTGTTTTGTTCACCATACTAGCTTAGTGGTTCACTATGGTCAACACATATGTACATGGGCATATATAGTGTGTGTATATAGTATAAGAACAGCAACAGGAGAATGTTGAGAGGAGCTATTTTGGTGAGGGAGGTGATGTAATCGTAGCGTCGTCTGCTGTGTGATTTTTCATGCAGTGTATGGTGGCCACTGTACTGTTTGGACACAATACCGGCTTACTTGCATAGTTCTGGTAAATAAAACATGTAGATAGGTATATAGAACATGTGTAATAAGAACTATAACAATATGGTGGGAGGAGCAATGTTGGCGAGTAAGATGTTGGAGTGAGGGAGACTGGCTGGGTGTGGCTGCTCTCACTCGAGGTGTTCTGAATGTATTCATGGCCAAATGCTGCTATTGGCCCATACGAGGCAGCTGCTATTGGTCCATACGAGGCAGCTGCTATTGGCCCATACGGGGCAGCTGCTATTGGCCCATACGGGGCAGCTGCTATTGGCCCATACGAGGCAGCTGATATTGGCCCATACGAGGCAGTTGCTATTGGCCCATACGGGGCAGCTGCTATTGGCCCATGCGGGGCAACTGCTATTGGCCCATACGGGGCAGCTGCTATTGGCCCATACGAGGCAGCTGATATTGGCCCATACGAGGCAGCTCCTATTGGCCCATACGAGGCAGCTGCTATTGGCCCATATGCGGCAGCTGCTATTGGCCCATACGAGGCAGCTGATATTGGCCCATTCGAGGCAGCTGATATTGGCCCATACGAGGCAGCTGCTATTGGCCCATACGAAGCAGCTGCTACACGGTTATTCTGAATGTGTTGATGGTGAATGTATATAGTGTGTGACAGTGTATAGTGTGTAAATAGATTGTATATATACACAAATTAGCATGATACATAGTAAATATGTGCTGCATATGTGTACACAAGTTTCATGCACGTAACACAGTGTCTACGGACAGTACAGATGTTGTACTGTGATATTATAGTGTACGTGTTCATTATACATTGGATTGGCACATAAAACAATGAAAATGTGTTTGGAAAGGTGCGCAAAAAATGAACGAAAATATATTCGCGGCAACTCGCGCGCCCCGCCCCGAGCGCCCCACCGCCCCCGAGAGCTTACGGCACGGGCGCACGGATAATAATGACGTCACGCCCCAACTTCCGGACCCCATAGCAGCCAAAGTAAGTACAATTTCGACTTTTTTTACATACCCATACTGAGGGAAGGGTTTTTGACACTTTAAAAAGAAAAAATAATTTTTTCCAGAGAATTTATTTCCTGCGCACTGCGGGGGTGTCACATTTGGAGGCAACGCAGTTAGGGGGTTAATCACACCAGGCTCCATTGATCTATGAGTTAGTCCCAGATAGACAACATCTGGGACTAGGACCAGAATTTGGCCCCCCCCCCCCATCACTTCTTAATAGATGTTTACCTGCATTATTTTAAGGTTATCTTGTGGTGAGTCTGAGGATCAATGTACCCATGACCCCGTCACTGACCAGACCTCCTGGTTGGTGGTCTTGTCATCCTGGGAGTCTGGTAATCTAGAATTAACCATAGTACCCAAGAGAAAACTGCTAGATATGTAGAGTGCACAAAAAGTCAACTGCATTGTAACCATTGGCAATGATGTCACTATGTAAAAAATCATAACTTGAGTTAAACCACTGGTCCATTGTGCCCTGCCAGGTGGCATCACTGGCCACCAACTGTTTCTGGATACCACATATTCGTTCTTGCACTTGGTGCCTTACTGGCAAGATCTTGGCTGCTCTACTAGGCCTAAGTTCTGCCTATTTAGATTAATGTTGGTCATCTATTGACTTTGACTGCATAGAGCCCTTGCTTGTGTTCCTGGTTTATACTTCAAGTGTATGTTTAGTGCCTTGTATTCTGTGTGCCTTGCTACAGCTGTACGTGATCAGGGGTTTCTTTTTTATGGTTTCCTTTAATCCTTCTTGGCCCTTCGTCCCTTGCCCAAAGGGTCTTCTGCTCTGCACATAAGAGTTTTCATGTCCTCCGTCACTGTTTGAGCTCAACTCAAACTATTTTTGTTTTTTAAACAGAATTTTTTTTTTCAACCGTTTTCCCTCATGGGCATTTCTGCATGCTAGTTGACCTGACAGATGCACCAGTTTTACACAGGTTTCCAGTGTCTTGTTTTGTTCTGACTACAGCATTGGATGACTTGCATCAGTTTCTGCACTGGGACTTTGCCTGAAGATAGACCCATTCTCTTCTGAGTTTGGTTCCAAAGTTCCAAATTCTTCTGAGTTTGCTTCCTCCACCACATAACTTCCTAGTGCATTCCATTTACTAACTACTCTGACACTGAAAAAGTTCTTTCTAATGTCTCTGTGGCTCATTTGGGTACTCAGCTTCCACCTGTGTCTGTACTAGTCAAGTGGCAAACCTCTGATTTTTTCCAGTTTAGTTTTATGCTTGACTAGATATGGACTCCATGCTGGAGCCACATACTCCATGATTGGTCTGACATATGTGGTATATAATGTTCTGAAAGATTCCTTACACAAGTTTCTAAAGGCCGTTCTTATGTTAGCCAACCTGACATATGCCGCTGATGTTATCCTCTTGATATGAGCTTCAGGGGACAGGTCTGGCGGGATATCAACCCCCAGGTCTTTCTCTCTCTCTCTGACTCTTCAAGTATTTCATCTCCCAAATGATACCTTGTATCAGGTCTCCTGCTTCCTACCCCTATCTTCATTACATTACATTTGCTTGGGTTAAACTCTAACAACCATTTGTTCGACCATTGTACACACATAAGTGTGTACACTTATGTGTGTGTGCATGTAATTACCTAAGTGTAGTTACAGGATGAGAGCTACGCTCGTGGTGTCCCGTCTTCCCAGCACTCTTTGTCATATAACGCTTTGAAACTACTGACGGTGTTGGCCTCCACCACCTTCTCACCTAACTTGTTCCAACCGTCTACCACTCTGTTTGCGAAAGTGAATTTTCTTATATTTCTTCGGCATCTGTGTTTAGCTAGTTAAAATTTATGACCTCTTGTTCTTAAAGTTCCAGGTCTCAGGAAATCTTCCCTATCGATTTTATCAATTCCTGTTACTATTTTGTATGTAGTGATCATATCACCACTTTTTCTTCTGTCTTCTAGTTTTGGCATATTTAATGCCTCTAACCTCTCCTCGTAGCTCTTGCCCTTCAGTTCTGGGAGCCACTTAGTAGCATGTCTTTGCACCTTTTCCAATTTGTTGATGTGCTTCTTAAGATATGGGCACCTCACAACCGCTGCATATTCTTGCTTTGGCCTAACAAAAGTCGTGAACAATTTCTTTAGTATATCGCCATCCATGTATTTAAAAGCAATTCTGAAGTTAGAAAGTGTGGCATAGGCTCCTCGCACAATATTCTTTATGTGGTCCTCAGGTGATAGTTTTCTATCTAGAACCACCCCTAGATCTCTTTCTTTATCAGAATTCTTTAAAGATTTCTCACATAATATATAAGTTGTGTGAGGTCTATGTTCTTCTATTCCACATTCCATTACATGGCATTTATTAACATTAAATTCCATTTGCCAAATGGTGTTCCATATACTTATTTTGTCCAGGTCATCTTGAAGGGCATGACAATCATGTAAGTTTCTTATCCTTCCTATTATCTTAGCATCATCAGCAAACATGTTCATATAATTCTGTATACCAACTGGTAGATCATTTATGTAGACAATATAAACTTCACTGGTGCAAGAACTGATCCCTGTGGTACTCCACTTGTGACATTTCTCCAGTCTGATACATTGCCTCTGATCACTGCCCTCATTTTTCTATCAGTCAGAAAATTTTTCATCCATGTTAGAAGCTTACCTGTCACCCCTCCAATGTTTTCCAGTTTCCAGAACAACCTCTTATGTGGAACTCTCTCGAAAGCCTTTTTTAGGTCCAGATAGATGCAGTCAACCCAACCATCTCTTTCCTGTACTATCTCTGTTACTCGATCATAGAAACTGAGTAAATTCGATACACAGGATCTTCCAGATTGAAAACCATACTGTCTGTCTGATATTATATCATTTCTCTCCAGGTGTTCTACCTATTTAGTTTTAATTATTTTTTCCAATATTTTGACTATTACACTTGTCAATGATACAGGTCTATAATTAAGGAGGTCTTCCCTGTTTCCACTTTTGTAGATTGGAACTATGTTAGCCTTTTTCCACACATCAGCTACAACTCCTGTAAACAGGGATGCTTGAAAAATCAGTTGAAGTAGAATGCTGAGCTTAGGTGCACATTTTCTCAGAACCCATGGTGAAACTCCATCCAGACCAACTGCTTTGTTCTTATTTAGCTACTTGAGCATTTTTTCCACTTCGTCTCTAGACACCTCTATGTGCTCTATGTTGTTCTCTGGAATTCTTGTGTGTGTGTGTGTAATTACCTAAGTGTAATTACTGGATGAGAGCTACGCTCGTGGTGTCCCGTCTTCCCAGTACTCTTTGCCATATAACGCTTTGAAACTACTGACGGTCTTGGCCTCCACCACCTTCTCACCTAAGGTGAGAAGGTGGTGGAGGTCATGGTGTCTCACCTTTGTCTTTCAGGGGCTTACTCCTTGGCTTACCTCAACAACTGGCACCCAGTTGGTCTGCTTGTCTGTTAGTCAGGGAGCTGGTTCTTTCCCAGTTGGTGTATTTTGGGTTTCTCATCAACTGGAGAACCATTTGGTTCCATTGCAGATTTGTGCTGGCTGGGCCTTATTTAAGATGCAAGGATGATGTTTCTCCCAGGGGAAGTACACCTGTGCCAGACAACTTATGTCTTTTTGATGGTGCTGAACCTGTGGGTTTCCTGGCTGTTCCTTGAACTTCTGTTTGGCAGCCTGAACTTTGCCTACAGGGTTTACCTGCTGGACTGGGTTTGACTGAGGGCAATTTTCCAGTTTCTCTTAGGAAGCCCTTTTCACTGTTGTTGGGTGTGGACCCCAGGGAGCTTGTGGAATCTGATATTGGTTCTTAAAAACCAGTATAAGTCTCAAGGACCTAGTAAGATTGGGAAATCCTTTGGTACTAGTGATTTAAGCTTTGGTAAGCTATTGAGGGTTCAATTGGAAATGAGCTGTTCATCACATTCAATACTTAATTTTTATTTAATTTGTTTATGTATTCACACGAGCAAAGCAACATCCAAAATATTTTGTTGAAAATGGTATTAAAAGGAGATTACTGTTTTACAGTATATCTGTATAGTTAATAATAGTGCTGTAACTAATGTACCAAGATACTGTACTGTATTTTGAGAATCATTATTTTACTTGAATATGATTAACTTGAAATGCTAAAAAATTAGGAGCTTGCAAGAGGAGTGCAGAAAACTTAAAAAATTTTAACAACTCTGTATTTCTTGGTACATGTGACATACTATACCTGTAATAAAAGATTTAAAATAGACTACTTTTGACTGATATACTATAGTATTGCAGTATGTATATGCATAGAACTTAATTGAAACATTGCAGGTTGTGATGCAGATGAGTGGTGGTGTGGGGAAGGAACAGACTGCTACAAAGTCACAAGACGCTGTGATAGCATACCAGATTGCCATAATGGGGCTGATGAACTGTACTGTAGTAAGTATTTTAAGTAATTATAGCATCATAACATTTGCAGTTATTAAAAACCCAGCATTGAATGTAATGAAATGTCTTTTTCTGGTAGAGTCCTGGGGGCTCAATGAAGCTATCTCGCTGAGATTGTTCCTGTCTGCTAGGGCCCATCAGTCTGGCTGAGATTGCTCATGTCTACTCGGGCCCATCAGTTGTAGAGTTCTGTTTGGCATACTGGGAGTTAAAGGTAGAAATTGGCCCTCCTCATAAAGGTGAAGAGTGAGTTACAATTCACAACCTCATCGGGAAGGCATCTAGAAAGTCAATGAAGCATTAGACTACTGCTTGGTTCATGAGAACTAAAGCCTAGAAAACTGTTAAACAACTCCCCTGAACAATATAAATAAATGATCAAATCTCTCAAAAGAACCTTGAACCCTTTAGTACTAACCCAGCACCACTAAGGGAGCCGGTGGCCGAGCGGACAGAACACTGGACGCGTGATCCTGTGGTCCCAGGTTCGATCCCGGGCGCTGGCGAGAAACAATGGGCAGAGTTTCTTTCACCCTGATTTGGCTGTTACCTAGCAGTAAATAGGTACCTGGAAGTTAGTCAGCTGTCATGGGCTGCTTCCTGGGGGTGGAAGCCTGGTCGAGGACCAGGCTGCGGGGACACTAAGCCCCGAAATCATCTCAAGATAACCTCAAGGGGGGTTTGGAGTCCCAGTCCCCACCAACCTTCACATTTCAGTCCTGGAGCAGATGAAATACTCACCACCATCAACCAATGAGCCTGGAAGGGAGTGAGTGAGTTAGGGAGCCAGGGCTCAATCAGAAAGAGGCATTTCATTACATTCAACAGTGGATTTGTGGGGAGCCCCTTGTGGCTCTCTGAAGCCTAACTACACAGAAGAAACACTAAGGACTTACTAAGGAGGAAGTGAGGCAGCATGTATTATGGCAAAGGAGAGACAAGCGGTCGAGAAACATGGATCAAAGTAACACAGGCACAACTGGGCCAGGGACATTGACTAAATACCAGATCACCAAGACTGTTACACCTCCAAAACCCCCATGCCCAAATATTATCCCTGAACATGTTGAAAAAGACAGCTACAAGTGCAGCATATTTACAAACATCATGGGCATGAGAATAGACAAAAGGCTGGCTGAACGTAATGACACTACAGGCAGCCTGTAAAATACAAGCCTTGGATCAGAAGACCAAGGAAACAGGATCAACCCACATGGTATCCACCTAGACAGAATTGATGGCACAAAAGCAGCAGTGAAGAGCTGCCACCAGATGGAACAAATGATGAACCCCAACTGAACCAACTAATTGTCAGTAACCAAAGGACCCCTCCAGAAGACAGCTGACTCATTCTTCACCACAAAAGAAGAAGAGGGCTGGAAATCAACAAAATGTTCACAAGGAAAAAAAAGAGCAAAGCCCATTCCTCTGGAGAAGAGGTTGAAGCTTCCCCACCCTACAGCCAGAGGTGAGAGCCTACAGGAACTCTGCCTTAAGAAAGGAATTCCCGATCACAGGGAAAGCAGTAAACCCAGAAGAGGACAGAGTGGTGAGAGACATGATCGAGAGATTAGGATGGCTCAGGAGAAGCATGAGCAGGCTGGAGGTGAAAAAACACATGAGATAACTTATGGAATGGTGCCAAAGTAGTAAAAATGCCAAACCCGCGCAACAACAGCTGCACCAATGGTGAACGATAAGAGGTGACAGTATTTGGCATGAGATTCCACAGCAGCAACAACCACGATAAAAAGGAGAGCACAATATGGACAGAGACTGAAGAAAGATGATGGAGAAATAGAGAGGGGTGAAGCAATTGCCAACCAATTTCATACTGCTACCTACAATACACAAGCAGGTGAGACATCAACAACCCAACCACCTACTCTGAATACAAATAACGGTAGAGATGTATATAAAAGTCCGGACATGAAGAGTCAAGGAGAAGTTCGACAAAGTAAGAGTCCAGCAAAGTACATTGCTGGACTGATCTTATGAAAGAGGCAAAGCTGCAGAAAAATGCCCAGGTTCAGATGCCAAGAAAGAAGAGCCAGGGAGGCAAGGTTGAAATGGCCACCACGGATCCAAAAGGACCACCCGCCCTGAATATAAATCCAGTCTGGCAAGTACCCAGAGCAACAGCTGAACTGGGTAAAGAGGTAAATGACCTCCATCTTAACCAGTTCATCAGAAAAGCATCCACTGTGAGAGCCTCACGATCAGGGAAATGGAACTACATAGAAGGGAAGGTACTGGTTCCACACAAATGCAAAGATGTCCATCACAGGGTGCCATAGCTTCTCACAAGTCCAACGGAAAGACACATCCTTGATGGTCCACTCCATGGAGATAGGAAGGAAACAAGATAACCCATCCATGAGAAGACTGTACACTCTGAGTGTGAACTGCATGGAGAACCAAACCCAGAGAATCCAGAATATGAGTTACATGTGACATCCAAGGAAAGGACCAAAGCCAGCTAGCTCTGTTCAGGAAATGAACCAATGGAGTGCTGGAGCACGGAGCTTGGAGGAAGCCGAATCCTCCTTAGAGCATGCTACACAGCCGCAAACTCGAGCTTTGTACTGTGCACCTGAAGGAGCGAACCCTACCAACAACCCTGGGTGGCCTGGTATTTGCTGGTCACAAAATGCCAAATTTTGCCGTGATAACTATTGTTTACAATACAGTATTTTCTTTAAGATTGCAAGTTTTTACAATTATAGTAGTAGCTTGATTTTGGGTGCTTTGGATATATTGTGGGCTTTTATGCTACTATTTGCCTCTTTGAGTTGGCCAGATTCTGATTCTGGCCCTTTGTAGACACTAATGGGTCAGAGTTCTGGTGTGTTTCCCAAGGCTTGATTGCTTCAAGCCTCGGGGAAGCTACAAAAGCTCCTTATAGCATTGGGGAGCTACAGAGTTGCAAATCCAGAAAGATACATTTCAATATTCTTAATGTAACCTGTAATGATATTTTGCCTGTTTAATTTTTTGTAATGTTATTTACATTGTCATTGCAGGTTGCTTTAACCGAACTCAATGTGCACCAAATTCGGAGTTCTGTTATGATCCCAAAACTCAGCGATGTGATGGCATTCTCCATTGCCCCAGCGGACAGGATGAAATTGATTGTGGTAAGGAACAGTTTATTATTACTGGCATTTCGTTATTTAACTAGGGGATGTATTCATAGAAATTTGATACTTAATGATTCTCCGGCAATTTTCCTGTTCTTAATATTATGCCCATTCATAGGTCTTTCTAACCAGTCTTCACTAGCTCAAAAATCTGGAATGTTCATCTTTGAACATCAATCACATCATCCTGGATGGATTAGTGGCTGACTGGAGGGCAGGCTCAAACAGAGGGGCAGTTATTTGGGTGGATGGTGTGGGTGGGCAGGTGGTGTGGGTAGGCCGCTATTCGTGTGGGATGGGTGGATCTGGGCAGGCGGATGGGTGGATGGTGTGGGTGGGCAGCTATTCAGGCGGGGTGGGTGGATTTGGGCAGGTGGATGGGCGGCTATTTTTGGGTGGCTATTCAAGCAGGGTGGGTGGATTTGAGCAGTTGGTGGCTATTTAGGCGGGCAGTGTGGGTGGGCGGCTATTTGGGTGTGTGTGGCTATTTGGGCATGTGGCTATTTGGGCGAACGGTGTAGGTGGGCGGCTATTCGGGCGGAGTGGGTGGGTGGATTTGGGCAGGCAGATAAGCAGTGCGGATGGGTTTGGGCAGGCTTATGGGCAGCTATTCGGATGGGGTGGGTGGATTTGGGCAGAGGGATGGGGCAGCTACTTAGGCAGAGTGGGTGGATTTGGGCAGGCGGATGGGTGGCTATTTGGGCGCGCGGTGTAGATGGGTTTGGGCAGGCATATGGGCAGCAATTCAGGTGCAATGGGTGGATTTGGGCAGGCAGATGGGTGGCTATTTGGGCATTCATTGTGGGTGTGTTTGGGCAGCTTATGGGCAGTTATTTGGGTGGGGTGGGTGGGTGGGTTTGGGCAGGCATATGGGTGGCTATTAGGGTGGGGTGGGTAGGCAGATGGGCAGCTATTTGGGCGGGTAGTGTGGGTGGGTGGCTATTCAAGCAGGGTGAGTTGATTTGAACAGACGGATGGGTGACTATTTGGGCGGGCACTGTGGGTGGGTTTGGGCAGGCATATGGGCAGATATTCGGGTGGAGTGGGTGGATTTGGGCAGGCGGTGTGGGTGGGTGGCTATTGAGGCGGGCTGTGGGTGGATTTGGGCAGCAGGATGGGCGGCAATTTAGGCAGGCGGATAGGCAGTTATTTGGGCAGGCAGTGTGGGTGGGTTTGGGCAGGCATATGGGCAGCAATTCGGGTGGAGTAGGTGGATTTGGGCAGGCGGATGGGTGGCTATTTGGGCAGGTAGTGTGGGTGTGTTTGGGCAAGCTTATGGGTTGCTATTTGGGTGGGGTGGGTGGATTTGGGCAGGCATATGGGTAGCTATTCGGGTGGGGTGGGTGGATTTGGGCAGGCAGATGGGCAGCTATTTGGGCAGAGTGGGTGGATTTGGGCCAGCGGTGTGGGAGGTTTTGGGCAGACACATGGGCAGCTATTCGGGCAGGGTGGGTGGATTTGGGCAGGTGGATGGGTGGTTATTTGGGTGGGCAGTGTGGGTGGGTTTGGGCAGTCTTATGGGAGGCTATTTGGGTGGATTTGGGCAGGCGGATATCTGGCTATTTGGGCGGGCAGTGTGGGTGGGCGGCTATTCGGGCGGAGTAGATTTGGGCGGTGTGGATGGGCGACTATTCAGGCAGAGTGGGTGGATTTGGGAAGGTGGATGGGCAGGCGGTGTGGGTGGGCAGCTATTTGGGCAGAGTGGGTAGATTTGGGCAGTGTGGGTGGGTGGCTATTCGGGCAGAGTGGGTGGATTTGGGCAGGCAGATGGGTCGCTAACACCGAGGAACAAGGTTTATACACCCTACATTAGGCTGAAGTTTAAGCCAGATCTAGTAACAAATTTCTCTCAAATATTAGATTTATATCATATTAAATTTTCTGGAGGGAGCCCCATAGGCTCCCCGGAGCTATACCAGGCTGATTTGCTAATGTCAGACTTTGGCATCAGTCATGTGTATGGCGTTCTTAGGGCTTACCAGGGACCACGGCCAGAACCTGGCCTCCGCAGAGAGGCAAGGGAAGCAATGGCCTATAGAAACCCCCGTGTGGTTGGAAGCATTCTATGTCTGCCATGAACCGGGTCAAGCATCCAGAAAGGTAAGCATTGCAAAGCAAACCCCTATTCTGGTTAAAATTGCTACCAAAAGCCGAACTAGTGGATAGAACTCCCCAACAGAAAACAAGCAAACTGTTCTTCGGCTGATGCTAAAGGCATTGGTCGTGTGCTCCGGCTCCAGTAGTTGTTTCAGCACTGTACCTAGAGTGTGGTGTCTGTCTTCTAGGTGGTGCGTAAGCCGGGAGCGAGTCTCCAGAACTTGGGCTGCATGCGCCTAGGGTTACCTTCCACAAGTTCCTTGGGTCCTGCAACTGCTAGGCCGTTTACTGTTTGGTTTTCGGCCGCCCTTTGTGTGCTTGGGGGTTCTGTCTCCCTTGTTCGCCTTAGGGTAAGAAGTAGTTTGCACTGGTAGGGGCACAGGGTACTGCTCAGCTTGTTTTCACCAATCATAGCGGCCGGCTCTGTTCCGCCTGGGTACACTGTCCTCTTGCGGGGTTTTCTGTTTCTTTTTGTTTGTCTGCCTGGTAGGGAATTCTGCCTTTGGTTCTTGCCCTCTTTGTACTGGGTTCTCTTCCTTCTTCCAGTGGGTCCTCCTGCTAGGTCCCCATGAGTGTACACGTCCCGGGGGTTCAGTTCTTAGAAGGATGTTTGGTAGACTTGGGTGCCGGTTTGCAGTACCCTGCCTGGGATTACCTGAGCGCGAGTCCTTTTATAGTAAATGCTCAGGACCCTGGGAATTTCCTAGGGGGAGCATGGGCCCAATGGATGTGGCCCCGGAGTCCTCCCTTGCTTTGTGCGAGTTCGAGGGTTGCTCTGTCCCCTTGTCTCAGGGTGACTCTCCCTGTTTTGCCTCCGTCTGCAGCCTGTGGGGTCGGTGACACCTTCGGACCTGAGTCCTGCAAGTTTTGTTGCTTGTTTCTGACTCTGTCTTTATGCTGACTATGTGGGTGCAGGCGGCACGGGCATTGCACGTTGCGTTTCGGTGGCTACGCGCTAGGTCATTTGCTCCCCGGAAGCCCTGAGGCTGCCCCGTTTTGGTTGATGGTCTTGTCGATCGCCCCCCCCCCCCTTCCCCCACCCACTTCCTCCCTGCATCTGGGTCCTTACCGTCTGTGGGTTCGGAGTCGAAGCGGGACTTCCATGGTTTTGAGACTCGGTTGGTCTCGGGGAATTCCCCTTCCAGGGTAGGGACGGGGGCATTCAAGCCTGTTCCTCCAGCCATGTTGTATGAGTCTGCCAGTGAGCTCCCTTGGTGATTTTCACGGCTGCCCCGGTTTTTTCTTGTGAGGCTGTGGCTTTGGGGAGACGGCTCGGCCCCGGGGCTGGGGTGGGGCTGACATGAGGGCTTCAGGCCCCGTTGGACCCCGCCAGAGTTTTTCTACCCTCTGGGCGGGGCTTGTGGTTATGCTCTTCTCTGTTCTTCGCCCCTTTTTCTTGGGACGGGACTTTTCCGTCATGTCCCCCTCTTCTTGGGGCTCTGTATGGCCTTTGGTCTCGGGTGCAACTGGGCTTTTCTGTGCCTTCGTCATTTGTGCTTGCTTCTATGTGTTCTCGAAGGTTCGGGATGGTTTTTGCTCCTTCCCATATTATTGAAACGTCTGTCATCTTTTGATGAAGTTTCTCTCCAGTCCTTTCTAGGGCTTGTTGGTCCTCTTCCAGGCTGCTTCTTGGTTTTCGGCCCTGTCTCGTTCTTTGTTCATGTCTCTTCTCTCTGTGCTGTCTCAGCACTGCTTATTTTCCTTCCATTCTCCTGGTCTGGGATGTTGGATTGGGCTATTTGTAGCCCTATTGGGCTACTAGTAGTCCGTTTGGGTTCCACTTCGGTTCATTGTACATGAGCCGGCTATGTGGGTCGTTGATTACTTCTTTTTGGCTTCTGTTCCCATGAATTGGCCTGTTTCTTCAGCGAATCACTCAGGATACGACCCCATTTGGGCTACTTTTCTGCTCTGTTGTTGAACAGAGTAGACAGGAACAGAGTAGCGCAACCCGTTGGGATACATTTCTTTCGTGTCCTGTGCATGCGCCGTGGGAGTTTGTTTTGGTTCAGGGCGGTGTGCACTAATACTGGTGTTCTGCGTCCATTTTCTCTCGGGTGCTTCGCCTCTCATTCTTCTCATTCTCCAGTCCGTGCCCCGTTGCACTTTGGGGTGTTCTGGAGTACCGCTATGGGGAGGTCGCCGGGTTTTTTCCCTGCGTTTTGGGTGGGGGCCACCTCCTTTGCCTCTCCCCCCCTCCTCCCTCTTCTCCTGCAAGAGCTGCTCTGGCCTGCTTCCGCGGGCGGTGCTCCTGGTTTTCTCGCCTACGGGTGCACGATGCCCTAGCCGCCTCCATTCTCTTAGATTTGTGTCATGACCCATCCGTGCCTATGTTCTGCAGGTGAGTTTGTGTGGTCTGGCGTCTCCTTCGTCCAGGCGCTGTTTTGTTTTTGGGGGGTACGAATGGGAGTACATACGTACATGAGAACATCGAACGTACAAACAGGGGTGTCTGCAGAGGGGCTGTTGGCCCTTACGTGGCAGCTCTTGTTTCTAACCTCCCGATTCCATCGTCAGATCACACGTGACTGCAGGAGGCCTCTTGGCCCATATGAGGCGGCTCCTGATTATACTCATCCAGCCCCTCTCCTATGCATGTCCAACCATGCTTGAGTTTCAGGGCCCCACCTCCACCTTGTTCCATGTTGCAAAGGTGATGGTGCCTGATGAGTGGTAAATGTTCCTGTGTTGAGGGTGTTATGTACTCACCTATTTGTACTCGCCTAATTGTGCTTGCAGGGGGTTGAGCTCTGGTTCTTTGGTCCTGCCTCTCAACTATCAGTCAACTGATGTACAGATTCCTGAGCCTGCTGGGCTTTATCATATCTACATTTGAAACTGTGAATGGAGTCAGCCTCCACCACATCACTGCCTAATGCATTCCATCTGTTGACTAGTCTCTGTACAAGTTCTTTTTGACGTCCCGGTGGCTCATTTGGGTACTCAGTTTCCACCTGTGTCCCCTTGTTTGCGTACCACCCATGTTAACCTGTTTATCTTTATCTACTTTGTCAATTACTTTGGAAATGTGGTGACATTTTGCTGTAGTTTTGATACTGTGGGTGCGTGTTGGAGTATAGTTGTGGCGTTTTGTTCGGCCCTTCTGTGCTTCTTCCTGGGGCCTTCCTTGTTTGGGTTCTTTGTTACCATGAATTTTCTGGGTCCCTCATTCCTTGCTGGTCTTGCTGAACCGGGCTTAGCTTTTCCATGTTCATTAGCTTCTCTATTCTCCCTCGTTGTCCTCGCCTCGTTGTGTTTGCTGGGGATGAGCTTTGGCTCTTCATCTCACCCCTTGCCTGTCATTTGATTTCTGTACAGGTTCCGGGGCCTACTGGGCTCTCTTATCTGTACTTGACACCGAGTGTGGGGTTGGCCTCCGCCACATCCCTTCCTCATGCATTCCTTTTGTCTCCTACACTGACACTGGTATGCTTCTTCTATCTTTTATACGGCTCATTTGGGCGTTCAGTTTGCCTTGTTGCCCCCGTTACGTGTGCCCCATGTGTTGGTGGTCATGTCTCCTCTGGATCTTCGGTCTCCTGGGGTCGTGTGGGACATGTCCAGCGGCTTTTAGTGTTGGTCCTGTTCCTTCGTTCACTTTTGCTGTCTGCCTTCTTCGTTCCTCAGCTTCCTTTTGCCCTCCACGTTGTGTGTTGTTTATGCCTTTTGGCTCCTGTTGCCAGGTTTCAATTCTGGTTCCTGGCTTTCCTGGCCTGGTGGCATTTTCAGAGTCTCGCGGTGTCACTTCTCTGGAGTCTGTCGGGGTCTTGGTCTCCACCCTCCTGGGGGCTCGCTGGCGTTGGTACGGCAGACGTTCCATCTCCTTCTTTGCCGGCTCGGGTTTCTGGCTCTGCCTGCTCAGTGGTCGCACCCGAGGTCATCCAGCGGCTCCGCCTCATCCTCGGCTCATTTGGCTCTGCCTCGAGTCTCGCCTTCTGTTTGGTGGTTGGGTGGCTTCGTTGTTGGTGTCCCACATGCGTGCTGCTTCTTGGCGGCAGTGTGGGGTATTTTGGCGGTCCTTCCTTTTTTCTTCTATCCCTTCTTAGGTGGCGGTGTTTTGTTGGCGTGGACTTGTCCTTCTCTTATGTGGGTTCGGGGCCGTCATTTTGCCGCATACTTTTGCCTCATTTCGTGCGGCACTAGAGGAGCCGCTTCCACTTGCGTTCGGTGTTGATGTTACTTCTGCGCCTTTCCACATGCAGTCTCGTGCGTTGGTTCACCTCCGGCCTGCTCATGCGCCATCTGAGCCGTCCTGGTCGTGGGACTGGGTGCTCTCTCTTTTCTTCTCCTCGGTTCTTGTGGCCCCTTCGGTTCCGGTTGGTGTCTCGGGGGCTCTTTTCCTGTTGGCGTTGGCCTCGGGGGGTTGGGTTGGTGAGCTTCATGCTCTCCTCCGGCGCTGGGGTTTCTGCTCCTTTGGTCGGGGCGATCGTTTTGTTCCTCTGCGGCCTTCTCCTTCTTTTCTGGCGTAGAATGTGACTGCTGCTTTCCGGAGGGGTCCCTGGGTTGTTGATGCCTTGTTGGTTTGGCCGGGGGTGCATCATGTTTTGTGCCCGGTTGCGGCTCTCCACCATTTTTGGCGCGCCACGGCTTCTGTGTCCGTGGACGCGCTTAGGGTTGATTAGGGTTTCCCGTATTCCCTGTTCGCAGGTGCGGGTCTCCCTGGTCATCAGCAGGGTTCTTAAGACTGGCCAGCTTGGGGTATCTCCCCGGGCCTGTGACGTTCGCAAGTTTGCGGCTCTTGCTGCTGTTTTTTTGGTCTGTCTTGGGCAGACATTCGGGCGTGGGGATTTTGGCGGACAAACAGGGTCCTGGCTGCCTTGTTCACGTCTTTAGGCCTGGTCGGGCCTGTGTCGCTTTAAATTGGCAGTTGCAGCCTGTTTTCTCGCTTTGTGTTGAGGTGTGAGTGGTGGCCGCCTCCCGGATATGTCCCTTAGACCTTCCTCTGTAGATAGTTAGCTCCGGGGAGCCGACGGGGCTCCCCCAGAAAACCAGCGTTGAATGTAATGAAACGCCATTTTCTGGGTGAGACCCGGTGGCTCCCCGGCAACCCTCCCTCCCTCCGGTCGGCGGTTTTTCGCGTTTTTCGACATCCAGCCTAAGAACTGATGGGTGGATAGCCGGTGTGAGAGGTCTGGGGCTCCCCCTTCCCCCTCCTGGGGAGGGGGGGAGCTGCGCAGACAGCGGCGCGGTGACATGTGACATCATACTAGTTTGCTCGTTTTCTGTTGGGGAATTCTATCCACTAGTTCAGGTTTTGGTAGCAATTTTAACTGGAATAGGGGTTTGTTTTGGGACGCTAACCTTTCTGGATGATTGACCCAGTCGATAGCAGGCATAGAATGCTTCCAACCACACGGGGGTTTCTATAGGCCATTGCTCCCCTGGCCTCTCTGAGGGGGCCAGGTTCTGGCCGTGGTGCCCGGTAGGCCCTAAGAACTCCATACACATGACTGATGCCAAAGTCTGACATTAGCATATCAGCCTGGATAAGCTCCGGGGAGCCTCTGGGTCTCACCCAGAAAATGGCATTTCATTACATTCAACGCTGGTTTTTTGGGGTTATATATTTAGTTTAGCAACATTATTAGGATAATAAGAGCTATAAAAATACTTTAGAAATTATTTATTAATTTTATTATTTCGAAGCCTTAGGTCACTGAACTGTAGCGATGAATTCGAATGAAAAGCACATGGTGCTGTGTGTACAGGTATCTTTGCATACATCATCATTCCTCGCCTTTTTAAGAGTTAATGTAAAATACAGTACAGTACATGCATTCTTATACCATAGTGCAATGTAATGAAGTGTGGATCATGGTTTACACCTACAATTCCTATTGCCTTGAGAAATGTAACTTGTTACATTTCTCAAGGAAAAAAGTCTTAAGCATATTTAAAAGAAGTCGTGAGAGTCCTCATCAGTACAATTTTGGTACAGTATATAAAATTCTGCACTTGACTTTAAAAACCATTAAAGATTTTCCCTTCATTATAGCTATACAAAATTAAGATTTTATCGTGTTTTATATTTTATAGGTGGACACTGTCATCACATGATACCATGCAGTCATGGAGGAGGGTGTTATACATTGGCCCAGCGTTGTGACGGTGCCTCACAGTGTGGCGATGGTTCTGATGAAGCTAACTGTACACCGCAATTATGCCATCCTCAAGTAATTTCCTATGTACATTTGCCTATTTATACATTCTCATAAAACTAAAACTAATTCTGTGTGTGTGTGTAATTACCTAAGTGTAGTTACAGGATGAGAGCTACGCTTGTGGTGTCCCATCTACCCAGCACTCTTTGTCATGTAACGCTTTGAAACTACTGACAGTTTTGGCCTCCACCACCTTCTCACTTAACTTGTTCCAACTGTCTACCATTCTGTTTGTGAAAGGAATTTTCTTATTTCTTCGGCATCTTTGTTTAGTTAGTTTAAATCTATGACCTCTTATTCTTGAAGTTCCAGGTCTCGGGAGATCTTCCCTGTCGATTTTATCAATTCTTGTTACTATTTTGTACGTAGTGATTATATCACCTCTTTTTCTTCTGTCTTCTAGTTTTGGCATATTTAATGTCTAACCTCTCCTCGTAGCTCTTGCCCTTCAGTTCTGGGAGCCACTTAGTAGGATGTCTTTGCACCTTTTCCAGTTTGTTGATGTGCTTCTTAAAAAATGGGTACCACACAACTGCTGCATATTCTAGCTTTGGCCTAACAAAAGGCGTGAACAATTTTATTAGTATTTTGCCATCCATGTATTTTTTTTGAGATATATACAAGAGTTGTTACATTCTTGTACAGCCACTAGTACGCGTAGCGTTTCGGGCAGGTCCCTGGAATACGATCCCCTGCCGCGAAGAATCGTTTTTTCATCCAAGTACACATTTTACTGTTGCGTTAAACAGAGGCTACAGTTAAAGAATTGCGCCCAGTAAATCCTCCCCGGCCAGGATACGAACCCATGACATAGCGCTCGCGGAACGCCAGGCGAGTGTCTTACCACTACACCACGGAGACTGCTAAAATCATTTTAAAAGCAATTCTGAAGTTAGAAAGCGTGGCATAGGCTCCTCGCACAACGTTCTTTATGTAGTCCTCAGGACATAGTTTTCTATCTAGAACCACCCCTAGATCTCGTATCAGAATTCATTAAGGATTTTTCTAATAATTTATAGGTTGTGTGGGGTCTATGTTCACCTATTCCACATTCCATAACATGGCATTTATTCACATTAATTCCATTTGCCAAGTGGTGTTCCATATACTTATTTTGTCCAGGTCATCTTGAAGGGCATGACAATCATCTAAGTTTCTTATCCTTCCTATTATCTTAGCATCATCAGTAAATATGTTCATATAATTCTGTATTCCAACTGGTAGATCATTTATGTCGACAGTGAACATCACCGGTGCATGAACTGAATCCTGTGGTACTCCACTTGTGACATTTCTCCAGTCCGATACATTGCTTCTGATTACTGCCCTCATTTTTCTATCAGTCAGAAAATTTTTCATCCATGTTTGTTTACCTGTCACCCCTCCAATATTTTCCAGTTTCCAGAACAACCTCTTATTGAACCTCTTCCAGAACTCTGCCGAAAGCCTTTTTAGGTCCAGATAGATGCAGTGAACCCAACCATCTCTTTCCTGTAAAATCTCTGTGGCTCTATCATAGAAACTGAGTAAATTCTAAACACAGGATCTTCCAGATTGAAAACCATACTGTCTGTCTGATATTATATCATTTCTCTCCTGGTGTTCTACCCATTTAGTTTTATTATTTTTTCCAATATTTTGACTATTACACTTGTCAATGATACAGGTCTATAATTAAAGGGGTCTTCCCTGCTGCCACTTTTGTAGATTGGAACTATGTTAACCTTTTCCACACGTCTGCTATGACTCCTGTACACAGGGATGCCTGAAAGATCAGGTGAAGTGGAATGCTGAGCTCAGATGCACATTCTCTCAGAACCCATGGTGAAACTCCATCTGGGCCAACTGCTTTGCTCTTACTTAACTCCTTTAGCATATTTTCCACTTCATCTCTAGACACCCCTATATGCTCTATGTTGTTCTCTGGAATTCTTATTGTGTCTGGTTCTCTGAAGATTTCATTTTGTACAAACACACTTTGTAACTTTTTGTTTAATGTTTCACACATTTTCTTTTCATTTTCCGTGAATCTGTTTCCCATTTTCAACCTCTTTCTGGATATTATCCTTTACCTGCAATTTGTTGTTTATGAATTTGTAGAATAGGCCTGGTTCTGTTTTACATTTATCCGCTATCCCTTTCTCAAAATTTCTTTCTGCCTCTCTCCTTATTACCGTATAGTTGTTTCTCGCATCTTTGTATCGCTGGGATGTTTGGGGGTTCGGCCTCTTCCTATATTGATTCCATTTGTGTGTCTTTTGGTCTCTGGCCCTCTTGCAATTTCTGTTGAACCAGTCCTGTTTTCTGGCTCTGCATCTCTATTTTGGTATGAATGTTTGTGTGCCTTCATCGTATATTTTGCAAAATTTGGCATACATTTCATTTACTTCCCTGCCTAGCAACAAGTCTGTCCAATTACACTCATTAAAATTTTTTTCGAAGTTCTCCATAGTGACCTCTCCTTAAATAGAGTTTATCAACTGTTTCAATGTCTCCATTTTCTTCTAGATGATATCTTAAAGCATATTTAATGTCTAACAGGACATTATCACTCTTTCCCAAGGGAGGAAGGTACTGGATGTCAAATATCTCTTCTTCTTTCCTGGTGAATACTAGATCCTACATCTCCTTCCCTCATTCTTGTGGCCTGCTTTATGTGTTGATACAAGAATGTCTCCAGAATGAGGTTCACAAATCTGCATGTCCAAAAGTCCTCCATTCTTGCTTCATGGGCCTCCCAGTCTATTGTTTTAAACTTGAAGTCCCCCCAGTATCAACAGTTGTGATTTATCTTTATCTGCTTGTACAATAATATCTCTCATGACCAATATGAGGCTCCCTCGTTTGTCATCAGTTCTTCCTTTGTGTTGCTTGCTGGTGGGCTGTAGCCATTTAAATTTATCAGCTTACCATCCTGATTCCAGACGTGATATATAATAATCAGTTTTATGTTCAAAAAGCAAAAAATCACCACAAAAACAGAATTTCTTACGATCCGTCTCTGGGAACGGATTACCATCGTAAGTTGAGGCCCCATTTTATATACAGAGCACCACTTGGTTTCCGAACTTTACTTATCTAAAACTTCCAGTTTCCCAATTGGGATTGGGGAGTTCAGGTAGGAAGGGGTCCGCCAAGCGTCGCGCCGGCCTGTGGTGATGGGTGGGAGATGGTCCAGTTTGCCCACTGTGACTTCACAGATTCACAGCCTATTATTCATATTATTTTGAATTGTCTTGAGGCTGGAATGTTGATGACCAGACCACACACTTAACCTATACCTATAATAGGTTAAGTAATAATTGTAATTACGAAGCAATAAGATGCTTATCTTAACATACTAAGAAGGTTAGGTAAGGTCGGTGTTTTCTATGAAGTTTTTCAAGGTAAACTAAAATATTCACAATAAATTAGTATGTCACATATGTTAAGGGGGCGTTATTCACAAAATATGCAAAAAATGAAAACTCGTTCAATTTCAATCAAACTTTTTTGACAAGTTGTATATGAAAAGGGTTTCATTTGGTCCAAGTCTCAGCATCGTAGCATAAATAGGAAGGATGAAAAAAAATATTGAATTATGTGTCAAAAATTTTCAAAAATGGTCAAAAAAGATTATCAAACAAAAATGTCAACTGAAATCATGTCTATGACTCACAGGTATCACAATAGCATATATTAAAAACAAATTATAATTAGTTTTATTAACAAAAAATTTAGTTAAAAAAAAAAAAAAAGTCAAATTTCACTTTTTTTTTTTTTTTTTAATTTTATCTCTCTCTTTTGTTTATGGGGCGATTTGCATGAAACTTATACACCTGACTGCACGTAAGCCTATCTGTAAGGGTGCCAATTTTGGAGGAAATTGGTTGATGTCAACTTCAGCCACAGAGGGCAACACCTTAGACTTTATTTTTTACTTACTTGAAAGTTTATGTTACTTGAACATGAATATCTTTTTCATTTTTTATGCAATTTACATGAAACTTACACATTATATATAAATTTTATGTCTCTAAAATCGTTTGCAAATGTTTTTATCTTGAGTTCTTTATTGACTTTATAATAGCAATAAACATGATATATTTGCATAATTTTGGGGGGGAACTTAGACTATTTGTATTAGGAAAACTAAAGACGTTTTGGAAAATCTTTTGCTAGAGATCCTTTATTATATGTTAATGTGTCAGAAAAGTGTCATAGAATGATTATATCTGAAAGGTGTGGTTGTAAATTTACACTTGAAAATGTGTAAAATTCGTTGAAAAAAATAAAAAAATTAAAAATCTCCCTTACTATTTAGGCTACAGTGCTGAAACTTCGAACAATTGTAGCCCTTTTCATATACAACTAGTCAAAAATAATGGTTGACACTAAACAACAACTTTATGATACCCGAATAACGCCCCCTTAAAGTGGTGTGGTTTAGCTGTGTGAGGTTGGAAAAGTATACATACACTAACATGGATGTAACATACAGTACTTGTGAATCTTCAGTGACAAATGCATTATACTCAGGCTATCAGTATATTCATGAATCTGAATGCATTTCTTGTGTTTTTGAGCCATTTGCAACTGGACACACATTTTCCATTTGTATGGCGACTATGTGGAGGCTCCTTTAGCATCACACTGTGTTTCCTTTTTGCTCTTCTGGCTTTTTTTTTCTCTTTGTTGATTGTCCTTTGTTTCTGTGCCAGTAATCATGTCTACTCTGTCATGGGTCTTTGTGAAGCACTGTCTCATGCCCAATGCTGTCACTGCTATTCAACCTTTATGAAGTTTTTCAGTAGATGTTTCTTCTGTCTTGCACCTCATGTCCCTTTACTAAGGTGGCTTATATGGAGGCTTCCTGTTAACAATCTGGATAGCTCCACCCAATTTGATTCACTCCAGGTCATTTGAATCATTGTAAGTGTACTTGGGACTAGAGACCAAAGCCTGGCTTCCTCTATAGTGACACAGTTAACCATGGATGTGAGATCACCGAGACTAAGAAAAGGCTATCAAAAAGGTTGCATTGTGTTGATTCCAAAGATCAACATCCCCGTGGCCCGGTTTTTGGCCAGGCCTCCAGGCCGTCTGGTCAACCAGGCTGTTAGATGCAGCTGCTCACAGCCTGGTAGAGCGAGACAAAACACACAACTGCAAGGTAAACAAAACAGAAAATGATACTCCAAAACTGTAGTCAATAGGTGGTTCGTTCACTCACTCATAGCAGTTGTGTGCTTCCAGGTGGCCAGATACCTAGCTGCTGTATGCACCCCATTGACACGTCAGTCATTTAGCCTGGTGTGACGTATCAACGTGTCGTCACTTTTACACTTCCATTCATGCTAATGCTCTTTGGGTCCAGTTTCACATAAGTGACAGTCATCAGTGGAGTTTGTTCTGTGGGGGGCCCATTTGCATGTAAACTCATTCTAAATTTTGAGTAGTTGCTTCACATGTTTGTGTTTCATTCATCACTTTTTGTGTGTACTTTGATTTACTGTTCATCATGAGTTGCACACATCTAGAGTTGTCTTCTCTTGGTGCTCATAGATGTTGTCTCTGCTCAGCCAGCATTCTCTTTCCTGAGGAGTTTGGGTGGCTGTTCCTGAGAGTGCCAGCCTCCTCCTCGTGAGGAAGCCTCGCCTTTGGCAGTGCATGTGTCTTTGGCTCCTCTGTGTAGCTTCATGTATGGGGGCAATTGGGTTTTCTTCCTGTAGGGGTCACAACCTGTGCAACCCTCTGTGGTGGATGTCACAGTTGTCTGTGATCCCCAAGCAGGACTTGGCAGGCCTATGGAACATTCTCGACCTCCCAGGATTAAACGGCTTCATTCCTTGTCTGATCTTTCACGTAACCACTTTAGCTCAGGTTCACCTGGTTTTGCAGGTGAGTTCCTGGATAGTGTCCCTGGACCTCAAGTCCTTGAGGTCTAACACAGCAGAAATGGTGGTGGAGCAAGGAGGATAAGCTTAATTATAAAGTGTGGTAGGTACTGTATTTAAAAAAAAAAATAAGATATACTGTACTAAATATGACCCACACATCACTGTGATTAATTTCAAATAGTTTTAAATTTAATATTTTAGACAATACTTGCTCATATTTGTAGTTAGGTATATTTTGTCACCACTAATCTCAGTTTTGATCCAAAACAGAACTGAATTTTACAACAGAAGAAAAAGTTTCCAACCTGCAATCTTAAAGAATGAGATAAATTTGTTATGAGTACACAGTATTTACTCTTTGAGTGCTAGTTCAATAATGCTTTCTGAAGTAGCTCGTATTCATTGGTCTACTGTACATGAGTAAGTTTGTTATATTTTATTGATCAATTTTTGCCATTATACTATTCCAGCACATCCTCCTATTATGGTAGTACTGTACTAATAGTAACGATGAGAATCATAGTATAAATACCGACGTACAACGAAACTAGAATGTAGAAATCTGAACTATTGAGTTAGACAAACCAGAAAACTATTTTTTTTTATCTTGACAAACTTAACTAACCTATCCAAACCTCACTAGGCCTAAAACACGATATCTGAGGCCTAATATAGTACATATGTGTATTATACTAGGCTTAGGAATATTTAAGTTTGTGTTTTAACTTCATTTATTTAAAAGGAATTCCATACTAGTCTGCTATCTCAAAGCTAAGAATGTACAAATTCTGACTATTGACAATCGTCAATAGTTACTATCTAAACAGGAGGATGGGTTGACTGTTCAATGAACTCGAAAGAAAATCATAGTACAGTACTGTATATGTGTTTGTGATTTAAAACAAAAAAAGATATACTGTACTAAATATGACCCACACATCACTGTGATTAATTTCAAATAGTTTTAAATGTAATATTTAGAATAATATTTAGTAACAAGTCCAAGCGCAGTGAAAAGCTCTGTACCTCAAGGTACAGCCAGTGATGAGGAGGACTGCTTAAGGGTAAGAGCCACCCATAATTTTGTGTTATGATGCTTTAATATTCTATATATTACTAGTACAAGTACTAATGCTTCATCTGGTGGTGTGGTTTAGCTGTGTGAGGTTGGAAAAGTATACATACACTAACATGGATGTAACATACAGTACTTGTGAATCTTCAATGACAAATGCATTATACTCAGGCTATCAGTATATTCATGAATCTGAATGCATTTCTTGTGTTTTTGAGCCATTTGCAACTGGACACACATTTTCCATTTGTATGGGGACTATGTGGAGGCTCCTTTAGCATCACACTGTTTTCCTTTTTGCTCTTCTGGCTTTTTTTTTCTCTTTATTGATTGTCCTTTGTTTCTGTGCCAGTAATCATGTCTACTCTGTCATGGGTCTTTGTGAAGCACTGTCTCATGCCCAATGCTGTCACTGCTATTCAACCTTTACGAAGCCTCTTTTTTTTTTTTTTTTTTCTAAGTTTTTCAGTAGATGTTTCTTCTGTCTTGCACCTCATGTCCCTTTACTAAGATGGCTTATATGGAGGCTTCCTGTTAACAATCTGGATAACTCCACCCAATTTGATTCACTCCAGGTCATTTGAATCATTGTAAGTGTACTTGGGACTAGAGACCAAAACCTGGCTTCCTCTATAGTGACACAGTTAACCATGGATGTGAGATCACCGAGACTAAGAAAAGGCTATCAAAAAGGTTGCATTGTGTTGATTCCAAAGATCAACATCCCCGTGGCCCGGTTTTTGGCCAGGCCTCCAGGCCGTCTGGTCAACCAGGCTGTTAGATGCAGCTGCTCACAGCCTGGTAGAGCGAGACAAAACACACAACTGCAAGGTAAACAAAACAGAAAATGATACTCCAAAACTGTACAGTCAATAGGTGGTTCGTTCACTCACTCATAGCAGTTGTGTGCTTCCAGGTGGCCAGATACCTAGCTGCTGTATGCGCCCCATTGACACGTCAGTCATTTAGCCTGGTGTGACATATCAACGTGTCGTCGCTTTTACACTTTCATTCATGCTAATGCTCTTTGGGTCCAGTTTCACATAAGTGACAGTCATCAGTGGAGTTTGTTCTGTGGGGGGCCCATTTGCATGTGAACTCATTCTAAATTTTGAGTAGTTGCTTCACATGTTTGTGTTTCATTCATCACTTTTTGTGTGTACTTTGATTTACTGTTCATCATGAGTTGCACACATCTAGAGTTGTCTTCTCTTGGTGCTCATAGATGTTGTCTCTGCTCAGCCAGCATTCTCTTTCCTGAGGAGTTTGGGTGGCTGTTCCTGAGAGTGCCAGCCTCCTCCTCGTGAGGAAGCCTCGCCTTTGGCAGTGCATGTGTCTTTGGCTCCTCTGTGTAGCTTCATGTATGGGGGCAATTGGGTTTTCTTCCTGTAGGGGTCACAACCTGTGCAACCCTCTGTGGTGGATGTCACAGTTGTCTGTGATCCCCAAGCAGGACTTGGCAGGCCTATGGAACATTCTCGACCTCCCAGGATTAAACGGCTTCATTCCTTGTCTGATCTTTCACGTAACCACTTTAGCTCAGGTTCACCTGGTTTTGCAGGTGAGTTCCTGGATAGTGTCCCTGGACCTAAGTCCTTGAGGTCTAACACAGCAGAAATGGTGGTGGAGCAAGGAGGATAAGCTTAATTATAAAGTGTGGTAGGTACTGTATTTAAAAAAAAAAAAATAAGATATACTGTACTAAATATGACCCACACATCACTGTGATTAATTTCAAATAGTTTTAAATTTAATATTTTAGACAATACTTGCTCATATTTGTAGTTAGGTATATTTTGTCACCACTAATCTCAGTTTTGATCCAAAAACAGAACTGAATTTTACAACAGAAGAAAAAGTTTCCAACCTGCAATCTTAAAGAATGAGATAAATTTGTTATGAGTACACAGTATTTACTCTTGAGTGCTAGTTCAATAATGCTTTCTGAAGTAGCTCGTATTCATTGGTCTACTGTACAGGAGTAAGTTTGTTATATTTTATTGATCAATTTTTGCCATTATACTATTCCAGCACATCCTCCTATTATGGTAGTACTGTACTAATAGTAACGATGAGAATCATAGTATAAATACCGACGTACAACGAAATTAGAATGTAGAAATCTGAACTATTGAGTTAGACAAACCGGAAAACTATTTTTTTTTATCTTGACAAACTTAACTAACCTATCCAAACCTCACTAGGCCTAAAACACGATATCTGAGGCCTAATATAGTACATATGTGTATTATACTAGGCCTAGGAATATTTAAGTTTGTGTTTTAACTTCATTTATTTAAAAGGAATTCCATACTAGTCTGCTATCTCAAAGCTAAGAATGTACAAATTCTGACTATTGACAATCGTCAATAGTTACTATCTAAACAGGAGGATGGGTTGACTGTTCAATGAACTCGAAAGAAAATCATAGTACAGTACTGTATATGTGTTTGTGATTTAAAACAAAAAAAGATATACTGTACTAAATATGACCCACACATCACTGTGATTAATTTCAAATAGTTTTAAATGTAATATTTAGAATAATATTTAGTAACAAGTCCAAGCACAGTGAAAAGCTCTGTACCTCAAGGTACAGTCTTTGCACCACTGCTGTTCCTTATTCTCATATCAGATATAAATAAAAATACAAGTCACAGCTTCATGTCATCCTTTGCAGATGACACAAAAAGCAGCATGAAAATTACCTCTGCTGAAGACATGGAAAAATTACAAGCAGATATCAACAAAGTTTTCGATTGGGCAGCAGAAAATAACATGATGTTTAACAGCGATAAATTACAGGTACTCAGGTACGGCAAAAATGAGGACCTGAAACATCATACAGGGTACAAAACACAGTCGAATCTGCCCATAATAGGTAAACAGCATGTCAAGGATTTGGGAATAATGATGTCCAACGACCTAACATTTAGGGAGCATAACCAAGCAAATATTGCGTCAGCCAGAAAAATGATAGGATGAGAACTTATGAGAACTTTCAAATCCAGGGATCCAATCATGATGGTTGTACTCTTCAAGTCACTGGTGTTGTCCCGTCTCGAGTACTGCTCAGTACTCACTTTCCCCTTCAGAGCAGGAGAGATTGCTGAAATTGAGGAAATACAGAGAACATATACGGCACGCATAGACATGATAAAGCACCTAAATTATTGGGCTCGTCTCAAAGCTCTCCAAATGTACTCACTAGAAAGGAGACGAGAGAGATACCAAATAATATACACATGGAAAATACTGGAAGGCCAGGTCCCTAGTCTACACAGTAAAATAACAATGTACTGGAGTGAACGATATGGAAGAAAATGTAGAATAGAACCAGTGAAGAGCATAGGTGCCATAGGCACAATCAGAGAATACTGTATAAACATAAGAGGTCCGTGGCTGTTCAACGTCTTCCCAGCGAGCATCAGAAATATTGCTGGAACAACCGTGGACATCTTCATGAGAAAACTAGACTGTTTTCTAAAAGACGTTCCGGACCAACCAGGCTGTGGGGGGTATGTGGGCCTGCGGCCCGCTCCAAGCAACAGTCTGGTGGACCAAATTCTCACAAGTCAAGCCTGGCCTCTGGCCGGGCTTGGGGAGTAGAAGAACTCCCAGAACCCCGTCAACCAGGTATCAACCATGTATATCTTTTTCAGAATTCTGTAATTGTGGCAGCAGCAATGGGCGGGTTGGTATGCTCATTGCTTCTTGTTATTGCTATTGGATGTACATGTCGATTGTATGCACTACGTGTGGGGATGGGAAGAGCCCAACATAATGGTCATCGAGTTGGTCGACGTTCCACCCCACTGGCACCACTCTCCCGTCTGGAGCAGCACTTACTGCAGCGGGAGCCACCACCTTCCTATTCTGTTGCTGTTAATGACCCTTCTGCCTTGTGAGTATTGTACCTGCCATACTGTCTCGTGTGTGATTTACTATTAATTTATATTAATCGTTACAAATTTAAGGAGTTGAAAACTACTATAATTTTAGTATAGTAGTTTTATATACTAAAACTACTATATAGTTTTAGTAGTATAAAACTACTACTAATATCAACATATATTTATTTTAATATCAACTTGGTTCATAAGAACAATTGTACAGTGAACAATTTTAGGATAAAAATTCTCTGAAGTCCCCAGCAGGCTGTATCTGTTATATTTAGCCCTATGCAAGGATTCTAAATACATTTATATTGGTCAGACTGGAAAAATTCTTTCTAGGCATCTTTGACGGCACAAATATTCCGCTAGAAAAGGACAATAATCAAATGCCGTATTTGACTAAATGTGCTATCTACAACAACAGTTTTATTGGAAGAAATTTGATTTGAGTCTGCTCTCATTAGCCACAGTAATATCCAGGACTCACTAAGATCACCAAGGAAGTACTAAAGCTTATGCAAAAAATTATAGACCAATAGCTCTATCGTCGCACATCATAAAAATCTATGAGAGAGGGAGTAAGAAGTAAGATCACAAAACACATGGCATCACAGTATCTACATAACCCTGAGCAACATGGGTTCAGACGAGGGGCGCTCCTGCCTCTCACAATTGCTAGACCACTATGACATGGCCTTAGATGCCATGAAAGACAGACAAAACACAGATATAATATATGCAGATTTTCTAAAAACCTTTGACAAATGTGACCATGCTGTTATTACACACAATGTGCACACAAAAGGAATTACTGGCAAAGTAGGGAGGTGGATCTTTAACTTCCTAACACTTCCAAACAAACAAAACCCAGAGCGTAATAGTCGACAAAGTAAAATTTGAATCATCCATCATAAAAAGTTCCCCAAGGTACTGTGCTTGCTCCGGGACTTTTCCTCATCCTCATCTCAGACATAGACAAGGATATAAACTATAATGCTGTATCAACTGACAGCTGAAGCATACAAGGTCTGCCTGAAGCACGTGCCTGTGAGGAGGGTCAGAAAGAGGATCACTCTAGAAAGAGAATGCAGACGACTGTACAGGATAAGGAAAAAAATAATGGAAATGCTTAGGCAGACACGACTATCACAAGCAAGGAAAATAAACCTAAACAGGGAGATCGAAGAAATAGAACAAACGTTGAAGCGATCATACGAGGCAGAGGAAATGGAATTGGAACAGAAAGCTATACAAGAGATAAAGAAAAATCCAAAATATTTTTTCACATACACAAAATCAAAATCATCCACCAGTATTGGACCTTTAATTACAATTGAAGGTGCGTACAAAGAGGACAACAAAGAAATTAGTGAAATTCTAAGAAGCCAGTATGAGGCTATGTTTAGCACACCAATAAACAACATGAAAGTTGATGATCCAGGCAGCTTCTTTATGAATGACATTCAAGCTGCAGATAATATAACGGATATTAACACGAACTCGGAAGACTTTGAAAGAGAAATTGACAATATGCCCATGCACTCAGCTCCTGGGTCTGACTCATGGAATTCAATACAGGTATTCATAAAGAAATGTAAAGTACCAGTAGCGCGAGCACCCAGCGTAATATGGAGAAAGAGCCTCGATACAGGGGAGATACCAGCAGCACTTAAATCTCCAGATATAGCTCCTTTGCACAAGGGGGAGAGTAAAGCCTTGGCAAAAAATCATAGGCCAGTTGCACTAACATCACACATAATAAAAGTATTTGAAAGAGTGATTAGGATTCAAATTTCTAGTTTTATGAAAAATAATGAGTTACACAACCCAGGACAACATGGATTTAGAGCGGGAAGATCCTGTCTGTCACAGTTACTCAACCACTATGACAAAATCACAGAAGCTCTAGAAAAAAAGCAAAATGCAAATGTAGTATACACAGACTTTGCAAAGGCATTCGACAAATGTGATCATGGAGTGATTGCACACAAAATGGGGTCAATGGGAATAACTGGTAAAGTAGGTCACTGGATACTCAATTTCCTGTCAAACAGAACACAAAGAGTAACAGTCAATCAAATAAAATAAAGTCCAAGCGCAGTTAAAAGCTCTGTACCTCAAGGTACAAGCCTTGCGCCACTGCTGTTCCTTATTCTCATATCAGATATAGACAAAAATACAAGTCACAGCTTTGTATCATCCTTTGCAGATGATATAAAAATCAGCATTAAAATTACCTCTGCTGAAGACATTGAAAAACTACAAACAGATATTAACAAAGTTTTCAATTAGGCAGCAGAAAATAACATGATGTTTAACGGTGATAAATTCCAGGTTCTCAGATACGGCAAAAATGAGGATCTGAAACATAATACAGGGTACAAAACACAATCGAATCTGCCCATAATAGGTAAACAGCATGTCAAGGATTTGGGAATAATGATGTCCAATGACCTAACGTTTAGCGAGCATAACCAAGCAAGTATTGCGTCTGCCAGAAAAATGATAGGATGGATTACGAGAACCTTCAAGTCCAGAGATCCCATCACAATGATTGTACTCTTCAAATCACTTGTGTTGTCCCGTCTTGAGTACTGCTCAGTACTCACTTCCCCCTTTCAGAGCAGGAGAGATTGCTGAAATATAGGGAATACAGAAAACATATACGGCACGCATAGACAAGATAAAGCACCTAAATTATTGGGATCGTCTCAAAGCTCTCCAAATGTACTCACTAGAAAGGAGACAGGAGAGATACCAAATAATATACACATGGAAAATACTGGAGGGACAGATCCCAAATCTGCACAGTAAAATAACAACGTACTGGAGTGAACGATATAGAAGAAAATGCAGAATAGAACCAGTGAAGAGCAGAGGAGCCATAGGCACAATCAGAGAACACTGTATAAACATCAGAGGTCTGTGGTTGTTCAACGTCCTACCAGCGAGCATCAGAAATATTGCTGGAACAACTGTGGACATCTTCAAGAGAAAACTAGATTGTTTTCTTCAAGGAGTGCCGGACCAACCGATCTGTGATGGGTATGTGGGCCTGCGGGCCACTCCAAGCAACAGCCTGGTGGACCAAACTCTCACAAGTCAAGCCTGGCCTTGGGCTGGGCTTGGGGGAGTAGAAGAACTCCCAAAACCCCATCAAGCAGGTATCAAGCAAGCAGGTATAATCTACACTTGGAAAATATTAGAAGATCAGGTTCTAAATCTGCACACAGAAATAAAACCACATGAGACCAGAAGGCATGGCAGGATGTGCAAACTAGACCCACTGAAGAGCAGAGGTGCAATAGGCATGCTGAGAGGGAACTCCATCAGCATCGAAGGCCCAACACACTTCCTATACATACGGGCATAACTGACCAACCTCTCACAGTGTTCATAGAGAATTCGAATAAGATCTCTGTGACTGATGGCATCTAATAGTATGGCACTGAATCCATGTAATATTTTCATGGAGCCTCCAGGGCTCATCCAGAAATGGGTAGTTTCATTACATTTAACACTTGTTTGTTGTACCAATAATGTTCATTGACTACATAAAGGATCTACTAGAAGGAATACAGAATTATATGAACATTTTGCTGATGATGCTATTCTACTAGGACAATTGTCATGATCTTCAAGAAAACTTCGACAAAATAAGTGTATGGATCAACACGGCAAATGGAATTTAATGTGAATAAATGCCACTTTATGGAATGTGAGAATAGGTGAAAATAGGTCATACACAACCTACAGATTATGTGGAAACGTTTAAAAAATTCTGATAAAGAAAGAGAACCAATGGTGGTTTTCGATTAAAGCAAGAATAAAACAACCATTGCATAAGAATATGCAATGGTTGTATGGTGCCTATCTCTCAAGAAGTTTATCATTAGACTAGAGAAGATGCAAAGATATGCAACAAACATATGTAATTTGACTTCCTAAACTGAAAAACAAGAGCTACAAGGAGAGGTTAGATTCATTAAATATACCAAAACAGCTGGAAGGTAGAAGAAAGAGGTGATATGATCACTATGTACAAAATAGGTACAGGAATAAAAAAAATTGATAAAGAAGAATTTGTAAAACTGCAACTTCAAAAACAAGAGGCCATAGGTTTAAACTAAGGAAACAAAGCTGCCAAAAAAATTATTAGAAAGTTCACTTTTGCAAACAGAGTGATAGATGTTTGGAACAAGGTAAGTGAGAAGGTGGTAGAAGCCAAAGCCATCAATAGTTTTAAAGCATTATATGTCAGAGTACTGGGAAGATGGGACATGAGTGTAGCTCTTGTCCTGTAACTACACTTAGATAATTTCTTTATGTACACATCCCAACCATATGCCCACCCCTCACTAAAAATGTACCTACCCCATCACCAGCTAAATACCCACCAATATCTGCCCACAACCCCATCCACACCCACCCAGTCCTCTCACTACAATCACCCACATGCATTCTTTCCTTCCTAAATATCTTTATTTCAATATGTATATGCAGAGTATGTATTTTGGTTTGGAAGAATATTCATAACACATTCTTTTATTGTGAGCTGTGCCTGACATATGGACTGGGGGGATGCCTCCCTCGATTATTTACATTCAAAACGTATCTAGTCATGTTGATGTTGCAATGTGTGTTTTTGTTCTTGTCTATCTCAGATCCTACTTTTATTTGAAATATATTGGCTTGCAAGTAACACTATAAGTTGTAAGTATCAAATTTTCTTTTCAGATTGTTTGGTGGTAGTTTAAGCAGACACTGGAGGCGTCAGCGTCGACGACCTCCAGTACCTCCGGAGGGAATGCTACCCCACTTACCTGCTCCACTGCGAGGTCAAGGAGCTCATCACTCCACACATACATATGATGCTGAATCAGGGCATGCATCTCGAAGAGCAAGTTTTACAGGTATGCAACTTTCCCACTGTGCTTGAAAGTGATGCACTGTTTTTGTATAGATAATAAGCTATTGTGTTCCTTCTTCCTCATACCATGGATAAAATTGAATTATATTGCATTGTATAAAGTTAAGAAATAATACAAGTTAAAGTATTAGAAATATAATTACTGTATCCGTAATGTTTAGTCAGTTCATGTGTTCATAGTTATTATTAGTTGAAATTCTGAAAGTTAATACAACTGCACTGTTTACTTTATTTAACCAGTAGGGAGTTGTGGAGCAAGAGGAAGGCGCAGTAGTGAGGAAAAGGAAAATGAGGAGAGATCCAAGGTTGGAAGCTTTCTCCCGGTGTCAGTTCCTGGTTTACAGGTACTGTATTGTATGTCCAGTGTCATCACCAGTCACAGGTGTTTGTCAGTACTCTACTGTATGTCTATAGAAGGTGTTCTTCATTCTGTAATAATAATAATAAATTTGATAATCGTTTTATTTGGCCAATGTGCAAAACAACACAGGCAGTAGGAATACAAAACTAAATATATGGCTTTGATACCCAATGGCCATATCTGATACTCCAGGCTAATTAAATCTTGTGATGTTTTAAATTCTGTTATTTCTGTTCCTGAAGCTGTGGATGGAAGTGGCTTCAACAATTTTCAATTGATTTTCTTCTCTCCACTTAAGCTGTGAGCTAAAGTGCCCTAAAGCTGTCTGCATAGCTGAGTTCTCTTAATTCAGAAACTAGTCTAGTTACAAAATTTTGTACTTTTCCAAGTTTCTTTTTTGTGCTTCATGAGGTGCAGTTTCCATGCCCGTGCTTCATACTCTTATAGTTCTCTCACATAGTCAATATATATAGACCTCATAGCACTTGTTTAGATTTTTAAAGTTGTTCTTAAGTTTGACAATTTTGTATATGGTTATCTTGAGGTTATCTTGAGATGATTTCGGGGCTTTTAGTGTCCCCGCGGCCCGATCCTCGACCAGGCCTCCACCCCCAGGAAGCAGCCTGTGACAGCTGACTAACACCCAGGTACCTATTTTACTGCTAGGTAACAGGGGCATAGGGTGAAAGAAACTCTGCCCATTGTTTCTCGCCGGCGCCTGGGATCGAACCCACTGCTGATGTTACAAATGCTGATGTTGTTACAAATCCACAAATGCTGGATGATGTTACAAATCCACGAGGGCTGCGATGTGGGTTTGAACCTACATACAAGAGGATCCCAGACGCGCCTTAATCGACTGTGCCACGACGTGGTTGTAACACGGGTTTGGGTTCCTCCCTCTTTACTTCCTTCTTTCTACTCCCTCTACCCGTATTCTTACTTTTATTTCTAAACCAAGGGACTCCAAAACTTTTAACAAAGCCAACTCCACGCCACGTGGTCCTAAGACGATTGACCGACTTAGGATTCTACACCCAGTATGACGTGACCTAAGCTCTGAACAAAACCCTAGAGTCACCTCTGCTGCCACCACCAGACCAGTAATACAAGAGCAATGATCGAGGTCTGGATCGATCACGCTAATTAATCAACCTAGGGGCTTGATCCCCACTATAAACGATGACCTTGAGTGTGGAATAAATTACACGGTAATGATAATTCCGATTCGATGTTAGAATCGGCGCCCAATGCAACTCTGCCTCGTGTGGACCACGTGACCAGGACAAGTATACACATAAAACACATGGAAACAATAAAATGCAAATTAATAACAAATTTAATTTATTAAAAGAAAACTAAAACAAAATCTAAATATGTTCACTCCCTATTACTTTAACACTCCCTACTTGACCTGAGTGGCAAATGAGAAGACTATTTCTATAATTAACAATAGCAACTATACCTTGGGCGACCAGCTAGATGTCGTGGCTGGTCTAGGGGAGAGGTAAGATGTTTGACCTCTCCTAGCTGCTTCCGTGACCACACTGCTTTTTTCCTTGTCTGGACTACCCCAGACAGAGTATTGTATTGTTCCGCATCGCTTACCCAGTTACTTTAGCAAGGTTAAGTTATAACAATTATCCTCTGTTTATACTGAATTGATCCAGACTGGTTGAATTATTTTACTGAATTAAATTACAAACATCTAACGGCAGAGCTGTTCCCGATCACAAAAATGGTTATTAAAACTTGTAGAAATAGTAGAAATAGTAGACCTGTCAACCCCTGATGACCTATGACCGCCGGTCACTCCGCCTTAAAAGTTAGATCCGATTCGTGACGTCACTGATGGTGACTTAAACTCAATAATTAGAATACTCTTGATATTGTATCCAGTACTATTATACAATACAATTTTAATGCAAAATGAATAAAGGCTAATTTTCTCTAATTTACTGAATACTATAGGATGGTTCATTATACGCAGTTATGAACAACGCGTCGGTTATTTCCACCGCGAATCCCCCTGGGGGTCAGGTCACCATGCGGCTCAGCTTCCCATTCTCTTTTGTCGATAAACCACTCTGGATAATTCTTACAACAGCCTAGTTTGTTACAACCCCCCCGCACAAGCACTTAGTAAACCTTGTTAATTTGTTAAAATTCACGAGGTTTAGTATCCAAACCCACAATTCAACTCATGCCACAAACAAAAGCTAACCTAACTAATAAAATTTGACAAATATTTGAGTGTCCAACATCAACATGTTTAAATTCATAAATTTCTCAGCTGTCAACTGACAGCAATCCTCTAACATCAGGAAACATACATCCTATCCTTACTGACATAGCTAAATAACATGTCCCTACTCTACCATCAAAACTAGCTATTAAACTCTCTTGGCTCTTCACTAGCCAAGTCCATGTGTCCTCTAGAGCCGGCCACACCGTGCTCAAACATAAACATTAACGTTATATCATCAGACTGAACTTTCAGTCATCCGGGAGCGTACTACGGAACTATCAAGTACTCATCCGTGTACTAACCACTCCCCATCAATGTCAACCTTGACATGTTAAGGAACACACCTAACGTTTATTACATCTATCTAAAAAAATATAAAAAAATTCCTATACTATATCACAGGTTTCAGCTGACTGTACAGCCAAGTGTTCTCACTCACTAGAAGTGTCAATGTTTATATTGGTCCGCCTCTCCTGTGTTCAAACATTCTGAAAAAATAGCACAACATAATTTTCCATACCCGTTTGTTCTGGGCTGAGACAATTACACAGGGGCTTCGATTTTGATTACTGACCAATTTATAGCGTAAAATTTTCATATATACCAGAATTATTTTAAATCTGTTTTTCAACATTTAAAAAGTATTGATTCTAAATCTGTTTTTCAACATTTACACAAAAGTGTCCAGATGTTCTTTACACAGATGTTCAGAGCCAACTTTGTTGTTTGTATCAATTGTTCATATTGAGTAATCGAGAAAAAAAAATCGATACTGCTGGATGCTGAATGTAGTCGCTGACGATGACGGTGTCGATCTTGCTTCTTCTCATGTGTAGACATCAATACCTGGTCCTCTTGTACTCCCATCCAGTACTCCTGAATGACGACAGAGTGTAGTAGAGCGGAGTGCCAAGTGACAGCTGTAGAATACTGTTACTTCGGCCATTAATCTTGCTCTCGACAGTCCACACGCCTTCGTATCAATCACAGTTCACACGGTAGTCTGGATGTTAAACTTGTCGCAGATGACCACAGCAGAGCAGGACTGGATGTACCAACGGTGTCTCTTAGCAGGAGTGATGTTAGAAGGCCGTAGAGGCGGGTTGCTTGTTTGCAGAACAGGTGAATCTCGTCTTCCATCATTGCTCACGTCATCTCAGGCGTTTCTTGATGTCACCAGGTTACTAGGCCGTAAACACCAACTGTGTATACCCTCGTACCGCCGACTTTAGGCCAAAGGAGACAATTTTGCGACCTTCTATTGGCGAGTCCCGGTACTCTGTAGGGAAACCGTGCCTTCCACCTGTGACCGCCTTACTTCTGCTTTCTTGTTACTTCAGATGACGTAATCATTAATCTTCCGGCGAAATTCTTGAGTACTGCTACGTGCTTTCCATTTCTTGACCTCTCCTCCAACACTGCTGGAATGACTGCAGTCTTGATGACGCAGCAGGTGGGTATTGGTGATCTCGAGACAGCTACCCCGGCGTTGTATGGCACCTCCGGTGACTGCTATAATGTGGGCAGCTCGCTGGCCCTGACAACCTCGTTAGTGACGTGAGGCGTCGGCCGGGTGACTCTTGGACAGTCACTTATCCCCAAAGTAACTGATGTATGGGTTACTGGGTCTGGTGGGGGAGGGCTTTGTGTAACGTGCCTCCCCCTCGGTCTTTACAGACAAGGGTTCACGTGTGGCTGGAACAACTGGGTCGGTGTACCAATCAGACCTGGGAACAGACAGACACAACACAGCGGAAGCATAGATATACTCTGGGTTTGGTGGAGGTGGAACCCCAGAGCACGGTAAAAGTTGCTACCTGAGTCAAGTATAGACATAGTACATCTCATTGCCTTTACAGGAAAATCTAACCAATACTAAATTATACTAACTAAGGAAGTTACTTTACTGTACAGCGCGAGATCTCGTCACCATAGGGTGGCGAGACTGCACCTGACTACTGATGAGCGATGACAGAGGGTCATCCTCATCTTCTGACTCGTCGGTGAAGCCATGAGTCAGCACTGCTGAGTCAGGAACTAGACCCGCTGAAGGCAGTTCTAATTCCTCTCTAGCATGATATTGTTTCAATTTATTTACATGAATTGTCCTTTCCACCTGGTCCTCGAACACTCCTTTTATAACAAGATTAACCGGCCCCGCCCTTTTAATTACTCTATATGGTCCTCGCCACCTCGGAGCTAGTTTCCTGCTCTGATTGGCGGGCGCAGCCTCATTCACTCTCAATACGAGGCTTCCTTCCTTCAACTCAAGAGGGCGCACTTTCTTGTCATAAAAATGAGCATACCGAGTCCGTGCCTTCTTGGACGCTTCAGCTGCAATATTCCATGCATTTCTCATTTTTCCAAGGACCTCTGAAGGATAGTCCTCCCCGTATGCAACATTATGTCTGTTAAGCAGACCTGACGGGAAATTGCATGAATTACCAGTAAACAAATGAAGTGGTTGGGTGTTAATTGATTGGTGGATGGCAGTATTCAAGGCGAACTGAACATAGGGTAGGTGTTCATCCCAGGTGTTTGCATCATGTTCAGCAAGGATTGCAAGCATATCCTTGACTGAACGATTAGTCCGTTCCGTCATTCCGTTTGCTTGTGGGTGGTAGGCCGTTGTAAAAGCCGAAGTTGTCTCTAAAATCTTACAAACTTCTCTAAATATATTCCCATTGAATTCTTGACCCCGGTCAGAGACTAAAACTTTAGGAGGTCCGAATACA